AAACGTGTTTCACATGAAATTCACTGCATCAGCATTCTGTCACCCCCGACCTCACCTGCACCAATTCAGCACCAACCGGTTAACATGTTAGATAATGGCGTCGTCTAAAGGAAGCTGTGTTTCGTGCCACAGCTGCAGACTTTAGTTTCGTAGAATGAATGTCTAAATTGAAGGTCCCCCCCCTGTATGAATGCTCGATGGACAAAAGGGACGGACAATAGAGTCATAAGAGAGGGATTTAAGTTTCACAGCACTCAATGGGAGGTCACATGAACATTCATTTCTAAAGTTATTTTTTTATACACTTTCTTATCTGATGCGATATGTTTTATAAACAAAATTGGTATGAGGAAAAGATGCGAATGGAGGAGGAGCGAGGACAAGAGACCGGCATAGTGAGTGAGGTCTTTCAGGACAAACAATACCCAGTGACGGTGTATATTGTCCATTGTCACTGTGCATGGCAGTTTGATGCATCGCTCTGCTGGACCAAAGACAATTGTGGGAGCGCAGGCAGGCTGGCCTATCTGCATATCGATTACTTGTGGCGGCCATAAATACGGTTTAATGGAACTGTCAGTGTGTGCCATCGCATATTAACCGAGGCGGGGGCTCAGCTGCAGCTGGGTGCCGCCGACAAACAATACCGGCCACATGTGCATCCAGGTGGAGAACAGCAGGGCGTGGAGCCCGCGTTCTGATCAACATGTACTGACACAACGGCTGCGTGAGAAAGAGATTGACCTAATTTCACAAACTACACTATATTTCCTCCTCTGAATATAAAAATAAACCAAGCCACTTTATTTTTTACCTCTGTATTGTAAGAGGCTTTTTAAGCTGCAACTTATGTATGTAATAATGCAATGTAATGTAATATGTTCTAAACTGTAAATACAGTAATGGAAAAAGCCCTAGAATAATATTAATGTAACTGATGTTTCCTCTGATCCCCCCAAATATAATACACCAATAAATGATACAACCAATAGCCTGCTGTAAAGGTGTTGTTGCTTTTTGTATTAAATCAATATCCATTTCATTTTTTGGTTACTACATTCCATGTTTGCATTAAGCATCTCACAAAGTGAATCATTTAGACTACACAATCTCAGGACAGAGAGAAATTGACCGTAGCTTTCAAACATATCGTTCTTATAGTCTGCGGGCCTCGGTCTGTTGTTTCCAATGTAAAGAAATATGCACAATGGTTGTTAAACTGTTTAATAATCTGCTGCTTCATATTAACATCCGAGTTCTGTTTTACAGATATGCTATGATTTGTCCAAATAGGATGAAGAAATGCTAAAATTTGTCCTTTATCCCCCCACACTGACTACGGGTCCATACGAGTTGTAAGGTCAATGCCGCTCGCATTACTATTGGAAAAGAACATTTTTTTTGTTTGTTTTTAAAGTGACACAGGCTTTTCTGAGGAGAAAAAACGGTTTAATATAACTATACTGGAAACATTGCTTCCTGAAACAGGATTTGCTGTAAGGAGAGAGGGCCAAATGGTAATTTCACTGAGATAAGTTTAAACGGAGACACAACAATACTGACCTACAATGAGCAACAATACGGGAAACCATCAAGATCGAGGCAGAGGTGAAGAGATTTGATTCGGCATCAATATTCATCCGTCTTCTCTCCTCATTCCCCCAGAGTCTTCTCAAGGCCTCCATCAATTCACAGAGGCATAAATTCTAACCTCAGGCTGATGGAAGGCAGGCCGGGATCATGAGGGGAGGGTCATCGTAACAGGATGTTTCTTTAGGAAAAAGTTTTCCTCACACTTAAAACCACATATTTCTACAAAATGGATTGACGTTGGTCGACTATGACATTCACCATCTATTAGCGACTCCATCCTTTGTTTGTCACCTGGGGGACCATTTAGTCATTCTTATATATAGACAATCCTATTTTCACGTTATGTTTCTTATTATAAGTCAGCTGTTTGCACACAACTTGCCATAAAACGTCAGTATTTAATGTGTGACTGAAACAGAAAGCGTCCATTAGTAAACTCTGAATGGAGTCAAGCTGTTTGATCAGAGCAATATTGATCTTCAAATCAAACTATTTGCAAGAAAATGTCTTTGAAGTTGAGCGGGATGTCATTGCTTCTGATTTCGACCTGTGAAGCCCTTTTGGAATATTCCGTGGAATGAGAACGACACAAAATGTGGTGCTACTCTGAGTTAGTAGTAAGAAAGCTGCTAGTGTAACCAAGCGTGACGTATAAATCCAGAGGAGGGAGAGGAAGGGCTTTATTTGAGGTACGGGTTCTACTGGTGTGTGTGTGTGTGTGTGTGTGTGTGTGTGTGTGTGTGTGGCAGAACTGAGGGATTAGCAGGAGAATTGTCCTCACATTAATACAGCAGATAAGAGTCTCGACACAGGGATAAAAATAAAGGCGCCTCTTTTCTAAGACTGGATGACTTTGTACACCCTTGTTACCATATGCACAGTTCCTCACACATTAACCTCCTTAAAAACACCACACACCCTGTTAGAAGGCACACGTGGACGCACAAGCACACATGCATTAACATCCAGAGTCACAAAGCAGACAAAAGAAGAGAATGGAAAACAAAAAGACGTCTACTGGCCATCTGACATATGACGAGTAGAAGAAAGGAATCAAAACTATAAGTACTTTGTGTAGGTATAAGATGTTACGATGTTAAGTCCGTTCGGACCAGTGTGTACCATCCCCAGACTGACGGCCCGGTGGAGCGGCTGAATAGGACGTTAAAATCCATGATTCGTAAGTTCATTCACGACGATGAACGTAATTGGGATAAATGGCGCGATCCTCTGTTGTTTGCAGTACGGGAGGTTCCCCAGGCCTCCACGGGATTTTCTCCCTTGGAGCTGCTGTTTGGCAGGAGACCACGGGGGGTGCGGCGGGTGGGCGCGGTGTTGGAGTCCCTGAGGCAGGCCGGGCTCACCGCCAACCCAGGGAAATGTGCAGTTGGACGGAGGGAGGTACGGTATCTGGGGTACCACTTGGGCGGCGGGAGGGTGCGCCCGCAGGTAGACAAAACCGCAGCCATCGCGGCCCAAGACTAAAAAAGAGGTGAGGCAGTTTTTGGGGCTGGCGGGCTACTACAGAAGGTTCATCCCGGGCTTGACCGACCTGACCCGGAAAGGTGCCTCAGATCCGGTCCAATGGACGGAGCGGTGCCAGTGGGCGGTCGAGGGGGTGAAACGAGCTCTCTGTGGGGAACCACTGCTCCATACACCTGACTTCTCTCTCCCCTTTGTCTTGCAGACTGATGCGTCGAACAGAGGGCCGGGGGCCGTTTTGTCCCAGCAGGTGCAGCCGGAAGCTGTCGGAGAGAGAGGCCAGGTACAGTACGGTCGAGAAGGAGTGCCTGGCCATCCGGTGGGCAGTCGACTCCCTGCGGTATTACCTCCTGGTGGTTCGGGGGACGGTGCCGGCAGGTGAGTAAGAAACACAGGTGGAAGTAATGTGAACTGATTGTCTCCCTCTGAAAACAGGGAGCAGGATCCGGAGGGCGGTTGCTTGGAGAGCGGAGCAGTGCGGAGCCGTGCAGAGCGAAGCCGAGCAACACTACGTCGTGCGAACTAAATCCTGCTCATTGTGACCACGAGAAATAAAAAGGCATCTCATCTACAGTGTGTGTCCGTGCATTCTTAAACGGAACCCGTCGGCGGTAGCACCATCGCGGCTACATACTTGTTCTGCAGAGAAAGGTCCCTTGACGGAGAAATAGGGTATTATAACTCATCTGTTGGAGGCTGTTGAAGTTGAGCTATTTTGAACCACTGGCTTGCTGGAGCGTTCCTATGCTTACCAATCGAAGGTCTACGATGAAATACGAGATCTGTGGTGTAAGATTCTGGGTTTCTTGAACAGAACAAATTTCGTTATCGGTGCGCTTTACCGCTAAGTATATAAGTGTTGATATATGCAGTGTAAGTGTTTCAAGTATTAAGCCATTGATTCACAGTTACCTGTTCAGTACCTCGATGTAATCACTCCTAACAACTGCTCCTGACCGGCTCCCCACTCGAGGCTACCGTCAACAAAGCTGCTATGTAAAAACACAAGAAAGAAAAGCAAATGCAAAAGTAAAACACGGGATGATCCAGATGATCAATAGTACCGCTCACCTACTCGGCAAACCCAAAGCCGGTGGAACAAAAGCAGTCGTCCTGTGACCGTCTGCTTCAGGGTTTCCACTGTAAATCTCAAGCCATCAAATCTTCGTGCTCCATTTAGCACACGGATGCTCTGCTGATGTTGGCTGCTAATTCAGCTGCAACTACATTACTCTCCTCCTTAATAAGGTTTACGTGTGCATCTGCCTTACCAAACCGAACCCTCCACACACACACACGCAATGTCTGTGTGCATTTGAACAAGCGTTCTGTTGCTTACTGGTGTTAGTGTTGTGCGCTTGATTATGTGGATCACGGCTGCCGTACATCCGCTTAAAAATGTATAATTGGCTTACAAAAACAAGTTGAGCGTAGTTTGTATTACAAAACAGACAGGTGTGTATGTATAATATCTAAGTATTTTACATATAAATGTGTGTTAGACAGGAAGTGTGTGTGCAGTATATATGCTAATGCTTTTTACTGGTTTGCTGTGTTTGTGCGAGCGGAGCTACTCTCACTAGAAGCGTTTTTTAAAAGCTGATTGGTGAGGCAGGAAAGGTCAGGGAGCCCAGAAGGATGCGCACTAATGATAAAGGACGCCACAGTCGGCCTCTTTTACAAGTCTGGCCGATGAATAGATCTCAGAGAAATAAAAGCTCATTTTAGCTCCTTGTCTAACATGGATGAGCATCATTGGGCCCAGAGACGGCCTCCTGGTCGTTGTACTGCAGTAATTCTTCCTGTCCGCTCATCTTTCCTCTGAGAAACACACACCGAACACCACAAATCAAATCCCGGTAAAATGATTTGCAAAGACAATAGAAGGGACTCCAGATGAGGGGGAAGTATGTAATGATCGGCTGAACAGAGGGGGTCATGTTGACATCATCGTGGTGAAGTAGATAGAATCGAGCATGAGGGAAATCACTTTAGCAATACTTGACTGACGTCACAAAACCGCCTGGAGATCTATTTTTTACAAAAAGCGGAAAGGTTAAAAAGTTTGATGCCAACTTACAGCTTGTTGTGACAAGTAAAACAATTACTAAAACATTCAAATAAAATTTATTTTGAAAAAAAATAAAATTACATTAATTACATTTTGTATTTTTAATATGAACAGTATTTTGACTTTTTACTACATTAGTATCCATAAGGAACATATCACATGTAACATATCAGAGATATCTTGATGGCTTCTTAGAAAGGGATTAAACTAAAAAAAAAAAGAATAAAAAAAAAAAAAAGGTTTGGTGTTAAAACAAGAACTTATTCACGTCTAAAAATGAACAGTCATCCGGCTCCTTCCTTTGGGGTTTGATTTGAGTCGCTCCGGTTGGATGTCGCAGGTCGACTTACCTGGCACCAAACAGAGGGAACATGGTGCCAGACTTTTGCAAGCGGAAAAGAGGAAATGATACACCTGGACAACAGAATGAAAACACAAAATGAATACAAATAAACTATTACGAATACAGTTGTTTAGTATATATAAAAGTACGAACAAGTCTTCAAAAGTAACCTGAAAATACATCCGTAGAGAGGGCAGCCGTCTCTTTTCGAATGAGACATATTTGTTAAGTGTGCAGACACACAGAATGAAGTGCAATTTAAATAAACTGAATATGGCAGCGTAACAGTCTTTTGCGGTCTTATTGTAAAAGCCTCAGACAATAATAATCCGATAAAATTAAGGTGGATGCGATTACAGGTCAGTGCTGCGACGACTGAGCCGAGCTAGCAGCACACGGACGGACTGAAGACTGAAACACGGATGATTCAAACTATTATGGTATAAATGACTCCACGCAAGTCAAACTTAAACTATGTAATTAATGAAGTGTTTGGAACAAGCAAAGTCATTTGTGACTTCCACATCACAGAACCATCACCAGGGTTTAAATATATAAAAACTGCTTGTATGCAGTCACACACGTTATAGGAAACCACACCACATCCTCTAATGCGTCATGTACCAATTCTTGTTTTTATCTGTATTCGTGCAGCTTTGTGATTGGTAGTTCTACAGTGCAGAAAAGTGATTTGTAGATAAATCTGCCTTGACCCACTTTGTTTGGCTTTTTCCATAAACACTGCGAGCAGAGGCCTGGCGAAGCAGCAGTGTATCGATATCAGGACAAACGCAATGCAATGAAAGCAGCTTGTTGGGTCAAATAGCTCTGGTAACAGGTCTAATTGAATCAGTGTCAGGTTCTCTGTGCAGCTACATCCACCACAGCAGGGTGGAAATGGATCCGTCCTCTCTAGAACCGTGGACACAGCCTAATTTCATTGAAGGGTTTTTTCTCCGCTTTGATACTGTGCAGGTTAATGAAGGTCATTTTTTTTAATACAATAAAAAAAAAAACTGTGGATGCAATTGAGAGGACGAGCTTTGTGTGTACATTAGCCTTTTGTTCCACTATATTATCTTTCAAAGTTAACTAGTCTTAGAAATGATTAAAACTTTAGGCAACAACTTGTAAGAATATATTTATGCATGTCTTTGTCAATGTCGATATAAAGCAACTTCAGAACTTCCTTCTCTAATCTAGGACCACTCTCCTGGCTAGAACGCTGACACAAGAAAACAATGGGCAACCAGAAGTGGTGAGTCTTTGTATATAATGATTAATGATAATAAAAACGGTTTCATTAAAATAACCAATTTCGGTGAAATTATATTCACCAAAATAGCATCACGCTTAAATCTGATCTACTCAACACGCCCTTCAGCTGCCATGTCATGTCATGTCGCCACTTAAGTGCATAATTGTACTTTTCTGATAGAGTACAGATGGATGTACCCTGAGTGTAGTCATGGATTTGGCTCAGGCCGGGGGTGTGGAGGCTCAGGTTCCTCAGAATCTGAGTTGGCCTGACTAGCGAGGGGGCAGCGACTGTGTGCTGCTCCTCTTTTGGTGTTGGACAGCAGGAGCTGGGAGTGACGCTGGATGGAATTGGGGGAGGATTCCTGCTCAGTGTCTGAGAAGAGAGTGAGGTTTCTTCATTTCATTGTTTAAGTGCCTTTAAAAAAAATTAAAAACAGAAATTTTAGGTATTTTGTATCCATTAAATTATTGTGTGTCTTACTTCAAGATCAGTTTTACAATGAGCTGGACTCGTCTGGATCACATCTGGGGGGGCGAGATGGCTGGAGGGGTTGGTCGGAGGCGATTTCTTGGTCAAGGTCCAATCGATTTCGCTGCAGCTGACTGTTTGATCGTTTTGCAGCGCCATGAAGGGGTTGGCGTTTATACCCTGATCAACACACATCAACAAACAATCCTTCTGTATTGGTTGTTCAAACCACAGGTTTTTGTTTTGTTACAACAATTATTTGTATCTGTTGACTTAAGGTGTGGAGAAGCCGTGTGAACCAGGAACTCAAAATACAATAACTTGTATTTCACAGGTAAGAAATATTTTTACTTACTTTTTAATAAACATTAAAGTAAGTAAAACAATCAATGCAACAACAAGATGGTAAAGCGTCAAAGCTAAACTGAAGGCGTCAGAGTTTTGCAAAGACATGGAATGAAGGCAGCGGCGTTGTGGACGTGGAGAGCATTAGATGGTCCTACCTGGAGATTGGGGCCGACCAACTCCAGTTCGGGCAGCTCTTCCTCTTTAACCTGTCAAGACAGTTCCTGTTTCCTTCAGATTCACATTTCAGTAACAAATGTAACTAATAGGCCAATAAAAATGAATAACGTTGCTATATAAAAAATATAAATATAAAAAAAATAAAGAGTGGCAGCCATCAGCTTCCAGTTGTCAGGTAAACCTTCCCCAAAAACCACAGCAAGCATAATTATAAAAGGGTTTAAGTGTTGTTGGAACCCCCTTGTAACCAAGGCGGGATTCTGTTGACTCGTTTGTTTCCTTAATCATTTCTTTGTTCTGTCACAATTCATTGTAGTTGAATAATGGTAACAAACACATTGAATTAATGTGGAAATAAATTTAAAAAACATTCGGAAGAGTATTGTTGTCATTGACAAGAACACTGTAAAATATCCTTTCCTATATGTTCAGTTTACAACAATCCATTCACTAACATCAAACGGACACAATTTTGTAATCCAATATCCAACAGCCCACTGATTGGCTGCCATCTTATTTATTGGCCCACAAGAAGCGGTGACCTTCTCGATAGTGGGACTATACATTAAGGGGCATTCAGCAATAGGATGCGTGTTTGTGTGTGATGAGAGCGCGTGGTGCTGCAGTGTGCCTCCGGGAATGACAGTATGGCTGGTAGGATAAGAGCTATGGACAGCAGAGAATAAAAGCTTTACAGCAACATTAAAAGATCGGGTTTCAAAAAAGGAAGTGGGAGGGGGAAGGGGGCGGAGAGAAGAGACAAAGGGAGTGCACTCCTAGATAAGAAACAATGAGACATTAAGCTGAAAATCCACCGCAAATAAACTATTGTGTAGTTTGGCTGTTCTGCAACCTCAAAAGATTTTACATACAACAGCAAAAGATAGATGTTTTACCGATTTTGTGGGGACATGAAGCATATTTTTCTTTTGCAAGACCTCATTAAATAAACAATTACATTTAATGATGAAGTCTACGTTTAGGTCAATGTTAGGCTGGTTATGGTGTGTGTGTGTGTGTGTGTGTGTGAATGCAGACCTCCAGTGAAGCTGATAGGGAGCGCTGAAGCATTTCTGCTTGCTTTGGTAAAACCACTTCTACTTCTGGCAGAGCAACCATTCCCTTCCCCATGTAGAGACTCACTGGGTCGACATGGGCACACCGCTTGAGAAAAACGAAATAAAAAGCACACAATATTAACAAATGGGTGTATGGATCATGTTTGAATATACACCCACACACCACTTTATTGGGTACACTTGTTCAATTGCTTGTCAACACAAATTGCTAATCAGCCAATCACATGGCTGCAACTCAATGGATTTAGGCACGTAGACTTTGTGAAGACAACAGAGGGGAAGAAAAGGGATTCAAGTGACTTTGAACGTGGCGTGGTTGTTGGTGCAAAACTGGCTGATCCGAGTATGTCAAACTACTGATCCACTGGGATTCTCCCGCACAACCACCACTAGGCTTTACAGAGAACGGTACGAGAAAGAAAACATTCAGTTAGCAGCAGTTGGACGAAAATGCCTTGTTATATGAAAGGTCAGAGGAGAACGGGCAGACTGGTTCGAGATGACAGAAAGGCAAAAGTAACTCAAATAACCACTTGTTACTACCAGGGAACGCAGCAAGGCACCGCTGAACGCACAACACGTGGAACCTTGAAGAAGATGAGCTACAGCAGCAGAAGACCACACCTGCTGCTGACCATGTCGCTCCCTTTATGACCACAGTCCATCTTCTGATGGCTACGTCCAGCAGGATATTGCAACATGTCACAAAGCTCATATCATCTCAAACTGGTTCATTGAACATGAAAATGTAATAGTCACTGTACTGAGTGGTGGAACGGGAGATTCACATCATAGATGTGCAGCCGACAAATGTGCTGTGTGATGCTATCAAGTCAATATGGTAGCAATATGTCAATATGTCTGAGACAGTTATGAAGGCAAAAGGGGGGTCCAACCTTTTACAAGGTACTAGGTGTACCTAATAAAGTGCAGAGTGTATATCAAAATAAATAAACTGTATTTTAGTACCAATCGTACCATGGTCACAGAACAAAGCATTGTTCTCTGTGTTCTGGCCTCACAACTCACAACTAAGCTGCAGCAATAGTATTGTCATTCGTTATTACCAGGTTCATATTTAAAACACGGATTTAGTAATGTGGATTAACTACACAGACATGTGAGGCGTGCATGTAAATACCCAACATATTTACAGAGACATCTAGCAGCCAGTCAGACTGGTGTCCATCATTAGCTGTGAGCACAGCTTACCGCTGCACTGGCCGTGGAGCTGCAGGCGGCCCCGTGGCCCTGGCTCAGCAGGACAGTGTGGATGTAGAGGTCCTGATCAGTATGCGTGTCACACAGGTACAGCTGGAGCACCTCTCCGGTGTAACGATCCAAAGCACCCACCAGGGTGCGATCGGCGCACAGCTTCTGGAACGCGGCCCCGGCCTCAGCAGTCCAGCTGCCCTGCAAGAAGAAAACACATCACTCACTCACAGAGCTGCATGGAACAGAACCTTCCGTCTGCAGCTTGACAGGATCAATTTATTCACAATGACACTATTAAAGTTATATAAAATAATTACACACTAATTATACAATATAGCACCCGGGTATTTTAAATAAAAAGTATATACTATGAATATTCGCGCACCTACCATTAAAAAAGGGGGCGGGCATCACCCCAACTCCCCAAGAAAACGTCAAAGCCGCCAGAAAGAACGCATCTGAAAATGAAAATGTCGATGTTCGGCCTCACACCGACCCAACTCCCCTCCCCCGGTCAATCCGCCCCCGCAAACCTAGGAGAAAAACTGCCCTTTCCACAGACGCCAGATCCAGATGACCACTGATTATTACTAAATATGCTACCGGACTTACGGTGCTGGGTTTGATTCCAGCGAGTGATGACGGAACAGCCTGTGCCGGAAGAATTGAAAAACAGGACCTGAGGAAACGGGGCAAGGCACAGAAGCGTATTAGCCGAGCAGCAGGAGCAGGACTAGTTGGACTGTTGAAGAGCCTAAATGTATAGATGTCCATACTTGAGGAACTTGAGGATGGCGGTCTGTACAACCATCATGTCACCAAAGTCGACATAGTACACCTGGACCTCAGTGGGGCTGACGATCTGATGGATCACCACGCGGTAGAACCACATTCCTTTGGGGGACACACAGCAGACTTGACCTGTGCGGACAAATGGCTGAGGGAGGCGGTAACGCTCTGACACCTCAGGACACGTGTAGCGTTGTCTACAGTCGATGGAGGAAGAGAGAAAAGGGGAAAAAGCACACAGGATGTTATTCTCCAAGCATCGGGGAGCTTGACATGTAAACCCGGTATGGTAAGCAGTTTAGTTCTCAAGCGGAACTAAATATGGGGGACACGGCGAAAAAACGCTTGGGTGACGCTTGGGAAGTGTGTCAAGAGGGACAAGCGCATGTGATTGGAAGAGAATCTGGTCATTTTCAATAAATAAAGGAATGTGTTTGATCAGCATGTCCACCACCTCATCTCAATCATCATGTCCTCCATAGCGCGGGCCTCCTCACTCTCGCTGAAGCGGATGTAGAAAAGTCCAGGCGACTCAACCCGTTCCACCAGGACTTCTACCAGCTCTCGAGCACCACGGCGTGTTGGCGGTTCGAGACGCTGACTCTGCACGGCATCATGGGGAGCCCCAGGACTGCAAAGCATCTGAACAGTGGGGTACATCAGAGGCATCTGCAGGAGGACAGTATTATTCTACAGCACTGTTAAAACAGCCAACAGGTTTCAGAGTAGTCTAATCTGAATTTACACACTTCAACATTTTACACAGGGTACACTGGAAATGGGGGATTGACACATTATTTTTAAGGGCTGTGAAAGCTCACAACTTGTACTGGTATCGCATTGTGTGATTACGGGATTTTAGTCACAGTTTTAAGATGGTTCTTTGAGCCTGGTAATGTAAAAAAAACAACTAAACAAATCAGACGTTGCCGAACCATTTCATGGGTCTTGAAATTGTTGCTGGTCTCCAGCTTGTCATCGTCAGCTGTGATACAATCATGGTGTTCTTCCAGTTTGCCTTCCCAAGGAGACTCTCCAGAGCGCAAACAGGAGCTGATGAATGACCGCTTCGGACGGCTATCGACGCACTCCGTCCCCTCGGAGTCTACAAACCACAGAAAAATAAGTTTCCTGCTTAGTTGAAAGTTGCGCCACTATTAAGCTGCGTCCCATGATATCCCAGTCAATAACACGTATTACAACATCCCATTGATGAGAAAGAAATGTTGTCCTTGTTATACACTGGTAGCCTCCATAGGTGAGATCTTAGTTTACTACAACATAAACAGACAGTAGTATTATGTCCAATATTTTCTAACTTTTTTTCAGTCAGCTTTATTTTGATGCCTAAATGAAGTAATTTGGGCACTATTGGCAGCTGGTTTCTGAAACACATACACACCTGATTGTTTACTGCCACAGTCCTGTATGTCGATGACTATCCAGTGTTGGGCAATTTCACTGTCTACAGGTTTCAGGTGGAAGGTGTCACTCATGGCACCGACCAGTTCAGTGACACTGACAAAGCCACTTTGTTGCACTGGGAGTTCCTCACCAAAAACCCTCTGAGGAGAAAAAACAATCTTTCATTTTCATCTGAACTAAAGAACAGTTTTGTCACTTCCTGATCACTAAGAGTCAGACAGAAAACCAAAAACAGTGAACGCAACGCTTCTTATTTATCCCAAAGGACGTAATCCAGTGCCCTATGTGAGTTCTGATGCTCCCAACACCAGAAGGAATTAGTCTTAAACTCTTGAACCTTTTGATGGGAAAACCACCAGAGTGCGGCATTGCTATCTTTTAAATTAAAAAAAAGCTTACTTTGTACTCAGCAGGCAGATCGTGCACCGACAATCCACCACTGCTCTGACCTACAACCTGTAAAGTCATGAACATAAGAATTACACAGATTGTAACCATGGTCCTGCTAACGTTTGCTACCAAAATAACGTCAGACACAAAAGCAAAGGATATTAGAAGTGTGGGCTGGTGACCTGGTAGTGACCTGGAGCCATATGCTTAGAGTAAGCAGTATCTCTAACCTCTCGCAGCTTGTCCTTCAGCTCCGGACTGATGGTGCCAGCGACTCCATTCTCCACAATTTTCTGGCAAAGCTCCTGCTGCAGCTGACGTAGAATTAAAGTAGAAAGATTAAAGATAATGCACTCATATCAGTTTTTCAGACTTTTTTATTATTCCGGACTTTTTCAGGGGCGCCAGCTTGTTAGAATGGTAGAGCACGCACACGCACGCACACACACACACACACACACACACACACACAGTATGGGGTCTATTTTCTCCCCTTTTCAATTTCTGAATCTTTGAATTAAGATGCAGATGAAGATATTGCGCCTTCTTACCTCAAGGACATGGCTCTGAAAGAGCTGATCGTCTTGACCGTGCGCTGGTTTTTCTTCCTGGTTCTTCTCAACCATCTGTGGCTTGTGAGCGATTGACTGTTTGTGGACGGGGCCGAAGGTCGCCTCAGGGGCTGGCTGGTTCACAGGACTTTGTTTCACTGGGACTTTGGTTGGAGTAAACCACACAAGGGCTTTTACAAATTAAAATGAGTGCTTAAGATATCAACACTACAGAATATGAACTCATCCTGCTTAATGCTGTTCAGTGTGTTAGTTTGACATTATTGTAATAATCTATATTAAAAAACCATTTGGGCGGAGAGTTATCGTCAACATAGCCCATGTCTTAATGCATTCAAAAGACACTGGTGTGGATTATTTAGGGATAGCCTCTAGCAAGAAGTTTGATTTGTAAGTGCATCACCTGGTTCTGTTGGTGTCTGAGTTCTGGCGTCTGGCACTTTGGGACCTGAATTGAGACTTTTAGGCAATTCTGACTTCATGTGTAGAGTCCTTGTGTTGCGGGACCGCTGGAGCATCACATGTTCCTTCAGGATCAGAACTGACCCCAGCTTGCCCTGCTGAATAACGACTAGGTCCTCCACTGCCTTCAGCATCTCCACAATGGAGTAGAAGCCGTAGTTGTGGACACGCAGCGGCTGGCAGAAGCAACGCAGGAAACCGGCCTCCAGGTCAGACAACTTCAGCGGACCCTGGGGGAACGGTTTAGTTGGAAAAATGAACACATTGGTCAAACAGCTCCTCTGACGCGCTTAACTGCAGAAGTCCTACCTGGGAGAGCAGTATGCAGAGCTGTGCCCTGAGATGAGCAGGCGCAGACGGAGGGGCGCGACCTCTCCTGGGGAGGACCATAGCCGCGGGCCGGTGACAGTAGCGGGGCGAGAAGGAAATGACACGTTGCCTTGTGGTCTTCTTGGGCTTGCGCTGTTTAGCTACTAGCTCTTCAATGTTTCGGGTGGAATCGTCGCCGACAGCTGTGATTGCGGACATGTAAAAACTTGTTGATGTGTGAGCTGACTCGCATGCATTAAACACTGCCATGGATTAGGTTTTTTTCCCCTCCTCAATGCTGAATTGACAAAGTGTTCAAATAATATACTCCAATGAAAAATGATGTTACCGGTTAAAAACATGCTGCCATCTACCCTGAAGTTAAAAGACACCACTTCAGGCATCTCCTTGACCATATCCATGACGTGTCTAAAGCCCAGAAGATTCAGGGGCATTGGACGACCCAACATGGCCACGTAGTCTCGCTTGAGTTGATCGGCATCCAAGCCCGTCTTTGACGAAATGAGCAAAGAACGGACATCCTTCTTCAGGTTGGCAAAAACCTCCTCCTGGTTCATCTTGCTCGTTGACATCTGAGGAAGGCAGCGAACATGACATCACTGCACAGACCTGAACCCGAGCAGGCGGTTGGACCAAGAGAGACACACGCACAGTGCTCAATGCTGGAATGAAGGATCGCTTCGATTGAGTTTATATTGGATTAATCAAAAATCATATGGTCAAAATTCATAACAGAAAAATAAATAAATTCTATGTTAAGAAAAGTTGGCAATAAATGACATTGCGTTGATTGAACTTATTTGGCCATCTTTAACCCAGTGAGCACGAGACTGCACATCTGGTTGAAAAGAGGTCTGAACGTCAAACACCTCATTTCAACTTGTCTTTTCTAACAGCTAAAACGTGGTTACAACATCAATGTGCCAACAAATCACCCATTTGTTGATAATGTGTTCTGTTTTTATCATTAAGATTTTCAGATTAATTGAATGAACTGGTCGGCGAAATGTGGTCTATGCAAAGAAATTATTTAACGTAGTTAATATTTCATTTAAAAAGTCCTAAATATGAAACAATGTGCGTGTGTCTGTGTGCTGTTAACAAGATGCTTTAAGCACACGGTAATGAAATATTAACCCCCCTTCGGTCGACCGGTCCGGTTGGCTTTGGCCACAATAACTACACAATATTAACTAAACCACATGTTGACTACACGGTTAACAACGTTGCTTATCGTTAAGTTAATGACCTTTTACTAAGCGGACACTCGACCACCGGAGTGCACGACGCGTCGCTAACGTTAAATTGTTAAGTTCACTGTTAAAATAGCAAACGCTGCTATGGCTGCAGGTGGATCATGAAAGTGTTCAGAAGTTTACATTTTTAACGTTAAGCTACGCGTTTACCACCCAGAACAAGCCCGTCTCGTCCAAATTGTTTCCTGAAATATTGTGGCCACCTTACCCCAAATCTTCACTCGATAAGTGGACGTCTCGGTGATTGATTGTCCACGTGCTGCGAACTGACCGCCACACACGTTCGTGCTGTGTAGACGACGACAACAGCACACGGGGGGAGTTATCTGCTCAAAAGCGCGTGGAGAGAAAACGCCGTTGCTGCTTCGGTGGATTAAAACGGGGTTGCCATGCGCACGGTCCCCAAGTCACGTTGCCGTGGCGGAAAACTGCGCGAGCACAGATCTATGGAATGCAGTTTTAGTCAAAATTAAATAAATGAATAAATACATAAATACATGAAATATGCATTCGAAATACATCATGAAATAAATAAATGAAGCAACAAATACATAAATATTAAATACATTTAATTATTGCATGGTACTTTTATTTCATAATGCCACTTTTCATGTCATGGTACTTTTATTTCATAATGCCGTTTTACATTTCCAGAGACTTATTTCATAATGCCATTTTACATTTCAAATTCTTATATGCAAATCAGGGGGCGTGGCTACATCTAACATTCAGAACAGACAACAGAGCCGTGTGCAAAGGAAGGCTGGCTAAGGGACGTGAGTGTTGACATAATGGAAGACATCGGTGGGCTCCGAGGTAGCATGCTAGCATTAGCAGATCAAATCCATCAACATGGGTTTTCTGCAGATTTTGACACAGATTGAGGGTTTTTTGGAAATACTAGGGCGGATAAGTGCTCTTCAAGATGTATACATAGACGACGAAGTTTTAAATTGTTTAAGACTGATTGAGCACCGCGTGCGTGTGGAAGAGGTCCAAGTTGAGGTCCAAGTTGATGAAGTCAACATTAGCGCTGGTACTACAAGCACAGGTGCTGGATTCCCGCCTCTGGATATGTCTGGCGACAAGCTGGCTAACTTTGTGTTGTCCGGTCTATTAACCCGAGAAATCCAATATCCAGGAAGATCGTATGTTTAAAAAGCCAAGATCTTCATATGTCACACATGAAAAATAGCTCAAGCCTGCAGACTGCAGACCGTCTTTATCATTCATTTGTTTCTTCTTCTGTTTATCTTTTATGGTCTGTTTGGTAGCATTCCTCTTTTAGTTTTAGAGTTTTATTTATTTAATTTCCTTTCTCAGATTTTCATTTGGGAGGGGTTATATTGCTGGATTTGGAGTGGGTTATTTTGGTGTCTTCTGGGGGTTTGTTTTGGGGGAGTATCATTTATTCTGTAAATTCTATTATTACTTTTCATGGTGATATTCTGTAAGCATATAGAAAAGATGTGTCATTTGAGTGTTTAAACTTGTATTGTTTATAATTAAAGAACCCTCCTTGCCAATCTCGTCTGGTCTCGGTGGAGAAAGATGGATATGAAGAGCTGTGCTTTAACCATATTAACCATTTTCAGTTTAATTAAGGATCCATTAGGGAGGATATTGTGTGTCCTGCCCTGTGCAAGCAGAGAAACCCCTACATCAGCTCTTGGGAAAGGAGAAGCCTGACTCTGCACATTCAAAATGAAGACAACATGACTCCCTCAGCTCCAATGACACACTTTGTCCCAGCAATTAACTTTGAATGGCTTTGGCTTTAAAAGTACAGAAACATAATCCAAACAAATGCACCCAGTGACACAAAGATTTAGAAGTTTAATGCAATTAGTGTGCCTGTTTATATTGTATATGTTATTAGAAGTAGAATATTCTATGCATGCTGCAATAGCATAAGAGATAACTTATATGTTACACTTTAATATTTCTGTGACAGAATTAAGAGCTTCCATGCTTTAGCAGCTAAAGTAAACATTTGGGTTTTTACCCTTGTGGCAGCTTATTGATGAAAATGAGCAAATAATAATGATGACAAATTTTGCTGAATAGTACTGAAATAAACATCGAACAATCCCTGGGTATTGTGAGTTTATCTCTTATAAGGCCTCTCTGAATCTGGGAGAAAAAAGGGAGAGATTTACCTGGAAATTGGGAGATGACCTGAACACGACCGTATTTTGACATTTTCTTAAATCATTATCCTTACTCATTGTTTGACTTGCTGCTTTGACAACACAAAGCCTATTAAATATCATGCTCACAATGGTTCACTGACCTGAATTTATTTGAAAAACAGAGAAGGTGGTGTGTGTCACTCCCACTGCTGTCCTACTCCCTAGTTCAGACTCATTTACCATGTAGTGTGTGTGATTCTCATAGCAGCAGGACCTCCAGCCAGAGGAAGCAAACCGCAACAGTAAAATAGAGAACATTTCTCAGCTGTCTCTGCTTTCCCTCCTACATGCTCTACACTGCAGAGCCTCCGGCTAGTATGGAGAAGTCCTCCGACGTCCACCCTGGTCTCCTGTCGAGGTCCAGCACAACGAGGGAGCGGGAGAGGGGAAGCGGAGCCTCTGCGCCTCCCAGAAGTCACAGGCCGAGACCGTCCAAGGCTGGCCGGGTCCCCGGGACATCATCAACGAGGAAGGAGAGGCTGCAGAGCGAGAAGCCAGAGAAGAACGAGGTGACGGTGGAGCAGGAGACACAGGTGAAGGTGAGAACCACGGTGGTGGACATAGACAGCGTGAGAGACATCGAGGTCAAGGAGGAGAACCTGGGACTTCTGGAAGCAGCAGAAGAGCAGGAAGGTGAGTTAATATCTGGAGAAAAGCCCGGGACATTCAATATGCAGTTGGGAAACGCTCGACAGTGGTTTTATTTGTATTATTGTTAAACTGTGGATAATGTTGTGATCTGAAAATGTCTGTCTGAAGTGTATACTGTAAACTAAAAAATAAATGACAAATCGTAACCTAACAAAAGGTTTGGAAAATCTTTAGGGCAATGAAATTGAAACAGTCTTTTATGTAATATTATCTTGGTTGGGCTTCTTCACACAAAGTGCGGGTGTGGATCTCTGCAGGTCTGAAGCACGACAACCTGGGAGTGTGTGAGTGGCTGCTGATGGTCTTCGTCTTGGCTCTGGTTCTCCTCATCCTCCCTCTTTCCATCTGGTTCTGTGTCAAAGTACGAACTACAGCACAGACCGACCACAAACCTAACGCATGTACAATAGTCCACCTCAAAATGATTAGTTAACAGAAATTATGCAAAACAAGACACATAGAACGTGTAAGTTTGCAGTTTCCAGCTTTTGAACCACGTGGAGAATTCTATTTGGAGATATGTTACGTGAATACTGGGATTTTTTACGTATGACAATGGGCTGTTTTAGACTATCAGCATTTTTGCCTAATTGCCATTGTTGTATTTGTAGTGCAATACACTATAGTCACAGCCATCATTACATACTCATGTTCTTATACTTTCTCACACTCTATTGTTATCGTACAACGTGTTGTATAAAAACAATGGACTGACTGATGTCTGTCATTTTGATTGACAGATAGTGAGGGAGCATGAGAGAGCAGTGATCTTCAGACTGGGTCACCAACTGAGAGGAAGACCCAGAGGACCAGGTGGTCACCAATTACCGCAGCTTTCTTTTATGCAACACAGTTGAATTGTCATTTCTCAGTAAATGTCATTGGTATTAATTACTGGCGGGATGGCTGGCTTGTGAACATACATCTAAATCGACCCTTAATTATTTGTATTTTTTAAGTCATCATCATTAACCATTCTTCCTACTTTCTCCAGGCCTGATTTTTTACCTTCCACTGCTTGACGTGTGTCACAAGGTTGACATTCGCCTGACGATGCTGAAGGTTCCTCCTCACACGGTACAGAACACATTTGGCTCCATGTGTACAAATGATTACTGTGCAGCGTGTGTGTGTGTGTGTGTGTGTGTGTGTGTGTGTGTGTGTGTGTGTGTGTGTGTGTGCACGGCTTTCCCTGAAACCTTTCATAGTCCAAGAAAAGATCTGCTTATTTTTCCACCTACCGGGAAATCTATTTAGAGGAATCCCGCACAATGAAGCATGATTCCAACAGGGTTACTCAACCTTTTCAGAGGATGAATAAATGAAGTGAAGTGATGAGTGAAGAGAATCTAATGCCACCAGTCTTCTGACTTTTCACACGTCTGTACTCAGGTGGTGACGAAGGACTTGGTGAGGCCGGAGCTGAGTGCGGTGTGTTATTACCAGATAGAGAATGTGACTTTATGCAGCACAGCTCTTTGCAGTCTGACCACAGTGATGCAGTCTCTGGTCCAAGCGGTGGTCAGAGACGTACTCGCCCAACACACATTCAGCCACATCCTGCTCAACAGGAGGAAGATCGGACAGAAGATACAAGCAGGTGTTGATTCTGTCGCTTGCCGCTGGGGCATCAAGGTGGAAAGAGCAGACATGTAAGAATGAAGATAAAGAAAGACAACCATCTTCGGCAGCATCTTTGTTTTATTGGAGCTCTTGTATCAGACAGCAGCGCCTGATATTAACAGCTGACGCTTTAAATGTCTGAAGAGAATTACGAGTATTTATGAAGAAACCTGCGAGCCCGAAAAGAAGAGGCTGATTTGTACATTGCAAAGATCTAACAGGGCTTTAGATAAAATTCTTCCTCTTAAATCTTTGATTTTCCGAGGTAAACAACAAAGAGTAATGCAGAGATTAGTATCTTCCTGCTGACCAGGCTTGTGTTTGATTCCCCGTCAGAGAGGAGCTTAGTTTTCCCGTGGAGTTACAGCAGAGTCTGGCTGCCGAGGCTGCGGCCAAAATACAACAACAGGTCAGAGTGAGTAACTATACCAGCTTTTTCATCAAATGTTTTCTATATGTTAATGCTGCCTTCCAATATGATTATATTACTCTTGTCAATTTCACTAAAGATGAATTCAACTCAGCAGCTTTAATTTTATCAAGACAGGTAGAAGTACACTCAAATACACTATATTCACTCTATATTTATAATTAGAACATGTCTAACTTTGGCTCATCGCTGTTGTTGTGTCTAAAAGACAAAAGGTGACACCAAAGATTGCTCAGGCTGCTTTTTCAGATTTTCCGTCCCAAAGCACAGTCTTGGTTTAGCTTCTGAACTGAAGTTGACCTCAGCCAGTGAGATCTCTTCTGCATTCCCTGTAATGTTTCTGTAGAGAAAACATGCTTCCAACAGCCGTCCTTCTCTTTCTCCCAGGTGAAAGCGGCAGAAGGAGAGAGAGATGCCTGGGAGGGGTTCAGGGCTTCGCTGCGGCTCCTCCATCCCGCCTTGGTCCTTCCACTCTCCCAAGATCTACTAAGCTTGACCCCTGACCTCTCATCACTCCCACCCCCTCCTCCCCCTGCAGTGGAAGGAGAGGTTGGGACGACAGAGGGGGAACTAGATACAGATTCGCCAATGATGTGAAAGTTGATCATTGTTTAAATGTTATATTTCACTCCCCTTACAGAAGCGAGTGTAAAGCATTCTGAGCTTATGAAACAGTTTGAGCATTTTGATCATGTAAAAGTCAACAGCCTTTGTGACCCATTAAAGAAGTTGGTAATCAATGTTTTATTTAGTTTTTTGGAATTTGAGTGGTTGAGATTAAGCACTGATTTCCACTGGTCAACTGGGTGTAGTAATGTTTACACAAGAATAAAATCAATATATATATATGAATTCTCATACAATTGGTATGATTTTGGACAACATCCTGATCTCGTCAATGTATTTCTGTTTTGTTCTTTAGCTTTCATGTGTTTTCACGTGTAACCTTGTGAAGCAGTACATGTGTTGGTAATATGGAGTCCTTGTACCTTAGAGAGTTTTCTTTAACTGGTTCCATAGTCCTGCAGACTGAACTAGCCTTGTTACATCCCAGAAAATACATGAAAATGAAAAACTAGAATTTTTTCTAAAAACAGTTCACCCAACATTTAATACACAGATTGAAAGTAGTGACAGATCACCGTTTCTTGGTCTTTTTGGGGATACTTGTTGATTTGCCTTCAGTTGTGGTCTTCTTTTGAGGAGCTGGAGTGGTTACTGGTCGCAGGGAGAGAGGCGGTGTCGTCTTTCTCTCTGCAATAAAAACAAATGTATTGCACAACATGTACTAACTTTATGCTTAATAATTATTTAGGCCGTACCTTCATTACTTTCGGGCTCCAGACTGGGTCGACCTTGCAGTTGTCTCTCCAGGTCCTGAATCTTCTGCAACGCTGCTTGCAGAGCTTCCTCGGCCTCGAAGGCCCGCTGCTCGGTACTCAGGACACGCAGTTCGGCATCACTTCAACATACATGAAGAGAAATCAAAACTGGATGTCTTTTTACACAGCCACACGCCCAGTCTCCATCTCTGAACAAACACAACTCAGCTAATCTGTGGAGCAACATAAAAGCGTGCATAGAAATCAATTCCTATTGAGCCCGTAGCCTGCGAGTGTTTAAAGCAGTACGTGCACAAACCGGATATCCATTGACGGTTGTCCTCTTTTAAAGAGTCTTGAAAAAAAACATTGACAGCTACGGATATAGAGGGAAAATATAATATCCCCTTTAAAAGGTGACGTGATTGACATGAGAAGGTAATGCCAAAATAAAGTTGCACTTCACATTAAGAGAGTTAACTTACTGCAGTTCCTGTTGCAGAAATACTACTGTGGTGAGATCACTAAAAGCTTCCCGGGCTTCATCTGTTGCTGGAGACACAACCAGCTGCTCAGTCTGACAGACAGACGGACAGACAGTTTTGTTCAGCTCCTTACACGGGGAAAGGCCAGACACTAACACTGGAAAGGGTGTGTGCTTTAGTGTTCTGACCCCTTTGAGTTGGACACGGCTCTCTCCCAGCTTTCTTTGTGTAATGTTTCCATCATAGCTTATTAGCTTCAACACAGGGGCTTCGTAAACCGTAAGCTCCCCCTGCAGGAGGACGACAACCACAACATTGTTATTTTTCGGCAGGTCTTGTTCACAACATGTGAAATAAGCCGTGTTCCTTTAAAAAAAGACCAATGTAATCCTCAAGAATTTATTAAATTACATAAAACTCATAACCTATAACGGTCACAGTGAGCCATATTATTTTGATACATATATATCAAATATTTCAGATTTCGAAACAGGATACATGTTGTATAAAACATCGACGCCAAACAGCACCGTCCAGCAAGTTTAATAGTTATAGTTGAAGAGTGTCATTGAGTGTACATACTCCACCACAAACTCCGAAGCTTCTAAAACGACTCACATCTTTCGGTTCTGCCTTAGTCTCATCTTTGACCTCTACTTTCAGCACAGCTTCAACCTCTTCGTTCACCTGTAAACACACACAAAACCACAAAAACATTTGCTTCCTCTTGCAGTTTCCAGATCTCAAACATTTGTGATGGTGAAGTGATCACAACTGAAACCAGCAACAGATTGTGAATCAAAAATAGGTCTATCCATGTTTCCTCACCAGAGTCTCCATGCTGTCTGCTGGACAGACCGGTACATCAACGCTGGAGGCGGGGTCAGCCTGTGGGACAGGCTGCTCTGCAGGACCACCCGTCGCCCTTGTGAGCAGGATTATACTGGTCTCCACCCAATCAGCGCACTCCTTCTGAGGATGGACACCACAAGAGGTCACTCAGTACACGTGGAGGTTTGTTTAGGGCATCTTCCCGTCATCTAACTTGTGTATGGCTCCCTCTCTTGGAGTGTAAGTAAAACAACAAGCTGAACCTTTTGAAAATAGAATATCGGTTTGGTGCATATCTTGATTATTAAACACTATTTGTGAAACGTAAAAACATGCATCTCTGATGTTTCTATTAAGTCTTTGCCATCTATGTCATTCTGTATCATCACCTGCAGCTTTCTGCACTCATTCCTCTCATTTTCACTCTCGACTTCATATGGGTTCAGCGTCTGCTCCTCCAGAATCCGTAGGCAACAGCTGGAGTCGAAAACAAACATTTCCTCTTTTAATCCTGGAGAAAGTCCTCATCTAGTGCTAAATTCAGTCTTAGAGTAACTAATCATAGGTAGCCATCGTTTCCTTTCCGTGTGTCGTTAGACTGCACAGTGTGAAAAGTAAAGCACCGCCCTCTGATTCAGATCAGTACTTAAAGGTTAACGTATTGTTTACGTATTGTACAACTTGTGGGTCGGTAAACAGCATCTGCATAACTATGCATTTTTTATTATTATGTGAATTGTAAAATTCAGCTACCTGCTGATGTACGTGGAAATAAGGTTTAGTTTCTCAGTCAGCGTCTTGGCATCTTTATCCAGCGTCTGTAGTGAGATGTTTGTAACCTGGCGGTGTTCCTGTTCTTGGTCTTGGTCTTCACTACACTCGGGTATCGTGAGGAACAACAGATCTAACATCCAGCTGGTCTGTCCAATGTGAATAGAACTGACCTGACAGGAGAGAAAACACTCACACGTAAGCTGTAACGTCACAGCAAATAGACACACTCATAACGGTGTTGGTCACCTATTTGAGTTACAACATGTTAGGAGTGGCTTTGGTCTTTCAAACGTAGTCTAGCGTCTGAGGGTTATGGGTTTGTTCCAAAGCACGCAATGGAAATGTGAGCGAGGTTGTAGTTTTTGCAAACATTCAATGGGTGTTAGTGAACCTGGTTGGCACTGACCTCGTCACTGAGTCTGTGGTTCTCACCATCGGTGAAGGTGGACAGGCTGGTTATGAATTCCTGCACTTTCTCTAACGCCTTCTCTGTCTCTGTGCTGTTTGAACAGACAAATACATGCAAGTAAATAACTATTTAAATGTGCTCATTAAAATAAAATACATTTCTCACCAGAACACAAATACAATGTGTTTAAACAAAAAAAGAGACTTGAATAATAGACAATTTCTTATGAGTGATCCATAAACATATGAAGAATACCACATTTACAGTACAGTACATTGAAAAGTCTTTTTTTTGGAGCAAATTGACAAACAATTTTAAAAATGTGTATAAATTAGGAAATCTGTCTCTGCATTAAATCCATTCCGTAGACAGAACTTACAATATGTCTGGCTTATTTGTGTCCACGTTCTCAAAGACTTCAGCCAAACTCTTCCAGTTTTGCAGTGCCTTCTCCAGCTTCAGCCAGTCAGAAACCGTACTCATTCCTGGTGGAGCCATCTCTTCACCAAGCTTGGTAACTTCAGACTCCATCAAGCCGAGCAGTGACATGATCTGTCCGTGGATCCCTGAAAACCACATGACTGGAATCAGATCCAACCCTTTAATACATATATTAAGTCTATCGCACTAAAAGACAGTTATTTGAGATGGAAGATTCTGTGACTAGAGCTTGAGTATGTATGTCAGCATCACACCATGAAACTACGTGTTATCAAATCCTGATTTTGTAGCTGTCACTAGTTCTGTTTGTTTACAGATATCCATTTGGACTTCACTGAGAGCAGTGGCAAGCAAAGGTACATTTTACAGTCTGTAGGCCTAAAGAATTCCAGTTTCTAGCTAATTATGAATTATTCAAAATTGTGTCTCGGTCAACCCTCACCACTATAACCAGTGACTTGAGTTTCCAGCTGTTTCAGGAGCTCAGATAGGACCACATAGAGCTCTCTTAGGTCCTCTTGGCCTCTGCGGGGTGTGCCATCAGGAGAAGCGTGTCTTCTGAACAGCTCAAGGCTCATATTCAAACATCTTTCCTGCACACAGTCAAGCTTGCCGAGTGTCGGGTGGCAGAGAAGCAGCTTCTCACCCTGACAGCTGTCACACTGAAGGGCCAGGGTCTGAAGAGACAGAGGACATGGAGGAGACTACACATACTGTATGACCCAAATTGCAACATATCCACTGGATAATTGTAATACAATTTATAGGAAGCAAGACAAAATATACCCGTGATTTAAGAATAGCTTTTCCTGGTCTGGGACTCTAGCCGAGTGTTAAAGATATAGATGTATAGATAACATCAATAACCTACAAGGAGAAGAACACGGCAAAACAGATGGAGGAAATCAATGTCTTACATTTGACCAGTCCTTCAAATCAGAATGGCACTTTTCCAAAGAAGCGTTGCCATGTTTTGATTCAGAACAGCTTGAAAGAGAGTAACAGCATGTTTGGCAGAATGCACACACAGATCAATCGCTTCCTCCATAAACTGCTCTCAATTACAGTACTTTACTGATCAAAAACACTATTATTATAGGTTATCAGAGTTTAAAAAACCAAAAACATTTTTGTTAGATGGATGGCTAATAATGAACCCATACATAATCTCCCTGGTATCTTGGTTTATCCTTACTTGTTCTGTGTGCTGCACAGGGCGAGCCACTTGGTGATGCCTTGCTGGACCGCACTGATCTGTTCACACTGAGCACACTCAATCTTCTTGAAATTGGCCATAAAAGCAGTCAGCTGCTCCTCCCATTGGTCAGTAAGATCCATGAGGGTAGTCAGATCCTCCGTGTCCTAAAGTAGGAAGGTCACTTTCATATTAAAAGTGTACTTGAACCACCAGGAATATTTCCACAAAGTATTCTGGGGCGTTTGGTGTTTTCGCCTTGAGCAACACCGAAACTGTTACCAGCTATGAACTGCATTGTTACCTTCGAAGAGATGTAAAGCCTGCAATGCACAGCTGTATTGAACCAGCTCTGTGCAACAATGTGAAGCTGGCTGATCAGCCTCAGCTTCTTTACCCTGATCACCTGACAATCACAGAGACATGTTATACGTAACATATTATCCGTAATATATTTCTCATTCCTTCTGATTGCGCTGTTAATGTAAAGTCTATTCAGCATTACATCAAAATCACAAACAACAAACACGTGACGTTAATCCAACAGAAAGAAAAAAGAAACACATCATGGCTCTCACACCTTGAGGGCGAAGTCCAGTGACAACTGCCTCAAGGAGTCTCTCTCCTCAGTCATCTGGAGCAGCTGAGCCTCATGGCGCCCCCTCTGCAGCTCATAAAATTCATGATAAGCCTGTACCACACTGAGAGGAGCATGGGGACTATTTGAAAGGGAACATCTGGTCTATTTTTGTAAAAGGCTGCTGTGTACATTATAACAAGGACTGTTGATAGCAGTCTCTCTTATCTAATAAATGTTGGCAATTGAATAAACAATGTTACTCTTTACTGTAGTTTTAGTCATTTCTTGATCAATCATTATTTCATAAGTCTCTTTAAATAAACGCATATACAAATATAAAAGCGTAAAATGAATCAGGAAGGTTAATTTTTGATTGCATCAATTTAGGAAAAGGACTGACTCAGAGTTGGTTTGAGACAGCTCGAGTGCCCCGGCCAGCTGCCGGTGAGCGCGCGCCGCCTGCTGGGAAACAGATGCATCGTGGTCTCTGATTCTGGACAGCTCCCTGTGAAGAGGATGCAAACCCATAAACAGATACGCAGGCCAATCAGCATTGGCAACACATTCCTTATATTTTAAATATTGTAACGGGTGCTATTATTTTTGGTAATTTGCATTTATTATTCACCCTTTGAATGAATAAAATCCCTCTTTGAACATGTTCCAGTGTTTAAAAACACACACAGTCACCTGACACCTGAGCTACGTACACGTTGAGCTTCTGGATGGACGTCTTGATGCGATGGATCTCCTCGGTGAGCCGGCGGTCCACAGCTCGCTGTGCCACTGCCTCAGTGTGCAGAGCCTTCAGTCGGCAGGGGATTCGCTCCAGCAGGGACTGGTAGCGCTGTCTGCACACACAAACACCAGAGCGGCTGTGAAAAAGGACTCTCTGCGGTGAATGCAGGAAGAAAACTTTCAAGTGAAATCTCCTGACTATTTGTCAAAGTGTGTTTCTAAACTAACCTCAAAAAACTATAAAATGGTAATACAATTACAGAGTGAAGGTTAATTTCACTATTTATTATTCTTAAAAGCACATGAAACTCCCTCAATGGTGTTTCAGAATTGAAATGCCGTCCTTGTGTATTAGCTGCTAACCGGAGTTTGGCAAGAAGCTGTCCTCTCTCAGCACAGCCCACGCTGACCTGCCGAATCACCTCATGGAAAACAACGTTGTAGATGTTCTGCTCTACCTGGACGAGCTCCAGCAGAGCCTCCATCTGTAAGACATGTCATTGCACTGTTTCCAATTTTGTGTATAGCTAGCTCTACAGGAAAGGAAAAATCTCAGGAGAAAATTAGTTTTTCATATACAGCTTTTATGACAGAAAGATTTCCAGTCCCTCCTCCACTGAGGGTGCCCTCAGTACACTCCGGCCCCTGCATCAGATTTCCCCAAAAGCCTGATGTTGGTGTAGTATGTATTTTTCTTGGTGCATACAGCAAATGCAGCGCAGCACTAGTGTCAGTCATAGATGCACAGAGCAGCCCGTGTGCTTTCTGCTTGTCTGTGTACCTGGGAGATCTCTGTCAGCTCCTCGAAATGCTGATCCACTCCGGCCTTCTCCAGCATGTCATCCATCATCCTCATCAGCTGGATCACTTCCAGTCTGCCACTGGGCCTCCTGGACACACACAACAAAATCTCCAAGTGAAGTCTACTTGACCAAAACCTAATCTGTAAATCTGTAGACAAATTGTTTGAACTCACAACGAAGGAAAGACCCGTAGCTTCTGTTCATCGTCCCGCAACTGCACTGTGAACGCACTGACAAGAGAACCAACAGGAGAGTCAGTTTGAACCACAAAAATAAACGGATGGAACATATAAGAGAGCAGACTCACTCCTCGTAGAACTCAAGGGTCCGCAGCCCTTTGTTTTTCACAATGTGATATTCTTCCGGGATCAGACTTTCTGAGACACTCAAGTTCTGAAATGCAGAAGGGCGCTGATTACAGTATCACACTTCAAACTTCTAAACATAGATGTTGATGGGTTGAGACAGTTTACCTGTGTGTGTCCAACGCCACTTCTGTCAGTCAGGGGTGGTAGGGAGGTCGTCGTCCTCTTGGTTACCGTAGCATCACACAGAAACGAAATATCCCTGCGTTAACGTCATCAAAATAGAAGAGAAAAAATGAATACAGAAACAAGCACATCTATTCTACCATTGCCCTGATTCTACAGCAATAATAAAATGATCTGATTACAGATACCTATTTATACTTAAAATCAGTTTGGCCCCGCTATGAAAATTAAAAATCAAACCAAGATGGGTTTTTATTAATCCGGTCTTGTATTTTATGCAAAGAGTTAACATGCATGTTGCTATAATGGCAGTAATAGTAACAGTAGAGTGTATACAAGTCATGTTTTATCCTGTTACACCCTCCCGGTTAGAGATTGATTTTCAAATTAGATCTTTGGATGAAATTCACCGTTGTAACAACAACAACAACAACAATTTGTTGGTCCGGCTGACCTGCCGGCTCCAGTCAGGGACGTCGGCTGCTCCAGAAAGAATTTGTATTTCTCGCGTCCGAGCTGGTGATGCCAGACTGCATCTGGCCGTCTGAACCCACAGACCTGAATCCAGAGTCAATTTAGGAACTGCCACACAGAAATAACTTGCTTGGGATGATTGGCGGTAGAAGATACCTTCCCGGGCCGATGGCTCCTGCTGCTGACAGCGGAGGGAAGGCCGAGCAGCAGCTCATCCGGGATGACGTGGCTGCTGACAGGAGGACGCTGTGTCTTTCTGCTCTCTGCTGGGACTACGCAATTTAATTCCACAAGAGAGATAAATAAAAACCAAACCCAAAGAAACCAGTGGGTGTGTGTAACTCACCTTGATGTGACCGAATCCACTTTGAAATGACACAAAAACTACACGTATTGTGTGATGATGAGGGTGTCTAATTGTGTTCATTTGAAGAAAGGTGGGTTTATTTGTGTGTAGGCCATTGCAACAGTAAGGCAATTCAAAGTGTTTCACATTTAACCATTAAAAGCATCAAAACACAAGTCAAGAACAAAGACGTTAATAATTTGGTTCGAAACTGAAATATTTTTTAATTGTAGGCGTTGAAAAGACGTCAACGTGTAGTTGTAGGTCGTAAATTTGTGGACGTCGTTTCTTTGTAAACCTCTAAAATAATGATATAACGTTAATAGCACAAAGTAGAGGACAAAACATTAACGTATTAAACGTATTAAATGAACGTCTAAACGTAAACCTTTGACTTATACCCAATTTGCAACGTCTTGTCCACGTCGCCCATAGACGCCTTTCAAGCGTCTTTTCAACGGAACAATGGTCGCCGGGTATCATCGGCTAATCAGTCTGTTTAACATCCACCTGTTAGCTAGCTAACGTCACCTCTCGGGTCCAGTGCGAGCTGCGGCCTCGATGCTTTCGGCGCGGAGTTGTCCCCTTCGGACGCAGACATGTTGGATTCCCGGGGGAGACGTTAGAATGACAGTTCGGAAACTGAACTCCAAAGATCGTCGCTTCCACTCTGCCCCGAGGTGCGACAGCCCGGTCGCGTTGCCATGGAAACACCCAGGGCTCTCCATGGAGACGGAAGTTTGTTCAGTTGTTGTCAAACACTGTATGCAAATGTAGTTGCGCGGTACAACAAATACAGTTTTGTTTTATCAATGAATTTTTGCATTTGTGTTTAGTTTAGTGCTCCATAAGTGACTACAAAACAAGGACTGCAGGTGTCTCTATAGTTGTCTAGCCTTTTTAGTAGGGGGGGTCGCATAAATGGAGCACAAAAGTCACAAATATGCATACATGACATACAGGAATACAGGAATTAAATAATGAATCAATTAATCACTTAATCTAAGACAAACTATACATTATAATTCATTTTATTCTGTCCCTTCATGTTGGCCAGTGAAGTCCTATGGAAAATAGGCCCTCTCGCCCTGTTTATGTCAATAATTCATTCATATTATTATTTTCTATGTGAGATCTTAAGCTAAATGATTAATAAGCTAATTGAAATGTATGTCAAGACTATAAATCACATTGAGATGTTTTGTTTTTTTAGATGCTTTTTTCCCTAGCACAAACACGCTGTCATAACTTATACTAGCTACTTTAAGTCAAATGTTGCCCGTATATACATATACGCAGGCCAATCAGCTTGCCATCAGCCATCAGTATCAGTATCAGTATATTTAACATTTGGGTACTCTTATACGTATATAAACCCATTGATGTGGTGTTTCTTATCCCTCTGAGATTGCTGTAGCCCCCTCCCATTCTTCACAAAGCGGCTCTGTGCTGGAGGGTGTGTGTGTGTGTGTGTGTGTGTGTGTGTGCGTGTGTGAAGCCTCTTTAACGCCGTGCGGTGCTCTTTTTTTTATTATTATTCCATCAAGAAGAGAAGTGGGCATCAAGTGGATCTGGAGTTGACAACAGATGAGTCTCGGCAGGCAGAAGCAGAGCGACCCGTATATGAAGTCTTCAACACAACGATCAGGATGATTTCCTGTCTCGATTATGGATTTAATTCGCTGTCATAATTTTGACTTACTTGCATGCACAAATCTGCTCTTATCATTGTTTGTGATTGTCGGTAAGTGTCTACTTCTTCTCCCGTGTCTATGAGTCTAGTGCCAGCTGTTTATCATTCTCAAACTCGGTGCTGTAGCTGTATAACCATAATTTCGTTTTTGATAGTTAGCTACGGTGTAGAAGTAGATTCTTTGGGCTTTCTGCATTTAAAACACTTAAAGAATAAGTTGGTTTTGCATTATCTCACTTCTCTATTGGATGCTGTAAGCTGCAATACTTATTTAACACGTTTATTCCCTTCCTTCATTGCAAAAAGTCCATGCTTGGAATATCAATTAAGACCGTGAGAGTTGACATCTTTGCCTATGGTAATCTTTGCATATCTTCAGTGGACAAAAAGAAATCTAACAATGATGGGCAGCATAGTGATCCATGAGGGGCTGTGAGAATTCGGGGGGGGGGGGGGGGGTTAGGACTGTGTGGATAAATGATGGAACTATATGTCTTTGGGACTCTACAAAACACCAAACAATACCACGTCTTCTTATCACCACTGAAACAAACAGACAGATGGATACACCGGCAACGCGCATCTATCAGGTGCCCCACATGTGCCATTCGAGGGCCTCCAGATAGGACCAAACAAAGAGCCTTAGAAGTAATTTGCATATGAAAAAAGCCCTACGTGGTGTGGTCGGGGGTGTGTGGTCGGCTGTGGTGTGTCTCAAACAGGCAACAGGCTCTGAATCGTCTGAACATCGTCACTGGAATCAGTAAAGAGCAAATCCTATATCAGACACTGTATACATGGATACGTGGATAGTCTTATTTTTCAACGTTTTTGAGGGTCTAGCCTCTAATCTGGTCTGACTTTACTGCCTGGTCCTTGTTGCCATGATAGCTAATATAAGCATATGGTCATATGGGCATTCAGCCCGTACCTCCACGTCTAGACATGTGTAAACTGCTCCTGGAGAACTCTGACAACTGTCTGCAAAATACATTGACCTCGACCAATGATAGAAGATTGGGACCTGAGTTGGTGAAGATGGTGTAATTGCACTCTTTTTCTTCTTTATAGTCTGCACTCAGCCTGATTGTGCTCTTGAGACATGATTGCTGTGCGCCATTATCGTTTGTGAAGAATGTTATTGGAATAACGCTTGTCATATCAGTGTGGCTGTGTGACCCCACTGCTGTAATTATGTTCACTCTTTATTTTGCCCATCATGCAAATCACCCTTTCAAATTTGGTTCAGTCTGATTATCATCTAGGAGACAACACTTTTTTGCCTTTTTGTGGCATCACACATCTGTGGCTGCTTGCCCATTCCATAAATTGCAAGGATTGATGTCTCTGAGATGGTCCCATTTGTTCTGTTTTATGGCTATTTTCCTTTATGAATATGTAAAAGGTTTACGGGGCAGGTCTCAAGGTAAACATGATGTCAGGAAGAGGGAAGAAAGAAGCAATGCACCATCGTAGAACTGAGGTTCTCAAGTAGTTTGGTCTTCAGGTTACAGGGAAACTGTTCAACCCTTCCAATCTTCATTAAGAACCGCTGATTTAAAGTACGTCAATCTAATGTAATAATCCAGGCTTGACAAATAAGTATGGAAAAACTGATGTTTAAGTTTTGGAAAACCCAAATTCAGAGTTGTTATTATCCTATTTAAAGAAGTTTTAATTAAGTTAAGGTTATTTCCCAGAACGATTCCTCAAATACCGTTGTCTTTTTGAGATTCAAGAAATTAAGAGGTTGAAGAAAATGCCATCCTAAACTGGCGTGTCAGTAACTAACAAATATCCACTTTTGCAAGGTGCACCTTGCAAAAGTGGATATTTGTTGAGTGTCGTGAAGTCTACGTTTACAGACCGACAATTATTGCCATAAAGTGCTGATCCTCTAGTCAGTATGTACATCATGCACCGAAATGACACCTAAACCCAGAACATCGTGGCTTCTGTGGATGGTGGTTCTATCTGATGGTGCTTGTCCCTGCAGTGGTCCTGCCGTACACCTGGCTTACTACTCGCAATATTTGAATCATCTTTTACGTCGTTCATTCTGTACACATGACCTCCGTTGCAGTCTGTCCTCCTCTGACGTTCTTCCTAAGGTTTTCCTTTTTTTCTCCATCCTGTGCGGATGTGAGGGTTTTCAGAACAGAGGATGTTGCCTGTGTACAGACTGCAAAGCCCTCGTAGGCAAATTTGTAATTTGCGATTTTGGGTTACACAAAACAAAATGAATTGAAGCGAATTGAATTAATGTCCTGCTGATCTAAACACTCCATCAAGTGTAAAGCAGCAAATGCTTCAAACCTTTAATCAGATTCAGTCACCATGGCAATAGATTGAACACTGAAGCCAAACAGTGTAATTGGTTGCCCGTGGCAGTCAGCCATGACGCCTTGAGAGGCTCTTGGATGTAAAGTCCTTGTACTGACAGCTGCTGGATTTTTTCCAAATCAAAGCTAAACAGAACAACAGAAACCTTCCTAATCCAATTCTTAATAATAATAATAATGCAATAATTGGAAATGCCTTTTTATCAGGAGGAATGACCACAACCTTTCCAGCCTATACAGAGACGGTATTCTGTGATATCAATATTTCTCATGTGATCTGTTCATAGGTGCCTCTCCTGACAGGCTGCCTCCACCAGTGGACCAGTGCTCTCCAAACCCGTGCCAAAACAGGGCGATATGCAGAATCCGCCGTGGCGGCTACTCGTGTTTCTGTGTGCCGGGTTTTCAGGGCGCTCACTGTCAGATTGACGTGAATGAGTGTGTTTCACAGCCCTGCCAGAATGGAGCCACATGCGTGGACAGAGTGGGCCGGTTCTCCTGCCTGTGTTCTCGTGGGTTCACCGGTGAGAGGAAATAACAGTGTGAGGTCTACGAAACTGCATGCCGAGAGTGAGACCACATCATTTCAATGCTAAGTGAAGAATAGTATTACTGGCCATTTTAGATTAATAGAGAAAACAACGGTGCTTATACATGTTTACATATCTGACCTCTTATGTGAATAAATATGATAGTATACACTGTAACAAAAGATCCTAATTTTACGACAAATAACTTTACATTTTTACAGTATTTTTTCTGTTTTTTTAAATTATGTTCAAAACTTATAAAGATATTATCTGTAAATTAAGAGTTCAACTTTAAATTTATGTATTATGCTCATAATGACAAATTACATTTTTATCTCCTTTTTTTAGGGTAGAAATACTGTAATTATTCTAGAGTATTTTACTGTTTTTTAAAATTACATTCAAATCATGTAAAAAAACGGTCATATGACTGGCAGCTGCGGCTGCCAAACAAAAAACGTAAAATGAAGGTAAAATAACTTAATTCACATAAAATGCGAAAACCATAAATTTACAGGAATTTTCCTTAACAATTTTACAGAGAAATACATTTATTTTATAGATTTTTCCTACTATTTCCTAGTATTATTACGATCAAACACCTTAAATATAAGCTTTTGTACAAGATAAATGTACACGTTTTTCAATGTTTCAATTAAACTAGGGGTTGGAAACTTAATTAAAAAGTACACACCACTATCAACTTTAAATGTCATTTAATGTATTCAGGTGTGCATTCACAATAAAAAATATTCCCTTCTCTCCAGGGACCCCCCAGGAAGAACTACTAAAAATGGCATTTCTCCATGTGTCTATCTTGACAGGGGGCTCCATTTAATAGTGGTTATGTGTTGAATGGGGTTTAACGCAGGTCATTCATGTTATTACAGAGCTACTAACATGACTGTAGATTCTTGTTTTCAAAGTCTGGTCAAGGAAAAATACAATATGATGTACGATTATTCTTTTGTAATTTGGGGTAAAAAGTGTAACTCTGAAAACCTCAACCAACAACATATGCCATCATGATTCATTCAATTTCTCGTTGGGATGTAAATTACCTTTTTACATTCTCTTCTGTCCCCCCCCCAAAACTACCCATTTTGATAAACAATTGATGAACTAAACTCAAGTTAATAATCAATATATAATAAATAAATAAATCCCGGTGATGGCATTTTGACTCAGGCAAACTAGAATTAGTCCTTTATTAGTCAATAAGTTGTATTAATTAATGTTAAAATCCTACATTGCAAAAAAACATTTTATTTGTGAAGACATGCAATTCAAACGTATGTTGTCTACACTGCATGGTTTTTAAAATTACAGACAGGTGCAAAAGTGTCGCTGTGAGGAACCCACTCACGACCCACTCACGATCACAGGCAGAACACATGAAAGCTTTGCTTGTTTATGCCCCCGTCCCCTCGGTCCATTCAGCAGGCTCACTCGCCCTCTGACATCTGAACTGCTTTGATGTCCACAGGGGCCACTTGTGAGATCCAGACTGATGAGTGTCAATCACAGCCATGTCTCAATGGCGGCAGTTGCCATGAGTACGCCCGCAGCTTCTCGTGCACCTGCCTGCCCGGTTTCCAAGGACACCGATGCGAAATCAACACTGACGAGTGCCAAGAGCAGCCGTGCCAGAACGGGGCTCTGTGTGTAGACGGGGAGAACGAGTAAGTGACCCAGGCAGTCGCCGGAAATAAAAAAATCTTTTTCGCAAGCTTTTGCAAAGTTCAATTGAGCAGTGTCGTTCTACAAAAATATTTTAAACGTGTGTTCACGCGGACCAATGTGATTGTCTCAGCTACAGCTGCGATTGCTCTCACACATCCTTCACTGGCAGACTGTGTGAGACGCCACTAGCGCCGTGCCTCTCTGATCCCTGCTTCAACAGCGTCATCTGTGAGGACAACCAGGGTAACTACAGCTGTGAATGCTGGCCAGGTACATGAGGCCCATTCTCACCCAGTAAAGATATTCAAAGGTCTCACAATGGGTAGTTAGGTAAGCGACACAGGGGGAGGTAAGAGCAACACATGAGAAATAAACTTTATTTAATATTGAGCAAAGATTAAAAAAAATGCTGCAAACAGAGCTTGACACCAATTGTTATCACGAACTGCATAAAGCTGCAAATTACACAAAAATGGTGACTCACAATCTGACTTTCTTCGTCCAGGGTTCGAGGGGCGCCAGTGTGATATTGACATCAACGAGTGCGGCAGCAACCCCTGCCTGAACGGAGGCCGCTGCATCGAGAGGTCGTGGCAGGCCCTGTATGGCAGCGAGCCTCTGCTTCCTGAGACCTATGACCAGCGGCACGCTGCAGGCTACATCTGCAGCTGTCCTCCAGGAACCGCTGGTAATCCATTGTGATTAATCAAACTGAATTTGTCGTGTCTTACACAGATCTCACAGCGTGTGCAGTCAGATATCGGATCAAGGGAATGAGCGGTTTGTAATTGGAGCAACAGCAGGGTGAATTATAAATGTTTTGCTATGTACAAAACTGAAAGGGAGCAATCACTATCTCCACCTTCAATGTGGTGATTATTTATGTTTTTTAATAGACGAAAAGAGGCTATAATCACATAAGTTTTAATTGTAATGCTGTTTATAATGAATTATACAATATAATAACAGTTACATATTTAGACCATATTGATGGTGCCTTGATGGCCAAAGCAGCTTTGCATTGTTGTACGGATGTTACATCAAATCATACTTCAGTGGCAAAAGCAGAAAATCCTGTTTTTTCTGCTTACACAAGACTTGATCCAACAATGAGGTAAGGCTGTGAGCTGTTTGCTGCTGAGAGCTGCGTTCTAAAAATTGTCTCTCTGCCAATTGCTGTGGCATTGATTCAGTAAGGTGGCTAAATAGCATTAGTTTAATCCCCAGGATCTGGCTTTGCTGGTCTCCTGACTGGAGCCACTTAGCCCTACGTTGTTGTAGAGAAGTAGAAACTGAGCAGACCTCCACTGGAATGGCATGCACACACACAAAGCAACATGTTGCAGTTAGACAAGTTTGAGGCTATCCTGGGGGGAAAAGTGACAGCATGATGTGGACGCCTGCACCGTGGATTTGGGGGATTTTGTGGCTTGGAACAGGTAACATCAAAATAAATTTTTCTCTCTCTCTCTCTCTCTCTCTCTCTCTCTCTCTCTCTCTCTCTCTCTATATATATATATATATATATATATATATATATATATATATATCCAATACTATTGCGTAAAATTATTTACATTCCAGTGTTATCTTTTATTTTTGACCAATATAAAACAATATTTACAATTGTTGCTGTAATCTCCTACATAATGCTGTGTTGTACTATATAACTTATAGTTGTTGCATCATGAGATACAACTTGTTGCGTCCGTTTTAGATTTGAATTCTAACCATTTGCCTACCGTAAAGATTTGAAATACTGATGAATGAAATAGTTTTGGAGACAAACAATAAGCGAGCAGACAAACAATATTATACGGTTAATCCATAGATAGTTTGGCCTGATGGTATCTGGGTGGTGTACGGAATATAACAAAGTACCAGAGAGAACTGGGCATAATTTGGCAACAGGTGGTGCTAACATGGTGCATGTATCAAAGGCGTCAAAGAAATGAGCTGAAAAATGGTATCATGACACATATTGTACATACTGGGCAAAGGACCTTTGTATGGCTTATGTAACTTGCCCCACAATAACCTTGTAAACATGTATGATTGTTTCTTGTTTGTAGTAAACATGCAGCAAGGTAATTTATTGCTTACAAGACCACTGCACAAGGAATACAAATTCAATAATTACCTGTTCAGTGACAAGAATGATTAAAATCCGGCCATGGTAGATACGCTGTTTAAAGGCAGCAGCTAAAGACGTCAAGAATGTTTGTTTCTTCACAAGCTTGGTGTGACTGTTTATTTTTCTGCTGACAGGTTTCCTCTGCCAGGAGGTGATAAACCAGTGTGATTCCATTCCCTGTCAGAATGGGGGCAGGTGTGAGAGCCAAGTTGAAGGCTACATATGCCACTGCCTCAAACAGAGTCACGATGGCGTCCTTTACGGAGGTGTAAACTGCAACGTGAGGTTAGTGGGCTGCGAGGGACATGAATGCCAGAACCAAGGCGCCTGCTCTCCTTTCTTGTTGGACGGGACTCAGGGATACACCTGTTCCTGCTCACCTGGACACACTGGGCCCCTGTGTCAGACCCCCACTACGTTCTCGTTCGAACGGAGGGGCTATCTGCTGCTGCAGAGTCCCCTGGTGGATACTGCAGAGTCCTGCACCATCACCCTCAGCTTCAAGACTACTCTGCCCAGAGCGTTGTTGTTCCGGCGGAACAGCAGTGGGCTGCTGCTGGGCCTGGAGCTGGACGAGGGGCAGCTTCGTCTCTCACTGGGGAAGGAGCAGGCTACCGACGGGGCCGAGGCCGACAGCAGCAACCAGGTTCTGGAGATTCCGCACAATGTCACAGACGGAGAGTGGCACACTGTGAGGGCCGCGCTCGGAAGCGGGATGCTCAGTCTGACACTCTTAGATGACGCGGGGAGCTGTGGGAGCCAGTCGTGCCACAAGGTGGCCCCGGTCCAAAGCCCTCTGGCAAGACTGGTGACACCACCTCAGAACACTTTCATCGGCGGAGTGCTTAAGGACTCAAACGGCCCCAGTGAGGACTCTCCACTTCCAGCATTCATTGGCTGCATGCGGGACGTGTTTGTGGACTGGCAGCTAGTCGTCCCTGAGGATTGGCTGAGCGACTCTGCAGTTAATGTGTCCCCCGGCTGCAGCCACAGGGACCGCTGCCTGGACGTGCCTTGCCAAAACAGAGGACAGTGTGTCAACCTGTGGCAAAGCTACCAGTGTCGATGCCCGAGGCCTTATGAGGGGCAGGACTGTGAAGAGGGTATGTACACAGACCTCAACAGGTGGACCGTTGAACAGCAGCCATAATATAGTAATTTAATAATAATAATAGTGATTTTTTTTGCAAGTAGTCCCATTAAAGTAAATATAAATAATAAATAACGCAGAAATGACATTTTCAAAAAAGCTGGTTTAGAGCTTTTCTTGAAGGATACATGGTCATTTTCACCAAATGTGTCAAGTAGGTGAATTAAAGAACGTCCTCAGCTGCTCCAACGGAAGATAAGGGGGTAGAGATGAGGCCAATCAAAAGCTACAGTAAAGAAGGGAGACATGAGATCCTCTTATCTGACGCACCGGATTAAGGATACAAGGGATTCTATTTTGGAATTACACAGAACATGCGAGGAAGAGTAGACAGAGTAGAATACTGTAATCAAAACATCACAGTTGTAGTTGTACATTTTTCACTAAAATTTTTCACATATTTGCGCGAAGGCACAAAACCCAGTGAGTCCTCTCTGCTTTAGCCGTGTGTGTTCTCAATGTCCTGCCTGTTTAAAGAGGACCGACCCCAAAGGGAAAGTGCTGAAAGTAAACACAGAGCATGGCTGCCTAAATTTAAAATATAATACAATTTCCCTTATTTCCAAGGATCTAAAAAACAACTGCTTTAATTTCATTCTATCCAGTCAGTTACTTTTAAAACCGTCACAATGATAAAAAAAATAAAAATCAGTTTCTGCATTGAGGACGATAAAAACTGAATGAATATTATTAATCTTCTTCTAGCAGATTTGTGATATATGTTATTTTGCATGCTTTTTTTTGTCATATTTGAAATGCAGATAAATCCTCTTCTTAGAAACCCAAACATGCGCACATGTTATGTTGACACCCAGCCAAGTCCCTTTGCTCTCATCTTCAATCTTAAAGTTTCATTCACATTTCCCCCTTTTTGTAGAACACGTGGCCGCGCGGTTTGGCAACGAGGACTCGCACGGCTACGCGGCGTTCACCGTCATCGATGATCTGGATGAAGACTTCTCCATCTCCCTCTTCCTGCGCACGCGGAGGCCCCGCGGACTCCTCCTGGCGCTGGCCAACAGCAGCAGCCAGTACCTGCACGTGTGGCTGGAGGGCGGCAAGGTCACAGTTCGGCTGAACAACTTTGAGAGCCTGAAGACAGACAGTGTGATCGATGACGGGGAGGTGCACTTTGTGAGCGTAGACGTGCTCGAGGGTCGCATGTCTCTCCACGTAGCAGCTCAGAAACAGGCTGACGTGGAAGTGCAGACAGTCAACGTCCGAGCAGGAGACACTGTGTACGTGGGAGGCCTGTTGGAGAGTTGGACCACTTCAGTGTTCGGTGGATATTTTAAAGGCTGTATCCAGGACCTGAGGGTCAATGACAGGCGGCTGCAGTTCTTCGGGTTGGACGCCTCGGTGAGATCTTATCCTCTGGAGCGCATGGAAAATCTGACTACTGGCTGTTCGGGGGACAACGCCTGTGGAGTGAGTAAAAACCGTTAATATGAGTTCTCTGTTGAATGCGTAAGCCCCTGTTTTTGTGTGACGTGGGTCAGGACGTACAGGAATGGATTACTCACTCATGACCATGAAATCCTTCAGATACAGTTCACACCGAGTTGTTCGAGTTGATCTTCTTGTTTAAAGGAAATCAGCTATTATTTGGTAGAAGTTAGCAGCTGTGTCTATGTTTCGTCCTCAGACCAACCCTTGTCTAAACGGTGGGATGTGTTACTCCACGTGGGACGACTTCACCTGCACCTGCCCTCCAAGCACAGCAGGGCGGCGCTGTGAAGAGGTCAGGTGGTGTGAGCTGTCACCTTGCCCCACAGACTCCGAGTGCAGGATGCTGAACCAGGGATATGAATGTGAGTGGTGGGCACCAACGTCAGCAGCCACGAGCTCGAGTGTGTGTTTGAGCGTCCAAGTTGTTTGAAAAAAGAAAAAAAGATCCTCTAAGTCGTTCCCATTATTCATCATCTCAAAATACTAGTATCTCAATGTTTGGTGATACTCTTTATTTTGAGATATTTCCTTGTTTTAATGACTTAAAAATAACTTTTCCATAGTGTTGCCTTGTTCTACTTGACATCCTTAGTTGCATAAAAGCTCCTAAACCCAAACACAGAGCTGTTTACCTTTTAGACTTACATTAAATTTAGTCTACGTTACCTAATCTTTGACCTTGTTTGTGGATTCGGCCATTGTTGTCTTAATTGGCCACTATGTAACCGGATGAGGCAACACGCTAGATTATACAGGCCTACTGGCCTCAATCTGACCACACAGTATTTTCTGTGTGCTCCGTAAAGCAGGATTGGCCGGAGACCAGCTTATACTTTGCTGGCATTAGTGATGATTTGCTGGGTTGCCGATCCGTCTGATTGACTCATCGAGGATACCTACTCGCTATGTATATTTCCGACAACTGACCCAATCAGGTTGCATAAATGGATTGTAGCGTTATAAAACAGATAAATGCCATTAATAAGTGCTCTTGGTTGCCGGTTCGAGCTCCGGCTGCTACATGGCCCATGTCGAAGTGTCCCTGAGCAAGACACCTCACCCCTAATTGCTCCCTGGGAAAAATATAAAAACAAAGTCAGCTAAATGACCTGTAATGTAATAATGTATTACATTGTCATGAGTACTAATCTAAACGAGAAGCCAACCCTCAAAAGAGTTGAGGGTTGGCTTCGGTGCAACCAAGTGAGTGTGTAAACAGATAACATATATTCTCTCTAATCTCCCAGGCTACTCCAATGCAACCTTCCTGAATGACAGCACCGTGTTGGCCTACCGGGGAAACGGTCACATATCCCGCGACCTTACTGATCTCTCCCTAAAGCTACGCACACGGAAGCGCAACGCAGCTATTCTCCACGCTGAGAAGAGCTCGGCATTCGTTACACTCTCCGTCCAGGCTGGTTTCCTCTTCATGGAGCTTCAGGGTCCCAGCGGAGACGGGGATGAGGGGGAGCAGGGTGTGTCTACGGTCAGTCTCAGCAGCAGGACCAGCGTCAGTGATGGCGAGTGGCACAGCGTCCACCTCTTCATGGCAGAGCCGTGGGCACAACACTCCCGCTGGACTTTGATCCTGGACGAAGAAGTAGACGAAACCAGCACTTCCAGGAGCCACGGAGGCAACCTCAACTTCCTCAGGCAGGGGGTGGACATCTTCTTAGGGGGCCTGGCCCCCAGCAATGGCTGGTCCCTGGCCGGGTGCCTGGACACAGTCGAATTAAGTGGCATCGCCCTGCCCTACCTCGGCTCCTCGGACGTGAACCTACCGCGCCTGCAGGACGAGCAGTTCACCCGGACATCCCAGCAACCGCCAATCCTCGGGTGCAGCGGGGCCCCCGTGTGCGAGCCCAACCCCTGCCTGAACGGGGGGGAGTGCCAGGACTTCTTCAACACCTACAACTGCAGCTGCGCCGCGGGCTGGGCCGGGCGACGCTGCAGCTTCTTCACCGACACCTGCGCCTCCGGTCCCTGCGTCCACGGCAACTGCAGCGTGAAGGGGCCGACCTACGAGTGCACCTGTGAGCTCGGCTACGCAGGAGACGACTGCGACGAGGAGGTGGACGTATGCGAGAAGCACCTGTGTGCCCACGGAGGCACCTGTCTGCACGGGCCGGACAGGTACGCCTGCCTCTGCCCTGAGAACTACACCGGACCCCTTTGCAAGTAAGTGCAGAGCTGCAAAACTGCAAAGTCAAGTTGTAGACTTTGAGTTGTTTCAAAGGCGTGCGGGTAACATTGATGCGTAAATATTGTGTGCTCTGAAGAAAACTTTTCTCTTCCAATAAGCGTTTTTGCAGCTTGGTTACTTAGTAAACACAAAATACACAAATAAATGCTCCAATTTGCACAAACAAGGCCACCGCACAAACAAAGTCCTTCAATGTAAATGTTTCCCCATCGCTGCCTCTGTTCGTGTGTTTCAACCGCGCTCGCAGTGGAGCGTCTCAGATGTTGCATTTCTATTCTAGTGTCAGGCAGAAGAGGACTCAGTCTGCTCTGTGTTGTCTCACTACAAATAAAAACTCTCTCCCCCTCTTTTCCCCCCCCTGTCATCTACCGTTTGCCTGGGAGAACCAGCAGGGGAACGCCTCCGAGCATTTATCCTGTAAACACACAGCCTCTCGCGTTTGGCCTCTTTTGCACAAGGAAAACCTTTGCAAGTGTGTCGCTAAGACAAGCTGCACATCACCTTTTACCGGGAACAGCGGCGCCGCAAAGTTTTCATCACAATGACTTCTTTTTGTTTGTGTCTCTTTCTACCCCCCATTCCCCGTCCTTCTTCCTGTTTCTCTCCAGTGAGCGCATTGAAGCAATTCCGTGGTACATTGTCGTCAAAAATAAGTACGTTTTTTTTCTTCTTCTTCTTCTTCTTTTTTTCTTTCTCAAGTGTTAGATATTCATCTCTCGAATGTCATGTACGATATTTCCTGTTTTGTTTTTTTTGTTCGGCTGTGTGCAACAAAATGCCAAGCAATGCTAATATTAACACTGTGACATCCTTTTGTCTTTAAACCAACTGTTTCAAATGAGTGACAGCTGTAGTTCAAAATTAAAACCTCCCAAAACGACGCACTCTCCAAAGTAACAAATACAGTATTTTGTAACCCTTGATGGATAAATTGGCAGCAGATGAATGCCATTTTGGATCGGCGCTGCTGTGCTTCAGGCACACAGAAGGTTAAAGAGACCAAAGACAAATGATTGGCTTCTATATTCCTGTACATTTGCCCTCCTGCTGGTGACTAAAGGCAAGAGGACTTTAATGGTCCTGAGCCTCTTCTTCTGCATAAACTCCCGCCTGTTTGATCCTTCTGCTTTTGACAGACGTAAAAAACGTCAAATTCCTCTGCTCATGATCTGCTGGGCACTTTAATACCGCTGGTACCATGACTTAAAAAATAAAATAAAAATGACACATGTATTAACTGTCTTACTTATCTCCTGTAACCAGACGGCCTAAGCTGCCTGTTTCTGTGTGCGGCGATGACACCAGAAACTACACCTGCTTCAATGGAGGAAACTGCACTGACAGAGACCTGTTCTGCGACTGCCCACCCGGGTTCATTGGACATCGGTAGGAAGGAAAAACATAATGATATTACTAAAGGAAAGGCCTACGTAGAAATGAGTAAAATGCAGATTGTCCTGCTGTTACGCTCGTGGCGCCTGCAGCAGCAGCTCCCCCCGCCCTCTCACTTACTGTATCACGTATCTGCAATGAATGGTAACCTTCCTGACGTGAGTGTCCCCGACTCAACTGTGACTTTGTGTTGTTAGGTGTGAGCAGGAGGTGGACGAGTGCAAGTCCAACCCCTGTCTGAACGGAGGCTACTGCCGCAACCTCATCAACAGGTTTGCATGCGTGTGCGACTTGAGCTTCGCTGGAGACACGTGCCAGACGGACGTAAGCGACATTTACTTTTACGTGGCCGTGCTGCTGTGGCAGAACCTCTTCCAGCTGCTCTCCTACCTCATCCTCAGGCTGGACGACGAGCCGGAGGTGGACTGGGGAGGCAATGACTGAATGCCCGTGTGTGTGTGTGTGTGTGTGTGTAGGCCATGTGTGTCTCTGCACGAGAGAAGTGGGTGCAGAATAGGGCTTGCGAGTTTCTCAGTGAAGGTGTATGGGTGATTGATTGATCATAAACTGAGAATGACCATTGGCTTCCAATGCAAAGCACAGGGGATCAGCACACTCTGCACACATTAGTGGTATCTGAGGTTAATGCCCCACGGAGCTGTTTCTGTGCCTTAAACGTATACGTTAGTCATGAGCACCTTATTTAGTATAGAAATGTATTATTATTTATTTTTACTTATTTAGGGTATCTTGCAAAACCATCACACACAAGAATGACGCTTTAGGGCAGCAGTTAAAGACCATGTTACTTGTGTTTGTTTGTTATTCTGTGGATTATTTGACTTATCGTTTCAAAACTAAAGTAGTACTTGAACAAGTACTTGTTTAGACCGGCCAACAGTCAAAACTTGAATTTATTTTTTAAATTTAAATGATTTAAAATCAGAGAATAGCACTTTAAGTCACTTCAAATATTAATCTATTTTTAAACGTGTTGTCAGTTAATTGCTGATTCAAAAAACAGTGCAGAAGAATTACTGTGGTCCAAAGGGAAGGCTGGTCTGCAGTCAATAAAGCACTTTCTGAGCAGTGAAGAACATTATAGAGTATGTTTTATTTATAATGTGTCTCGTTGAAGATATCCTGTCAGTCTTGTCTAAACTGGATTTTGGGAGCTCAGCACGGATGAATGTGTGAACTATCAATAACGCTGTTGTAGTTACGGAAGCACCTGGCGGGGCTGGAAACACGACAGCGTGTCTGACTTTGTTCTTGACGTGCGTTGAGAGCAACGTGGTGACTGACTGACTGCTGTGTGTTCTTTTGTACCCAAAGAAGAGTTTTCTGTCTCTAAAACCTTTCCGACTGAGTAAAAGATATATTTAAAGCCTGAAATTCTGCGCCGCTCCGCCTGAACGGTTCTCATCAACATTCACCGAGCTGTTGTGGTCAACATTTCACAACGCTATGTCTCTGTTCCTCAAGGACTGGACTGTGTCATTTAGTCTCATTGTACTGACATCATGCTGTGTGTGCTTATGTTTGTCTGTCTTTCCTTCATCATATTCTGTCCTCATGTCTTGTCCAGCTTCTGTCTTTGTTGTTGTCAAATTAAAAAATAAATCGTACCAGCCTTTGTCTGTCTTCTGTCCTCTTTTCATCTTCTTCAACTATTTTTTTTCCCTTTATAACCACATATTCTGCTTTTATTTCAAACTTCTTGCTTTCATTTCCTCCTCTGGACTAACCCCTGCTGAAGGTTAACTGCTGTCATTGGTTGTCCTGACTGTGTGTCAGTGTGTGTTTGTGAGGACAGGAGGCTGAAGTCAGGTGGCCACCGGGACACCAAACATAGACACTTGATCTCTTTTAACAAGATGTGGTGTGAGTAGTTCCTAGAATAACCCAAGTTCATAGACACTCAGAGTCAAGCACAGTGCTGCATTGTGCGGGGGTTATTTCTCAGTGTGTGGGGCAGGCAGGTAGTATAGAGAAGACTTTTTACCTTTTGATATGACAGCTACCCTTTGCAAATATGACGATTAAAGCAGCTGCAGCAATCAGCTATTAACTATGTATAATTTAGCAAAAGTGATGTGCGTGTTGGTCATTTGAGATCCACGATCAGGACGTTTGAGACGGGATCAAGATGAAACCTTGAAAGGAAAGTTCACATTAAACCAAAAAACCTCAAATGCCCGATGGAAGAGAGGACGCATTTACGCAGTATGTTTTATGCATACTGACTATACGGTAAAAAAAAAGGCCTCTCTCTTCTCCTTCTGATGCTTATGTTTATTTATTAAACAATAGGGTTCCCATTTTGTCTGACAATAAACAGGTGCTAATTAAAAAAATTGGAAAAATGATTGATCGCTGTGATCATCCTTCCTATTACTACGGTGAAGTTATTTAGTTATTTGTTATTTATTTAACAATTTTTTCCTATTTTGTCCCCTATCACTGAAACTGGAATTAGATAACGGGCCGATACAAGCAAAAAACTCTTGCAATGATTTAACGCACTTGAATAATGGAAAACTTCCTGACCTCCGCATCAGAGTCCTTTTGACCATTTACTCAGCACGCAGAGCCTCTCGTCAACTATTCGACTACTTTAGTATTTTGTCTGTGTGTATGTATGTGCGTGTGTATGTGTGCAGGTAGCCCTTCGCGGTGAGGAAAGAGGGGGAGGAAACGGGAAGCGTTTTTTCAGCGTCTGCACTGATACGGCCTTCCTTTGAGAGACACAGAGATGGAGAAATGTGCTTAGCCAGCGAAAAAACAGCAGCATCTGGCGATGAAGTGCAGTTTCAGCAGAGAGGTGGTGGCATTCAGTTTGGTCTGCTTCACAGAAATGTATGAGAGCAGCTTATCTGGCAGGCACCTGCACACCTACACACACACACACACACACACACACACACATAGAGAACAGGTTGATAGTGCTGACAGCAGGGAAGCACTGCTGCCGTCTTTCTGTGTGTGTGTGTGTGTGTGTGTGTGTGTGTGTAGCTGCTCCGCCGAGGCTTCAGCGTGGCCTTACCTTCTACCTCAGAGACTGGTTAGTTAGAGGTTTCCCTGTCTGTGTGTGTGGCAGTCGGCGACTGATGGCGTGTCCTGGCTTCAGGCTGCTTCGGCTCGCTTGTGTCACGCTGGCTCTGACAGCCAGCTGCGCTGCAGTGACAGGTAGGCACTTTCCAGGAGTCAACACAGCCTGTAGCGAGGGAAAGAAAGTCTAATGTCTACAGCGAAGAACACGAGGGCTCAGGTTATTTTTTGCCTCGGGACATGGATGGCTGTATTTTTTTGTGAGAGTTATATTTCCGTGTTGATTGCTCAGTGTAAAGTTTGCTGACTTCTGACATTTAATTCTTTTATGGTCTCGTGTGACCGTGAAGGCTTCCGTTGTGAAGATGGCGTCAGCCAAAATGTGAAGTGGAGTGAAACTTAACAGCAGTTGTTGGTAACCTTGTAGCAGAGTGTCACCCCACCCACCAGAACCACGGATGTAAGCGCATCTACTGCTGGCTAATGAACTTTAATTCACCGGCAGCCAATCATTTGCGGGGGGGGGGGGTCAAAAAATCTCTCTCTGGATGGATGCAGGGTGGTTGTGTACGAGCTATTTTTAGTGTGTGAGAGACTTAATGCTGATGGGACCATCAGGCAGCATCTTGCCTGTGTGTGTGTGTGTGTGTGTGTGCGCGCGTGATCCTCCACAGACGGAGCGCGCTCCATTCGGCTATCGGGGTGGTGTTGGCACCGTGGCCGCTTTGCCTGGCGACGGCGGTGATTCTGGTCGTTGCCAAACTGCGCCCGAGGCGGCAGACGGAGGGAGGTTTTTACTCCGCGGCAACTCGAGGCTCCTGGTGGTCTCAACCCACCTGCTGAGCTGGGAAACACATCCATCAGCACTTTGGCAGCTCATGTGGAGCCTGGTTGGGTGTAAAGCAGTGAAGAGAGAAGAAGTGTGTCTGTGTGTGAGTGAGACAGAAGTAAACAAAGGTTCTTTAAAAACAAAATGTTTCTGCTTCTTCCCCTCCAGCTGACCTCTGAGGGTTTGACCTCTGACCTCTTACTGTTCATCAGTCTGGCGTCTTGCATCCTGCTGCTGGTGCTCATTCTTGCCTCCGTCGGCCTCGCGGTGGCACTAAATCGCCGCGCCACCCACGGCACCTACAGTCCCAGCCGGCAGGAGAAGGAGGGGTCCCGGGTGGAGATGTGGAGCATCACCCAGCCGCCGCCTATGGAGAGACTCATATGAGGGGCCGGGTTGTCATTTTGTTTTGCTGCTAATGACGAGCGGATGCTAGGAATGTAGCCTGCGTTCATTTCACAGTAATGCCTAATTACTGCCGTCTTTCTTCAGGGGCTGGAAGACTTTGTGACATTGTGTTTCCCAGCGCTTCTTCCACCTTCATGTGATGTTTTGCACCTGGCGTCGCCACCCAGCAGTGCGATTCTCTTCAAAAAAAAAAAGAGCAGAATGAGCCGGAATGTTCGTCATTGAAAAGATAAGGCTGGTTTTATCCTTTTTTTTAACTTATTGTCATGGAATGACCAAAAGTGTAATCTATAAGGAAGAACATCTTTTAAAACTGAAGAGAAAAAGAGGCTCAGTAAATCCCTTAGATTGTAGAGCAACGGAGTTTTTAGCAAACAACGAGTAACCTGTTCATTTATCGGGGACTTTTTTTTAGCCATGGAACGTTTGCTGCTCAAGTGAGTACTTTCTGCAGGAGGACAGTGTTTGTGTGACTGGCTCAACTGAACTACAGCAGCCTGAATCAGATGGTGAAGGAAAACCTGCAGTAGTGTTTTTAAGAACGTTGTGGAGTTCTGTGGTGAGAAACCAAATGTGTTTGTAAAATCAACTCAGTATTTGTTTTGGGCTTTTCATGGGATAAGTTCACTATGAGAAAAATATTAAATACCCGACGAGAGTTTTATTCATGAACTTCCATCCTTGTGCATTTACTACCGGAAAGCTCATAAATAAATAAATAAATAAACTCAGAGTCCGGTTTCAGGATAAGTTGCAGTACCTGAGTGTTGTGTCTTCTAGGCTGACTTGTATGTTGTTAGAAACAAGAACCGTCTTGACTGCAGCGTGATATGAAGTGTATATTCCATGGTTTGTATGTGCCATGTTTAAAACTGTGGATCATTCATTCATTTCTACATGTAATTGATTGAAACTGTACAAATGACCATAGGTCATCTAGAAATGTGGTACTGTTTGAGTATTAGCACTTTTTCTTGACTGTATGCCAAATCAACAAGCAATGCACTGATATCACTTGTCTCTCAGACAATAACAATAGACTCTGAATACACCGATAAAGCCCCTGAAAAAGCTTGGTTTCTTTCCACATACAGGTTCTATCCATGTTAATGCAACAACATTTTGGTATGAAAAAGTGAGATGGAGCATTAAACACTATCATTTATTTTCAGTTCACAGTGCTTACATTGTGTGCAGTTCAACCAAGTTACTCATCAATAGCACATTAGATTGATCTCAGTTATTTAAGACAGTAGTTTGCTCTGCAATAAGAACATGCAAGTGTGCACAGAATCAGAAAACCAGTAAATGTTATACCGAAGAGTTAATCATCATGACAACACCCAAAACGACTGAAATAAAGTTGCATACTGTAACACGTCCAAATTTGTGACTACGAACTGAACATAGTAAAGAGGAAAGTACTGTTAATGTCGGTAACGTCCGTAGTTCCTCTGTAAATGCTGCTACATAATCGGTCACCTCCAACTCACTCCGAATTTGAAATATCAGGACAATTATACTTTACATTGATTACTTCACACTGTATTGTGTCCAGAGTAGCAGTCATCACAAGCCTGCAGCTCATGTTTTGTTAATAAATTACTCAGTATTTTTATCCCACGTAACTCTTCAGTTGGATTTACAGTAGAAACATATGAAATGCAAGGCAGATGACATTTACTCCACGATGCCCAACGCAAGGCAGAATGAGTGTGTGTTTTGCCGGAACCAATGTTATTTCTCGTCATTCTTGATTTGACAGCAGCGCTAAATACTGAAATAAAAAATACCAACGGAATAAAAAAGAAATTTAAAAAAATCATATCGTACAACACATACAGGTACATACATGCAGATACAACAATACGCATTGTACCGCTTACAAGCAAGCACTAGTCTCTGCTCATTTTGTTTAGAGAGTGTCAAATGCTTCTGAATCTGAATGGATTTGTTAATATTTTCTCTATTTTTTTCCTTCCAAAAATAAAATCTAAAACATTCAAATATCAGGTGTCTTTTTTTAACAACATAAGCACCGTTCATATATTATGTAAAATAAACTCAAGCCTGCAAATATACAAGTCTATTCAGTTAAAAATAATCTTTCATTCATATGAAATCAACTAGAGAGACTCCTCTTTAAAAATACTGAGCTCAGAATGTTTAAGAAAAGAGAGAAAGAGAAATTAAAATCACACAAACAACACCAGGAATCCCCTCATAGTACAATCAAAGAAAGAACCTAATTGAACAAAAGTCAAATAACCACACGATCTATTAAATACAGGCAGGAAAATTCCCACCAAGAAAAAACACCAACTCCAGCTGGACCGCAGCCGAAAACACAAGAACCAAACAGCTACTAAAGACAACGCCAGTACCCACGTTCATTCTGCTGAGCTTTTAAGAACCCAACCAGGTCAGTTCATATCTATAAATACCACAATGATCAATGTTCTTTCTGTGATGTGAGGTGGTCTGAAAGCTTTGCGTACACGTGCATTCTATAACACTGAACCTTGTTGTGATTATACCGGGTGGTACGCTTACTGATTAAGGCACACTACACACAACATTGTGTCATAGACACACCTACGCTCACACAGTTCATGTCTATCCATTCAGACACATGTAGCTCTCTTCTACTGGAAACTAGATTGATTGTGATTATTTTTCAAGTAGACTTGTGCATTATAATGTAATTACTGTTAATTAAAACTGACCTTTTTTGACAATTTTTAAATATTTGCATAGTAAATAAGTTTTAAAGTGTTTACAATAAATAAGTCCAGAGAAGAGATTCTTCTGGGGTCTTTTTCTCCTTTTTGGAATTACTAGGACTGGTTCCTGGGCTTTTTAGAAGCACGCCAAAGACTTTATGAGCAAATCGTTAACGCACAGCAGCACTTAATAAGCAAGAGAAAAGGCTGCTATTAAACTGCCACACCAACTGGCGTCTGGCATGAATTATAAGAACAACGAACCAAAAATGTAATAATCCCAATACAAGCACAGAAAAAGCTGCAGGTTCCTGTATAGAATCAGAACCCCACACTTCTGGACGTTGCGTTTGCCTCCACAGGAGAGTCCGTCACAGAAATACTTCAGACCAGTCTGTGCACTTTGCATCCACGTAGCTACGATCTGAGGAGAACCGTATTGCTTCATTACATTACAATCAACCACTGCGTTACAGCGCGTGACTCCGACCCACAAAGACAGAGATTGCATTTCTTCCAGTGAGACATGCAGGCAGAACAAAAGAAAGGTGATGAGTTTGGTGATATTCTATATTCTAAAATGAACCAAGGACATTGTTAAAATGTCTGTATTTACCCTAAAAACAGGAAATGTGACCCCAACAAATGCACTGTTCACTATAGTTGGGGTAACGTTTGCTAAAAAGCCCAGCATAGAGTTATTTGAACTGAAATGATATATTTAAGATCTGTATTTTTGGCTCTCAGTACGACAAGGTACACAATTCTCATGAAATTTGTTCATTATTAAAAAACATAGAATATTACCGGCCTCATCATTTATAGTTTACCGTTTCCACATTAAATCTAAACCACATGAGCTCACCAACATTCCTTAGATCTTTAGTGAAAGTCACGTGTGCTGAAAGTACGATGACATGAGGCGAGACGACACGGGGAGGAGTGATGATGACGACGGTGGTGTTGGAGAAAGAAATAGACACGGGCCCTTGATGCTGGCCTTTTCAGATGGAACGCTTCAACTTTTGACAGTTGTCTTGTCTTCTGAGTGGCAGACGCGCTGCGCACGACCCACAGAGCTGCTGAGAGGTTCCTACATGCACGTCTCATTACCTGCAATGCCATTTAAAAACAGCAGCTTAAAGCACATTATATAAATATGAACTATTCTATTAAACTAGAGAAATACTGTGCCATTTTAAGTACTACTAACTGTTGCATTTCTGAGAGCATCAGAAGTTCTAACTACAAAGTACCTGTATGGTATCTATAGATTAAGACACCAGAGTATCGAGAACAAATCACACGTCCATTTAAGGCATGGTGATAAAAACAACAACAATAGTATTCATTTTTGGTGCTTTAGGTATCGTATACTTCTGTCAATGCCGTCTACTTGCTTCACTCAATGCACATTACGCAGTGTAGACCGACATTCGAGGCTGACGTTGCATAATTTTCACGAGATACGCGCTTGTATCAGAGTGCGTTATTGGGGGAAAATCCTGTCCGACGTTGTTGTTTTTGCTCAGGTGGTTTCAGTACCAGGTGGTCGACACGACTTGTTAATCTAGAGGTGCAAATTAAACCCGACCACGTCAAATGTTTGGAACACCGAGTAAAAAAAACATCATGATGTGTTGAGGAGATCCCGTCCCTTCTAAATGCTCATAAGCACCGAGCCGAGGCGGAAGAGTCCTCCGTGGCCGGTTGGCTTCTATTCCTTTACCCAAAATGCAACTCATGGGTATCATGTTTTTTTTTTTCTGGTATAACATGTGAAAGTGTCACAAGATGAAAATATTGAACAAATGAAAATACATGGTCATAAATCTAGATGATCAAAGACACTGAGACTTTGTTTATCAGTAAAATTACTGCAAAAATCTACTTATCGGGTCTTTGTAACTTCATTTTGAGTTTATCAAGTTGTTTGTTCTATGAGAATAGTTTGGGTGAGAAAAAAGTGAAATATCTTGTTTTGCTCCAAAAACCCAAAACAGGTTTGGGTTTTTGAAGTTCTGCTGCTCCAATTCACCTTAAATACATTTGTTTGAAGAAACTAAAGCTAAATAAAATGCCCAATGTGGTCACTTCTACGGTACCTAGCTTGCATTAAAAGCAAAAGAATTTGCCACTGTGGAAAGACGTTTTAAAACCTTCTATTGTAAATAAATGCCTTTGAATAACATCTCATAACGGTCATTTCAGGAAACAAGCTCACAACTATTGGAAGCAGGTTAAAGTATTCTTTCAACACTATCAGGTTTTTTCACTCTTTTCTACACAAATGCAGTTGTGTCGAGCACCAATTTATCTCCTTGGATGTTTGTTTCCTGCTCTCGTTTCCGGCTGTGACTGTGTTTGCGTCTACGTGTTTGACATCATATTTGTTTAGAATGTTTCCTGATAGCAGAGCATTTAGATGAAAACGCTCATGTTCTCTGTGGAGCTAGTTGCAATGAGTAGTTTCCAGTGGAACCGGCAGCGTTATACAGACCCTGAGTCTTTGATGGCGCTATGACTCGTCTGTGGCTTTGCTCTGGACCTGCTGGGGACTGTTGTTGCAGTGAACCTGTGAGAGCTGCATGCTCGTGTGGAGGACCGAGCCGAGGCAACACATGGACTCAATCTCCTCCAGGAGGCCTTGATCCTGCACCGCAGCCGCCCCCGAGCCTTTACCCTGACCCAGGCACAGGCCGAGCCCCATCAGCCCCTCCTTGGACACCTCTTTCTCCCACGGGACCTGGAGAGCCGACGGGCTGAGACTTGGCGCGCTCCCCTGACCCTCCTGGTGGGCCTTGCTGCCCTTCCTCTGGAGGGCCTTCTCCTGGTAGTGCCTCACCGTCTCCTTGGACAGCACCTTCCTCCTCAAGATGCTGGTCGAGGCGGCCGGGCTCTGGGCCTGAGGAGGCTCCGCGTTGCCTTGCGGGTCCGAAATGGTCCGAGACCGGGCCGCTGGTTCAGGAGAGTAGCTCGCCTGGGAGCCGGGTGCCGGAGAGCTGTAGGTGTGAGAGAGGGTGGGAGATGGCGCCGTGGGTGTAACTCTGTGGGAGGCTGAGGGCGAGTAGGACAACCGGTCTCTCGGGTGTCGACCCGGAGGTAGAAGGTGAGGGTCACGGCCGAGCTGTTGAGGACGTGACCTGGACGAGTCCGCCTCCCGGGCCGGGGGCGTGCTGGCGCTGATGGGCACTGCGGAGGTTGTGGCAGGTTTCTTTGTCAGCTTCAGGCTGCTCTTGTTGGGCTGCCTGCGTGGGGACGGGGGAAGGTGCTTCCCGTGCACAGCACTGTCATCCTGGCCCATATTCCAACCGCCCTGATCCCCGCCGCCATCGCAGCCGCTCTCATCCGCGGTTTTGGATTTGCTTGCAGGCGTGGGCTTGCTCTGGAAAAGAAGAAACACGCACGAAGTCCATCAAGTTAATACTGCTTCTTTCCTTTAAGTCTTGTACAACCTGTAAAGGCTGACTGTCCCTCTCATAACCATGTCTTCCTTTGTCTGTGCTGCGTACCGGGGCCTTGTAGTCTAAATCATCCATGGACCTGAAGAAGTCCAGGCTCTTGGCAGCGCTGAGTCTGCCTTGCTCCCCGGTCGTGGTGCTCAGAGAGTCCAGGATTTCCTCCAGCAGGTTCATCTGGCCTGAGCGGGAGGAGTCCATGTCCAGCTCTAGTGAGTAGGAGTCGTCGCTGTCCCCGATGTATGAAGGGACGTCCCCACTGTCCTCTGAGGAGATTCTGAGACAGAGAGAGGCAGATTTTATTGTATTGATGTGATAGCGAGCATCAGACTGGTCATCAACAGTATGTTTAGTACTTTATTTTTATTATTTGTGTATCATTGATACCAAGTAAATACACTCTGATAACTGAGTGACAATTCTCTCCATTTAAGCAGTTAACAACCTTATCCACCAGGGGGCAGTATGATCATGGCCAAAGAAAAGATTGCATGTGTTCAGAAAAAGAAAACGTTAACCTGCTTTTTCTTTTTAACATGAACAAGCCAGCAAAAACTTCCAATATCAAGACAAAAATACTTGAGAACTAAATAAGAATGGAGGAAACAGTTCAATCCTAAAATAGGAGTACTTACTTGCTCGCACTGTCCAGCTCATCATCATCAAGCCCGTAGCCAAGATCTCGAGGGCCAACGCCCATGGGATGCTTGTTGAAGTTTTGCTGTTAATGAGAACAACACAGCAAGTGGATGTAGTTAGAACAGCAAAGCATTACATGATAAAACAAGGAAAGTGGACCCGAGGGGGGTGTTTCCCGCTTTAAGATACAAGGCTTTGTGATAAACATGGAGTCAGACCGTTCTGCTGAGGTAAAGATTTTCATTCACAGAGAAGAGATGCAGGTCTGTGTCTTGTGGGTCTCCACGAGCAGCGGCTTGTTTTAATGAGCCCAGACCCGGAGGGCTGAGGCTAAATTTGGCAAATTTGGGTCTAGGGATGAAAATCTTTAACATCCCCTGCAGTATTTTGTCAAACCGAGCATTATATGGGAAGTTAAAGCTCCGTACGCACCGGGAGTTAAGGCCAACGGGCCACCGACATGAATCACTTGCATGGCGGCATCGGCGCAATGTGATCGCATTTTGTCACCGAGTGTTGATTGATCACTGTGGACTGTAGTTGTCTCACACAGTGGGTTTAATAAGCCACCTGTGTGCCATATTTAATGGGTGGGTTCAAGAAGAGACAGAGGCTTTACAGAGCAGGGCAGGACTCTCCCCATGGGAGCCCGAATCTGCCCCGGGCCACCTATTAACATGCCTTCCACCAGCACGCATATGTTCCTCTCCCACTGCCGGCGCATGCTCGCTTATGTTAACAATATCTCTCACTTTCTAATTTACACTCCTGCCCATTTACCTTCTCACGTATTGCGGCACACGTCCCGTGTCTATTGTTCTGGTAACATCTCCAATTGTCGTTGTGTCTCTTGTGTGTGTGTGTGTGTTTTTTTTTTACACTGGCTTGGCTCCACCTCTCTGACTTCTCTACATTGTCGTCTTTAAGCTCACGTCTGCCAATTATCAAAGCCCCACACCGAGGAAAAGGGCTCTTCACAACACCAAAAGTGAGCGGGAGAACGGATGTGTGTTTAGCGAGAGAACGCCGTCGTGTTTGTGTGCTTTTGTGGCGGTTGTGAGACGCGAAAGGTGTAGAAAAGCAAAGAAACACACACGAGCAAAATAGCTGAGGAGGAAGGGAATTAATGAAAAGGGGAAGGAAGAAGTTATTTAGAGGTGCGGAGAGATTCCTCAAAGCTCCAAAGAATGATGGGGGGGTTGTTCGGGGGGGGGGGGGTATTTGGACCGTTAACCAAGCTGGTCCTGATTAGCTGCCGCAGTGCCAGCCAGACGGGCGGAATGTAACGTGTGGCTGGCCCGGCCTCATTTAGAGCTCGTGTTCGGCCAGGGAAGACACACACACACACACACACACACACACACACACACACACTCAGTCACATACGCACCCTATTACAAAGACACACAAAGAGTTAAAGTGCCATTTTCTCCATAAAAGTCAGCGGAGGAGATGTGTGCAGTAGCCACTTAAGCCTCTCAGCCATCGGGCTAAACACGAACACATGTGGGGGCGCTGCTGATTGGCCGAGCCGCTCCCCTTCCGTGGTAGCATGGAGCTATAATGAAAGAAATTTCAGAGGGGTCCGGGCCTGGGATCCCTAAACAGCCTTTAATGGATTCCTGTGTCAGGGCAGTAAATCGGGGGCCAGGCCGACATGCCAGCCAGCCAGCCAGAGCGGGCCGGCAGAGCGGAGATGCACCTGCGTGACACTTTTGGCGGGGGTGGAGGGGGTTCGGACTGAAACACAAACACATGCACTGCACGTTCATGGTGCATGCCGTTATTCAGACTGTGCATTTGTGCAAGAGGGCAGGGCCTCTCTCTGCGTCTAGGTGTTTATTAAAGCAAGGTGAACCCAAACACAACCAGACGCAGGTCACCAAGCGGCGCCCTCTGATCTCTGTTACAGCTCCGGCGCTCTCTACAAAAAAAGATTTCCAAGGGAGCAGATAAAGGGAGGCCCCCCGCTTCACGCTTTTACTCATTTTACATTCCCCTTCTTTTACCATGGGACCCCGACATAGCGGCTTGAGGTTTGGCCTCTTCTCACACCCCCAAACTTTTTCCGCAGGTTCCGTGTGCATCTTTCGTCACACCTCCTCCTTTTCTCGTGCGGGGGGAAGGGAGAGGCACAGAGTTGTCTTGTGTAAGTCTTTAAATACTAAAAAAAAAACCTTTTTCCTCCTTATTTACCCCGTTCAAAAATTCAATGTGTTTTTTTTTGATAGGTGTTCCCCCCCCGACCAAATCCCTCCCCCTCCCCTCGTTTTGGGCTAGGGGGGAATCTAAATGTGAAAAATTAAAAAAAGGCCCCCCCCCCCCCCCCCCCCCCCCGTCCCCCTTCATGCCTCCCATGTCTCCCATTTCCTCCCTCCATCACTCGGCTGTCTGCGACAGATGTCACCGTTTCTGTCGGTCTGGCTCTCGCTTCCTCTTCACCACAAGTGTGACTGTACGGATCGCATGGAGCGAGTCAGCAGGAGATGCAGCAGTCACGAAAATAATAAAGATTTATTCGGTTGTTTCAGTAGAACGAGCTCAATGAGGTATTTGGAAAGATAGCGTTGTGACATCTTAACTTCTCTTAGCAGGGTTCTTTTATTGTTTTACCCTGAGGGAAACATTTCTGAATCATTTAGTAATTCTATTTTTTTTTAACTCTCGTAAGGGGCCTTATATTTGACACAACAAATGACATTTCTTTGGTCATGAGAAGAAAGTAGTCATCACTTTAGTAGCAGTATTTGGAGAAACAAACTTTCCCCCGCCTCTTCCCTTCCTTCCCTGCATGACCAGTTACGCCAGTGGACTTTAATAGCCACTCTTACATTATGCATTTAATATGGTATTTCTGAGTGGGCACTAATCTCACAGCTTGGCAGTGTATGTAAAGAAAAGAGATGCCGTAAAAATGCAAACAAACCTCGGGGAGAGGCCGAGCCTCTGCAGAAGTACGGCCAAGTCTGTTTAAGAGCTGCTCACTGAAAAAAGGAAAAAAGTTCAAAATAAAAGAAAAACGGCATTTCAGGCGAGATACGCTGCTCGTCTGTCCAACTGGCTGTTGCTGAAAGCCCTTCGCTAAAGAGCGTAGGTATAAAAAAAGCAGGAAAAAGTGAGTTATTCTCATTGTGTGGGACTAAACCGATCCTGTAATTGCACCTGGGGTCTTTCTGTGAATGGGTGCAGTGCCGAGCCTCGCCAGCAGATGGCACTTTGGGTTCAGCAAGAAAGTCACTTGGTCTCTGAAGTGAGGAGAAACTAAATGAAGTGGAAACTACAAACGCACACAAATAACCATGTGCACACGTACACAGTCACACACACACCGCAATGGACAGCGCCACTGCACTTAAAATTCATTATAACTGTTTATCTAACAATATTAATCACCCTCATTAATCTTATAATACATATTATGAGCATTTTCATTTACAATAACAGCTCAAAAGTCATTATTATCAACTATAATAGCCACGCACACAAACGCACACTCACTCTATGTCTTCTGATCTACAGTACATGTACAATGGGCTGTGAAATAGTTTTTCGCTTTTCAGTATTTCTTTAGCATATTGTTCATATTGTGTCATTTTAGATCATGTAGTGAAAATAAACGCACACGCAGTGTCTATGTGAGCCTCCGTGAGCAATATTTCAAATTAAGTGCTATTGCACTAAAATTGCATATTATTTGTATGAGCATGTTGCCGAAATCACAACCACACAAATACAGTCAGTGCACCTCTGTGTCCATCGGCCATTAACACCGGAGCTATGTTCCACAGTTTGAGCACACAAACATATGCACCCATGCACACACTGCAGCATCCATGTGACTTTGTTTTACATATCTTGGTCATGTGATGTGGCGTTTTCCTCTCCTGCCCCCGCCAGGTGTGTGCAGAGCCCGAGGCGCGGCCCGGCCCGGCCACCGGCCTGCTGGCTGTCAGTGTCCATATCACTGCCCCGACCTCCTGTGCTCGCTCCCAACAGCTGGCGCTGCGTCGTCCCCAACCTAAGGCACGCTAAACGCACCAGTGTTTGTGCACACGCGGTACACACGATCAAAAGCCTTCTCATGTACGAAAGTACAATGTGCAGACCCACTTTCTGTTTGCAGATGCTCACAGCACAATACCAAATAAAACACCCAAGCACACACACATACACACACGCACACACATACCAGATAAGATATGCTGGATCTCAAAAACAGATGTGGCACTCACAAAGAACAGATACAGGAGCCAGAACAATGGGGGTTGTTTGTCGTATCAGACAAGGAGTCAGCAGTCCAACTCAGTCTTGTTTTTGTTAAACGAGAGGATTCCTCCTACCTCCTTAATCAACAAGCTCTCCAAACACTGCGAATCACCCACATTGCCAGATAGGGCTGAAATGTGCGCGCGAATGACAGCAGCACTTTCACTTTGGTACATGTGTTGGCTGATCAAATAGAATGTGATTTTCATAACTCTTGATTATTTTTGCTATGATTAATTAAAAGAAAGCTACGCCAGGATCATGTATTTCATTTCAAGGACAGACAGAGAGGAGCTTGCAAAAAAAATAAAAAATGTAAAAAAGATGAATGATAAAAATGTGTCAGGCTTCTTCTTTCATGCAGGAAGATGGAATGTCTTTAATCAGATCACATGTTTGGAGCGCCAGATGACAAAATGTTTCTGAATTTATAACAGCAGGTGAATGAGCCTTTGTTGGTCACTTGGTCAAAGGTATGAATGTGTGATATGGACAAAACTGTTTTTTTTTTTTATAATGTAGCCAAGGACACGATGGAAAATAAAGAAAAATAAAGAAAAATCTGCATTTGAAGTGAGTTTATTAATAAGGCTTGAATACTGTTCAATAGGCAGCACCATTGTACTTAACTTAATATAGGCTGAGTTGCCAGTTAATTAAGTCACACCTACAGTAGCTAAAATTAAAACATAAAATATTACACTTAATGTTTTAATGTTGAATTTTTGTTTAACTTGCAGGGAGGTGCTGATTCAACGTCATGGTCAGTTAAGAGGCTGTTTTTTTTCTTTTGTCGTTTTGTATTTGTGAAGTTTTAAAAAAAAAAAACGAGTTTACGGTCAATGAGGAGGTTGGTGTCAATTCAAGAAAATAAAGGATTGGAAAATGAATTGCATTGTTGAGCTTGAGTCCAGAAAGACAGGACAAGAGACGGTGGAACATATTTTAAGGAATGATTTATATATTTATTTGAATGGTAACTGAAATGTAAATACGCCTTTAAACAGTCAGATGAAGGTAAATAAATGGCTGGTGTTGAGAAAAATATCAATACTCAAAAGAGTCATTATTTAATTTTAACTGGTCATAAACATCTTTTTGTGCTTCCATTGTGACTTTCTAAAGCATGTGTTTTTACTTTTGGTTAGAACAGAAATCAAGCTAATACAGCTACCCCGAAAAAAACAACACAAAACAGCGAAAGAGCAAACTATTTTCACAAGAATCAACAATTTAGAACCGTTTCAGTCTTTCCGGGGTCACTGCGGGTTGACGGGCCATAAATTATCAAAGCTTTCTTGGCTCCTCAATGTTCAGTCTTAGTTTCAGTTGACAGAGAAGAATCTGGGGAAGTCAGAGTGCACGCTCCTACTGGGGGTTGTATCTCTCGTATCTTTAATGTGTAGGCGTCCGGAAAGCATACTGCAAACTCTACTTGAGCGATGAAGCCGATTCATAAAGAGAATAAGGGAAAGAGCCTTCTGCAGGGCTGATAAACCAATGTTTCTGGTAGAAATAACTAACTTGAATGTAAATATAAATGCCACGTTTTAGCTGCTTTACTTTTCATGGAGTAAAGCAGCATTCATATATATCAACACAAACACACAAACTCAGCGATGTGGGACATGTGTCCTGTGTGTCCCTCCTGGTCTCCAGGGACCCGTTACTGTGGCAATGAACTGGCCTCAATGGCAGGGAATGGGGTGTGAGAGTGTGTGTGTGTGTGTCTAGAATTCCGTGTTTGTGGGTGTGTGCGCACATCAATTGCATGTTAGCGGTTAATCTTTTCGTGTGTGTGTGTGTGTGTTTATGTGTCGGGCAGGCCGCCTTTGTGTGTGCACTCGCTGGGGGGAGGCTGTCCGAGGAGGCCTTTAGAAAAGCCCTAATTGCCGTTCCTCTCCTTTTCCGTCACACCTTCCTCTGCGCAAAGACTTTCCAGCCCCATCACGCACACAGAGGCAACACAATGCTAATTAGAGACGGCACCACCGCTCCCAATCAAACTGCTATATGACCGGGACCCAAACGTCACCGTGTGCATGCAGAGATGTTTTTTTGGGTTTTTTTATTCATGACAAAATTTGGAGTTCACATGGCTTTTTTTTTTTTTCAGAGTGGAAAAGCTCCAGCTGAGAGTACAAAGGTAGATATTAGGCAGGAGATTTAACTATTAGCCTCAGGCTGTATGCATGCGTTTATACCCTGCTCGACTGTGCAATTTTGTTTGTATTGCAACTGCAACAACTATACGTCCACATTCTCTTTCACGCTACGGTCTCATTTCATAACGTTTTTACCTCTCTTGACAAATTTATTGATGAATGTGTATTTTGTGAGCGTGCATGTGCTTGCACATTGTATGCCAGCTCTGCACACAGACACACAAAAAGGAAGAAGAAAAAAAATATTGCTCTCCACTTATGGGGCACAAGCAGATTCTTCAGAGGAAATGCTGACCAGCAGATGAGTTGCTTCTACTGTCCGTGCTGTTCAGAGAAAAATCCTGAATGTACAACATGAGTGCGTTGAAAGAAAAGAAAAAAAGAAATGCTTATCATTACATTTGGCACCCTGACAAACGACTGTAGCTCCAAGAGCTGTTTCAAGACAGAGAGACAGTGGGGGGAGAAAGAGAGAGAGAGAGAGAGGAGGATGGCAATGAAAAAGAGAGAGGGATGGAGAAAGAAAGAAAGAAAGAAAGAAAGAAAGAAATGGGAACAAAAATGGGACGGAGAGAGCCCAGAAGTGGAAGCTCGCATCCATCTCGATCAGTTCTTGTATGATCAGTCAGTGTGCTTGTGGTTAACTTATTTACTGATGTGCATCTCTCTGTGCGTGTGCCATACCCGTCTCAGCTTCTGCAGTCTCCTTGGAGACAGGCTCTTGGTGCTGGTGGGAGACCCCTGGCAGACCATCACCCCCTCTTCTTCTTCTTCCTGGGAGAGAAATGAAATGAATGTGAATCTAAAATGATCTGTGTGGTATATGAACTAACGTACGTAGAACCTGTTGGTTGGAGGACACTGTGCTGTTGCATTTGAACCACATGGCAATGTCCTACCTTGTTTTAGTGAATCCATTTCACATAAAAGACGTTACTGAACTAAAGCAGTGATGCTCATTGTGTTTGGTTCAGTTTCTCATCTATGAAAGTTAAACGATTGGTCTGATTGGTCTTTATTTTTACCAACAAGACCTGTGAAAATATTTATTGATTCTACAAAGAAGTATTGTTTTTCTGGCCCATTTACCCACAGTGTTGTAAAACACACACACACACACACACACACACACACACACACACACACACACACACACACACACACACACACACACACACACACACACACACACACACACACACACTCCTATTACTGCAACTACTTGGCAGCCTACCAAATCTCCCCCCTTTAATATGCTTTTTCAGTAAATCACTGAAAAAATGTAAATATATGCTCATGACCCGAGCTATCTTCAGTAGGAACAAATCAGTTTGGGTGTCGGAGCCACAGACACGGGATCAAAGTTAGAAAACATAGAAAGAAGAAAGTGATGCCTTGGTGGCTTATGTCTATTCAGGGAATTTTTGGATAACAGCGCATATATTTCTCATCACCAGTCTAACCCTTTAAAATATCTTCTACAAGGTTAGAACAATTACATTCAAGGAAACCACCAGTGGTGAGCTTGATTTCAATACGTTTGTGCAGTCCTCGTTTAGACATCTGGTGCAGGCAGCAAAATAAATGCACCGCAGATTAAGTGTGATCCTGAGAAAGTCAAATGAATTCATTTGTGTATTCAAGAATTAATTTATGAGCACACAGGAAATCTCTTCAAATCAAATCCTTTTTCCTCTACTGTGAGTGTGCACACACACACACACACACACACACACACACACACACACACACACACACACACACACACACAGAACACTCGGTGCTCTCTCTGCTCAGTTTCCCACTGACAGATCAAACTGCTATTGCCTTATCAAATCCATCAGGCTTATGGAAACATACAGCTCGTTACATTAGCTTTGAGGAAATCACAGGCTCACTGATGAAATATGCAGACAATAAAAGGGAAAGAGGTGCAGGGGATCGGATGACATGACAGGCCATAGCCAGAGGGGCGTTGGTTAAAAATGTACAGCCCTGAACAAAGCACTAAGCAGGCTTCAACAGTCATTAAAGAGCCCTGCGTCAGAATCACACGCTCCATGTAAAGCAGCCTTCCTGTCTGTTTCTATGAGCGAGTGTGTGTGTGTGTGTGTGTCTACTGTATCATTTCTGCGAGCGTGTCCGTGTGTGCCAGGGAGGTGTGAGGGTCCGTGCGGCTCACCCTTGCTTTAAGTCTGCCCTTAATGTCTCGGATGCCCCTCTTGGCATGACTCTTGGCCTAGGATGAAAAACAACACACACACACACACACACAGACACACACAGATTACTAATCAAAACATGTGGTATTAAAATTCTGTTCTGGTATCATGTAACATCCAAAAAAGCTTTGATCCCTGTGGTAAAAACACAGAGACAAGAGGCAGGATAAGAGGGCATCGCACACTAACATGAAAGGGCCCCTGACCACCTTTTGCACGGCGCGTAACAACGTGCTCTTCAAACGCAGGCTACAATACTCACATGCCTTCCACTGTCCATCACAAAACAGACAGGATTTTAAATTGACTGATTCTTTTTCCAAGAATAACCTGCAAAGTGTCTATTTCAGCGGCGTTTTCTGGACCCTAGTTTTAAGTAAAGCACATATAGAAGAAACATTACGTCACGCTACATTAATCTGACCGTTTTAGAGAACTTACTTTAGTAACAGCTGTGTTGATGAGTGCTCCTCCTCTCTGTAATAGACACAGAACATTATTAGTAAGTCACTTTGGGTGAGTTTCCACACATAGAGATTATTTTTCAAATATCAAATATTCATTTTATAAACACAGCAGGCGATCATAGGGTGGTGAGAGCAAGCCGCACTGCAGCAGTCTGATTTTCGTCACACTGCGAAGCACAACGTCCTCATCAATATCATGAGAATTATTCCTAGCGTTTGACTCACAGTAGTCACAAAGGACTCACTCTCTAAATCAAACACAACCAAAACAGCTGTAAATAGAATTGTAATGCAACCTCCAAATGTAAGTGGTGACACCAGGAAAAGTATCACATCGACGAAACCGCGTGATTCAAAGCATTCAGGAGGTTTTTATTTAGAAGCAGCCTAAAACGGCGATGGAAGGGACTGTGCATGATTGATTTCTACTTTGAGTTCTGCAGACTGACATCATGCCACCCAATATCTCTCTGTGCCTGTCTTCTCTTCTCTTCTCCCTCTCGGAGTTGCTGCATCACTCCTCTGGCGTCTGGCTCTTTTTCTCCTCTGTTTGGTCTTTAGTGTAAGCACAAAGCGCCGGCTAAACGGCTAAACAGGGTAGATGGCAGACAGCGTTTCTGAAGTCGGCAGAGGGAGAGGAGGAGAGAGGAGGAGAGAGGCCGAGGTGGAGGCCCCTCTTATTGATCCCTGTCAGTCAGGAAATGTGAACTTTAACAAATCTTTGAAGAGCACTCTAGAGAACTAATTCAGCCTTAGCTGACGGCGTGGGGGGAACGGGCGGGGGGGGGGACTCAGTGAGAGAGAGAGAGAGAGAGAGAGACGAGGGAAGAAAAGAAGAGGGGAGGGAAACGGGACGAAGAAGGAGGGAGAGAGATCTATGTTCTTGGGTCGGTTCAGCGGAGTAACGCCTGTGTTTGCTGCCAGATCAACATGTCATGTCGGAGGACGTCTTGTCACGTCAAATCACTTCTGTCTCCCTCCCTGTCTGTCTGTCCGTCTCCACTGTCCTGCTGCATGCGCTGCTTCACACACACACACACACACACACACACACACACACACACACACACACACACACACACACACACACACACACACACACACACACACACACACACACACACACACACACACACACACCAAGCTGCACTCCAGCTGGATCCGTACATCCAGGCAGCCACTTCACTCCGAAGGCAACACACGGGACTTCAAACGCAGAGTCGTGTCAATCATACTTTCAATTAAATACATCTCGGGAATGAAATGGGTGAAGAAAGGCGTAGATAAAAGCATTTTAAATACGATACGCAGGACATTCTGAGAATACCTTCACAGTGTGCATCCATTGCTGGTAAGACCTTGAATTACCTGGAGGGATGGTATAAAACACAAAGAACATGAATTAATCATTTTGCACTCGATAGCATTGTATTAACATTATAAAGCAGGGGTAACTATATATATATATATTACACTGTGACACAGTCTCATTGTTACAGACATGCACATTACTGAGCATTTAAAAAACAATAACTATTCTATTTTGAACAAACATACCACAGTAACAGCGGCAGGTAAAGAATGAGGTAGTTTAAAATAGCTGAAAATAACCACATTTAGTGCTATAAGGCGCCCTTTTGTTACACAATCAATAATAAATACAGTTGAACGGGACACTTTTGTAAGCAACTTGACCCCAACATTTGGAGCCCATATATTCTTTGTAGTCATATAAATTAGAAAATAATATAAAAATATAGAATTAGAATAGAATTTATCACAATAATGTTTAAGAGTCGCTTTTTTTGTAGTTTTTGAACTGAAAACAATTAATTCTGTTAATCCAAAGACTAAACAGTTGATTAGTGCAATAGTATTTGAAAGTGCTTCATGTGATCACAGGTGTGTTTACGAGACATTTAACAGCTTTCAAACGTGACTCAAATAATAAGTTTAGGAACAGAAATGCTATCAAATCCAATTAGAAGACATTTGGTACTTTCAATTGTTTAAGATATTTGAGAGAACCATACATCCTATTTGGGGAGATAAAGGATCTTAGTTTACTTTTATTTAAATTTTCTTGACTTTCCTGACTTGCTTTTACTGCAGATCTGACTATAGCACAGTGACTGCAGCCCGCTGTATGAAATATGGCAAATAAATACAGCGTGGCTAATGGACGGACAGGTCGAGCACTACTCACTTCCACAGAAGCCCCCCTCTGTGATCTCCTCTTCAAACACGTCGGAGAAGCCGCGGCCTGCGTTCAATTTGGCCAGCCGTCCGTCGATGAACTACAACCATAAATTACAACGTGCTTATTAAAGAAGGGAGAGGGAGGTGGTGGTGGACACACTTAAGCAGATTCAAAACACATACACACTGATTCAAACACTCAGGCTGCAGCGGGGTGTTATTAATCCTACCTGACAGAAACTACATCCCGAGATTAGGTGGGTTTCAGGTAATAAGGATTGGGTAATGTGGAGCAGGTGAGGGATTAGGGCAGCAGACTACACGTTGCTCACTGTCTGAGGCATGAGGAAGTTTCATTTCCTCCCTTTGTAACATGGGGCACATAAAAGTCCATCTCATAAATTTTGACCCCACAGCCAAGACGGCGTTCATGAGCACAGACTCAAACTGATGTGAATATGCGATGCAAATACAAACAGCCAGGCGCACACCTCCACATGTGTGATGAAAACAATAAAAAAAAAATGAACATTCTTTAGACATTAAAGCATGAGAAATATTTAGTTTTACAGGCCCCGACCAATTAAACTAGAAATTTGAGGGCAAGTAAAAAGACAAAGTAGTGTCAATAAAAACCTTTGAACATATTTTTTATCATTTTGGCTCCTCATAAGAGCTCTGGTGCCTCCTCCAAATATTTTTTCAGGCTCAGTTGGCCGTCATTGTTTTCTGCAGGAAAGAAATCTAACGGTATATCATCTGTCTAAATATGCTGAACATGAAGAACATTTTAGAAACAATTACGTGAGTGTAGATCACTCAGTCACACATATGGTCCACTGTTTTCTATTAGCTAAATCAAACCACATTGACCCCCAAGTGGCTGGTAGTTTCCTGTCCCATCACTTATAATATCAGCAAATCACTGGCTGGAAAATAATACTTTCCAGTTAAATCCTGGGCTGATCTTGGCACATATCTGGTGTAAAATAATTAAAAAAACAAGCAGCTGCAGCTCTTGTTTTCAAGAAGTGGGGCCAAGATCTGCAAAAGTTGTGATGAAATGACCCAGAAAGTTTCTGTGTCTATTTGTTTTGCTGAATCGTTGTTAAACTAGAAACCTCTTCAGTTTATCCGTGTAAAGGTGGGAGTGAAAGTATCTGACAAGCAGTTACCGCTATTTATAAAGCATGTATATATATATTTCACCAATGATGGCATTAAATAACAATCAACACTTCCTACCTTTCAAGCACTATTTCAGTAAACTATTATTTTTCATTACTTGATTGCGACGTATTGTCAGATATATCCTTAACTGTATCGTTCCCACCTCTGTGACTGCGTCCAAAGTGTAACAGCAATTTAAGTTGTTTTTTCGGGCGCGTGTCCTCGGGGACAGCCTGCTAACTAGCGACCCGACGCGGCCGCCCGCTCCTCTGGTCAGGAGGAGCCGGAGGCTCATCATTAGATCATTTTAATGAGAGGTGAGACTGCAGGTTTCAACCACTGCTCCACGACTCGGCCGCCCCAATTAGTGCAGATAATCAACCCAAATCATCACCCAGCCAAAGCCTCCACTTATCCCCCCCCCCCACAAACCCCAGCCAGATTACCTGCCTCACACTGCGCCCTAATTGGACATTAATCAACAATGGCAGCCTCTCACAAAGATACACAAACACTTAAAAGAAAACAAAAAAAAACTTGTTCATGCAGTCATGCACGCGCACGTGCAGCATTTGCTTTGTTTTGAAAGAGAGGGACAAAAAGGAAGGAGACATTTAAATACTTTTTTATATACGCTGCCTCAATACTTAATCTAACGACATTGAAACCTAATTCGCCCCGTTGATATTTCAATTATTTTGCTTGAATTGTATTTGACTCTCTAAACCGAACTTCATGTCAATGACAACACACTGGATCCTGCTCTGTGTCTTCATCTATCTACATTTCATCGTTTCCTTTAGCTGTCGTAGTGGCGGGCTACAGACCTGAGAGTTATTCCATCTGGCTCACAGCACATTGACTCCCTCACGAGTCGGTCGCAGTGGTCCACATTTAGTTCAACTCTGCATTTGTGGAGCCGGAAGTTGTTATTAGGAATCTACGGGGTTTCATCAACAGATAGCGTGAAGAAAATGCAATTTTTTTTTTAAACCCATAAACTGTGGATAGAAAGGGATGTAGCGGGAATCATGTCAATCAGGTTTGAAGGTTGGATACTAATGCGCGGAAACATTTTGAATAATAATCTAAATGTGATCATTTTGGGGCGTGATATTGCAGCTGCGATACAGATTCGTAATACTATATACTACGTTTTTTGACACACATTTTGCATTGAACAGATATTGCACCATCTAGTTCCTCTATAAACTTGATTTGTTGCACTGCCCTGGCCTAGCCCTTTTGTTTACTTTAAGAATGTAGTCACAACTACCCATTTGTTACAGTAACCTGTTTTTGGAGCCAGCATCGAGCAGCCATTAGCACTGGTGCATTTCTAAAGCCCTTACTTGGACATGTACAGCCCCTTTTATCCACCGTAGGGTTCATTTTAAAACGTGGTCTTCCATCTTACTGTGACACTAAGTGGTCGGAGCAACTACATGGTCAGATTTTAAAATCAGATCATATGGTTTCACAAGGACCCACCTTCCTCCTTTCGATAAATGGCTCGGCTACAGTATTCATACACGCGGAGAATGATGGATGATTATTGATTGATGGGAGCCACATTGTCTACAGAGGCACCTGGTAGTAAATTATCACACTACAAGTCTCCCCACACGCTCAATAAAACGGTGTATGGCTTCGCTTTGTCAATAAGAGGAAGAGACTTCATTTTATCACTGCCTGCACACGAGTGTGTAGGAGCTGGGAATGGGTGATAGGAAGCAGCTTAACGACGACAGGCTTTCCCCCGCATTCTTTTAGAAGACTTCTCCCACTTGTTCTGTTCTGAACAGAGATGGGCTTGTGGACCGGCAGCCCAGGAAACAGGAACAGAACAGAAGTGTGTTGGAAGGTGAAACCGCGACATTTTAAGAGGTGTGTGCGTGCATATATATATTTTAACAGTCGGTTTTAACTGTCTACGTGTCATAGAGGACAAAGATAAAATGAGTGTTGTTTCTGCTTCTTGTTCCATAAGCACACAATTTAAATGCACTTGATATTTATATTGTAATCCATAAAAGGTTTTCTCATCCAACATCTTACAATAATACATTTTAATATGGCTATTGAGGTAACTGATGGCCCTAATGACATATGACAGCACAATAGCCTCTCTGTCTATTCAGCCATTCTGCTCCAAAAGTCTTACCGCCGTATCACTGAATCTGCATAAAAAACGTCATGCTGTTCCATGTATAAAGCCGAAAATACTTCTGAAGCAAAATAACCGCTTTACAAGGAATAAAAACAAAATCACCTGTAAAAACCAATTTCCTGCTGAAATGGTAACACCTCAAACTCAGGTAACACCTCGACATTATGCGTGTGTGCTTCACACACGCGTGTAGCTGTATAGTGTGTGTAGTGTGTGTTGTGGTCTACCAATTCCAATAATATGGTTTGAATTTGGCTCATTATTGGAGTACAGGCAACAGGGACAAATGCCACAGTGTGCTGCTGATTAGAAGATATATCGAATTAAATATATAATGTGTAAGAACTGTTGTTTCAGTCTAGTCAACCAGTGCAGATATTTGCTTGATAGTTAAGTTTCCAAAACGGTTTGTTTAGACATTTCTTTGTAAACTGTAAACTTCAAAATGAATAATTAACCAAACTAAACTTTTAATAAAAAACGTCAATCCTTGCTCCTTTTGTGTTAATAGCCTTTCAACATTTTAGAGTTTGAATCTCTTGTTTAATAGATTAAAATGTATATATATATATATAAATAAATGACAATTTGATAAAGTGTGTTGCCAAATGCTGTTAATGTTTTTTTTAATTGCATGACCTACTAAATAAGACTAGTATCGGCTTTAGGTCTATAAATATTGTGCAATATACTGACAGGATAACAGGATACTATGAGGATAATATATTGGAATTTAGATGCAAAGAAACACATTGGTATGAAATCAAACAATAACAAAACAAGGAGCAGGAGGAAAGGGAAAAAAACAAATCAAAACTTCCGGTCAATAAGTGCGTACTTCCATATCTAAAAACGAATGTGTGCATGTGTGTGGCCATGCGAGTCCAGCATTGTTTGCGTGTTTGAGAGCGGATGTGGGTCATGGCCAGAGCGGAGCCCGGGCGGACCGCTGGCCTCTCTCCCTTTAGTCGAAAGAGGAGTGGAGGAGATAAGCCCCCACCCCCCCTGCTCCTCCCCAATCCACCGAGCTAGAGAGGAGGAGGAGATAAGGGCCTGTTTCCCAATGCTACCGCGGAGGCAGGAGCCGGCCCGGGAGGATGCTTTTAACTTTCGCCTCGCTATCGGCTCTGCCTGGGAAAATTATAGATGGTGCCGAGTGTCCGGAGAAACAAAAGGCTGATTGAGGACCGCTGTGCTCACTCTCAGGGGTAAATCACACTACTATCACGGGTCAGGGAGCACAAAAGCAAAATTCAAGGGTTGAGAGGATATTTTCCTCCGGAGCCAGAGGTGTCCCTCCGCTGATCGGCTCTGGCTGGGCCAGTTTACTGTTGCTTAAGGGATTTGTGCTGGAAAACCATTTAACCACAGATGAAAAAATGATACCTGCTCACAAACACGCCCTCTACCTACATTGTACATGAATACAATAATTAACACACCGTGGAGTATTTACTTGGGGTGAATTCTACATTTTCTAGGGCCAAAGTTCAAATTCGGACCACATTTGTTGGGAGGAATTTTACAGGCATGTGCACACGTGTCAGAGACAAAAATACAACCGTGATATGGCTTGTCCAGTGAAATACAAAGAACAGGCCTGACTTATCAGAGTATTATTTGTATACTGGGAAATTTGAGAGAACGGGGAGACAGAAATACTAAAGTGTTTTGAGAGAGAACCACAGTCAGTTTCTAGGGGTCAATAACCTAATAATCTCTGATCCCAGGCCCCTCTCCTCCTCACTCTGAACAACTGATCTATCAAGATACTGAATGCTAACTCTGCCTAGTTGACAGCTTGGCAGACAAGTGGAGACAACTATAAAAAAAAAATACTTTTATCCTTCTAAATAAGAGCATCTGTTCAAAAACAAAACAGCTCAAACATTGATGGGAGAGGACAGAGTAGCCTTCCATATCAGCAGTCACTCATATTTGTATATTTCAGTTTGTCTGCTGCTCACGAGATAGAGTCAATGTTTCCATCTAGTTCTGTATTAATGCATTAAGGTAAATATAATGTAAATATTCATATATTCTGTGTTCAGGTGGTTTTCGGTTTCATGAATAGAATGGCACAAACACACACACACACACACACACACACACACACACACACACACACACACACACACACACACACACACACACACACACACACACACACACACACACGCCGGTTGGTACCTGTTTGAAGAGCTGCAGGTTAACAGCCATCGACAGGAAGTTCCTCATGGTGCTCGATCGATTGTTCACAAAGCTCTCCTCGCAGAAAGTGATTGGCTCCCCCTGAAAAGTCCACAGAGACATTATTGGCCAAAAATGACGACAAATTATTCATTTTGGCTCACTGTTCTTTGTTCCTATGTGTTTATCTCTGTGTGTACTTGAGCCACAGGAAACAAAGGCAGATGTGTGGGGTATCTGGAAAAGCAGAGGGTCTAAACTAAGCAATTTAGTCATAATAAAATATGATTTATAGCACTAAGAAGATTGCATCATTTCTATTGTCATTGTGCACCGTAAAAAGCAGTGTAATAACCAAAAAAAGTCAAAACTGAGGGACAGGAAAGAAAAAGAAAGGATCAAGAAAGATGAGAATAGTGTTTACAGAAAAAACCCTCAGTCCTTTTAAAACAGGTCGCCTTGAAAAGAAGACCCAGAAGACCGGGTCCCAGTAAACTCTCCAGTAGTCCACATTAACACATCATCACATTATTACTATTTGTTACATCATGTGTGTTGGCCTGTGAGCTATAGACACGGAGGATGACAACAGAACTGCTGCGGGCCAATCACAAGCAGCCCTACAGTCATTTCCAATTCATCTTTTCTTTTCATAATTAACATAATTCTCACATATTTCAATGATGCTCTAAATTCTTCCAGCGTAAAACAATGCACTTTGTCTGTTCTGGGCTACGAGCTCAGTGTGGCACATAAAAACAACTTAACAACACCAGAGACTAACTACATTTCTGAGGATGGGCGGATGATACCAGTGGCCCAAATTACATCACAGAAATACTGCTCCACTTACATCACTAAAAGTTTTCCAGGCTTATTCTCTCATAAAGCGGAGTTGAAAGTATCTTGTAGTAGTTTAATCAGCCTCCGACCATTCTGCAGCTAACAAAACTCAATAGCATGGCGGGACTAACTGCTAATTGCTACTGAAAAGAAACTCACCACTGCGTCTGTGCACACGTCATTATCCAACAACATCCATTGGTGCACACAGGCACCACAGAAAGAGACATATCAAGTTGACCTGTTTTTAGACGGTCACCACAATAACAATTATGACAACTTCTAGTTGTAAATATATATATAGCCAATGCAGTTAACCTAGAGAATCAAAAGAGAGGGCCGTTCACCAGGTGATTTTAACTGTTCTAAAAAGTGATCTCAAGAATGTGGGCAGCTGGGTAAGTTTCTGGAGGAGCATCATGTACGACCTGTGAGGAGTGAGGAGCTCTTTAAGTCCTTTACCAGATGCAAGTTTGTTGTCTCTTTTACATGTATCTCTGTTCTCCTGCTTAACAAAATAAAGCTCTACGCTCCATAAGAGTTGCTGACATTATCATTAGGTTTTTGGTTGTAAACTGGACTGTGCTTAATATGAGGACGCATACAAATCATCGTCTAGCAGAATTGATCAGAAAAAAATGAATATGAACATATGATTTTCTTTTTAAATATGATTTGGCCTTGGAAAGTACAATCTGTGAAGACAGCTACAAGTTTATCTAAGTTTGAGGTTGGACATCCACCAGAAATCAATGCACGTTATTAGGTTTTAAGCATTAGATAAAAACCCATTCTATAAACAAGAAACTCATCCTGCAGGAAGCAGACGAGTTCAAAGTGCCAGCGCGAGTGGGCGGATGTTCAGATGTTCAAGGGGAGAAGAAGTCGCAGTGTGCTTTCAGGCAACCTGTGAGAATGACAATACCACTTACTGTGATAGAGTTTAACGGTGGACGCTAATGAATCCCTGTGTGTCCGGGTTTACTGTAGATTTTGTCACACAAACCTGCATGTTCTTGTGCAGGACTCCCGCTGTATGTGGACGTATGCATACGCATGAAGATATCCTCTACATGCAAGCATGCTCTGTGCAAGAAACAGCTTTTAAACATGTGATGGCACCCCGACCTCCTTATTGGGGTTTTCACACCTGGTTGGATAACGTGAACTGATTACATGCCCATCTGAGCAGCACGTCGGCTAATTCTGTGCCTACATAGTACAGAGCGCTCGCCAACGGAATACGCACAGCGCCAGCCACCCGACTCGGCTCCATCAGCGGCGTTTCAGGTTCTTTCAGCCCGGCGCGTGCGTGCCGCTCTGCGTAGACGAGAAGCACGCGGCCGAGAATCAACGTGATGACCTCAGAAATGGTTGTCTAATCAACTGACTGCTTTTCAACTCGTTATCGTTTTCCAGCATTGTTTCATTTACGACTCAGCGAGATACCAACCCCAACATCCACACCCGTCCGTCTGTCGAGGCATATGGGCCTGTGAACCGCAACGCTCGCCTCAGCTCTGTCTGCGGAGTTGTTGTTTGTTTTTTTTCCACGGCTGAGAACAATCGCGAGCTGAGCAATATTCCACAAATATCTGAACCCGGGGAGTATCATCAGTAGCTTCATGCCAGCAAGTGTGCAGTTTGTACATGTTTACGTGTGTGAATGCATGTTAACAAAACAGATTTAGAGCGCGAGTGAACTGAGAAATGACTGCACGTTGTGCTCACACATTGACACACACACACACACACACACACACACGCGCGCACGCACACACACACCTGGTCTCAGCACTCGTGTCAGAGGGGAGGCGGCGTGTTCATATACTGTCCGTATACAGCAAAAAGAGAGACAGCATCAATAATGTAGCATCTTGACTCCGGGAGTCCACAAAGTCCAATTAATCTCAAAGCCAAAGGAACAAAGGCTTCGCTATTTGACAAACAGGACATGCTGTACTTTGCTCTGCTCTGACTCAAGACTTGATAAGCAGAAAAGATCCAGAAAAAAAGAAATCTCTAGATTGCGGGTGGTGTGCTGTGGGGGCTAGCAAAGGAGAGTGAAACACCAAAGGTGGCTAAAAGGGCTCTTCAAAGGGAACGTCCTGACTCTTTTCAGCTCCTCTGACATTTCACTGCTTCAGACAGGCCCACCTTCGACTGAAAAACACACCTTTTACCTCCAGTCAAAACTGCCCCAGTCCACCCCAACCGGTGCAATCTGACCCAACTCCCCCACACTGAGATCGCTCCTGCCTGCCGGACGAGCAGACTCTCGTCTGTGAATATTTAATTGTGCATGTGACTGAAAATGTTTTAAAATCCAACCCAACAGAGCACAATCACTGTGGAACACTCGCAGTTGTGAATATGTTTGTTTACGAGATGAAAACAGATTTTTACTTTAGCCAAAGTATAAAAAGACAACGCTGATTGTCAGTTACCCTGAGATGCAGTTAGTGTGAGACTTTAGCTTTTCAGACATCTGTCTCTTAGATCCTGTCCGCTCAGTAAAAAAATATGTTAATGGGATTTTGTTAAGGTACTTCCAGTACTGCCAAGATATGGTCTATAATAAGTGTACCATGTAGTAAAGTTTGAAAACCAAATTCCATATACATCCACTGTATTACTAAGACCCAAACTCTGTATGGCTCTATATTTATATATTTCTTCTAATTTGGGTAATGTAGCTTAAGCGCAAGTTCAGTCAGTAAGACAATCAGCCTGACTCCCTTGTGATTACAGACATCTGATTGGGGGCGGGCACAATTTAGAAACCAATCAGATTCCTGGAGTCAAACGCATTGTTGCTGTCAAACTTTTAAAAGTGTTCTCCTCTCTGTTGGCTGTCAGCTGTCATTTCAGCGTGTAGCTGATGCGACCCTCCTCCACCCCCGTCACCTCCACTCAGCATCGGCGTTGTTCCTGGTTCGTCATCAGGTTGCTGCTAATCCTTTCACCGGTGTCTGGACTCCAGGGGGATTAGGCCTATTGGACCTCAGTATCCCTTCAGTGATAGTACTTCATGATGGAGTCCAATCGCCAGAGACTTTGCACAATTCATATTTGGTGCGTGTGTAATAAATTATTGTTTTACTATTAAATGAGTCTCCTTGTTGAAATGAGGTTCCTTCAGGTGTCCATGAGCACTTCGTACACAAGTAAACGTTCCAACATGATTTGAAAAAGTCAGACTCTAGAAAGCTATTCAAGAAGGGAACTGGAGACAGACGACTGTGGGTCCTTACGGGTTTATATCTGAGGGCATCGCGGTACGATCCGAACAGCGCGGCCTGCACCCTCAGGAAGGCCCTTGCCACGCCACTTCCTGTTGCCGTTGACTGCTTCTTCAGCCTGCTCTTCAGAAGGGACACCTGGTGGAAAGCACAAAGGGGCAGAATGGGGGGGAGAGAGAGAGAGAGGAAGTGAGGGGAAGCGAGAAAGAGACGGAGGGGTAAAAGTTAAATTATCACCTCTGAAATTGGTGGAGGAAACAGCTCGCCCATTCTGGGTGTGAAGTGTCACATTTGCAGGTCATCTCAAAATAAGAAAGAAAGAAAGAAAAGCTTCAGCCTTCGCTAGCTTATCTGTTGTGCTGCTGGGAGCACCTGCTGCTTTGCTAATTGAGCAGAGGACGGGGGGGGCGAGAGGGAGGGGGTCGCCGAGAGGAAATGGAAACTCGCGTCTCGTGCCCTTCCACTCTCACCCTCTCTTTCCACGCCGCCAACCCCCACGCTCCTCCTCCGCTTCCTCGCTTCTCCCTCCATTTCTTTCTCGTCCACTCTTTCCTTCCACTCCCCCACCTCCCCCCTCCCTCCCCTGTTCTCCTGAAGTCTCTCCAGAAAGGGGCCCTTGACATAAAATGTCTTCAATTATTTCTCCCCTCTCCTGGCTCTGTCTCCAGGACTCCAGGCGAGAGAGAGAGAGTGGAAGAGCAGCAGGCCCGAGCTTGTTTTAAGGATGACAAAAGATTCCCCCCTGGCCACCACCGGGCCCCGGGGAGTCTTGGAAAGAAGTTGTCAAGAGGCTCTGCTCACCTGCTCAGCGGTACGACTGTGCCGCGGCAGAGCGAGGAGGAGGCAGACAGCGAGGGACTGCTGCTCTCTGTGTGGGCCGCGCCAGCCGAGCACAAAGGCACAACGTTTGATTGGGTCGCACAGGAGGTCCAGATTACTGTACCTCGGTGCGGCGTGCGCTGTCAGCAGAGCTACGGGCTCCGATCAGGGTGTTAGAGGAGAAGAAAAAAAAAAAACGATTTAACCCTCAACTCCAGTAAGTGGCCAAAAAAAGAACAATTCAACACGGTCTATATAATAAAGCAAAGTCTGGATGACTTTGCTTTATTATATAGTTTATTATATTCTGCATGGCATCATGTCAGAAGATAAAAATGCAACTTTCAATGCACGATCCTTGTATAGTGAACTCGGATGTCTCCTACACAGTTCTTTGCCTGAGGCTGGTTAGGCTTTGGTGTTTTGCTCAAGGGCCCTAAAAGAGGGCTGATGAAGCCAAAGCGCTCCAGGTAACAATGTTCCATCTTAGACATCAACGCTCTGCGGTCTGAATGTGGGGCGAGAAAGCTGATAAAAGTGTGCGTGAAACAACAAGGATTTCTTATCAGAAGGCCCATTAGATTTAACAACAAGCTGCATATTTCACCAGTCAGTTTAATACCCGCTTTAAACAGTGCCACATTGTGTGTGCTCTGCTGGTTCCTTTTCACATTGTTTGTGTTATATTCATGTGTTAACACTCGGGCCCGTCCAACAGTCCACCGCTGTGAAGCAGCATTTACAACTGATTATATGCATCAATATCCTCAGCTGTAATGTAGCAGCGTTTGTGGGCAGGACGGAAATGAAGAGATTAAAGCGAAGGGAAAATGTCAGGTTGTGTCAACCATTAAATGACCCTCGTCTCTTTTGTAATGTGATACAATTTTGATCAAGTCTACTTCAATCACAGGTGGGCAGAAGTGTCATCTGGAAAACCTCTGGGAGGAGAAGCGGAGTGTTCGCACAGCTCGCACGGAGGACTGGCGGAAAGAAACAGAGAAGGAGAGAAAGCGAGACGGAAAGAGTGGCAGTCTTAAACTGGGACAAAGACAAAACGAACAGCGTGAATTCTTCTCCCCGGAGCTTTCTCACTCTCCACAACGTCCCCGCGCTGCCATCGCAAATGCTCCCGGGCATCAAACAGGAAGTTTATCACGGTTAAATTAACAAGTGTCATCTCCATATTCGCTCATTGTGCTAAATGCTTTTATGTTTATGTAAAGCCGTTTTTGGAATTAATATTTCATGTTAATGTGAGTTTTCACCGATTCATTTTTTTTTTCCATCCTCGCAAATCATTAAACTGTCTTTTTTTTGGGGGGGGGGCGGAAGGGTGAGGGTGGTGGGGGGGGGGAATCACAGCGAACACAATGTCAGTCCTAGTGGGGGGAGGCGTACCTCCAAGACTGTCAGAGAAGACGGGATAGCGGCGGAGTTTACTCTGCACACAGAGTTCCGTGCAGCACCTTTTGAACGAGTGAGAACGCTGCACTGGCAAACACTCTTTAATGAAGATGAGAACACAATCACTTGTGTTGTGTTACCCAGAGAGAGAAACTTAATGATAAAGCGATAAAAGTTTCACATCTCCTCCCGAGTAAGAAGAGGCATGATGCGGAATATTCTCTTCTTCTTCTCTCACGTGCGGTAATTAATCAAATTGTCACACGTGATATTTTGTGAAAGCGCATGACGACCGTATTTTGCAACAGAAAGACGGCGCGCAGTCCGTGGGATTCTTCTTCACATATCAGACGCCAACAAAAAAAAATAAAAAAAATGTGTGTTTAGTAATTGGATATTGAACATGGCGCCTATACCGCAATCATCAGGTATGCCTCCACGGTAATGGCTCTGTCAAACTAATTAACTCCTACAGTCTGAGCGAAGCTAACGAGATGCGTACAGGCATCAGAGGAAGGAAAGGCTCTACAGGTGATAACCCTATTTGGCAGTGACATTTTTTAGTGTAAAGTCACAGTGGCGGTGACGAGATCAAAGGCAGAGAGTCCCCCATTGGGTCCAATTAGAACTGTAGCATTGTACGGGGAAGGGGCGGCAGGAGGAGGGACGGGAGTGGGTGGAGAGAAAAAAAACTGTTGAGTTATGATATTCATAATCTATGCAGAGAGGCCTTTCCAGTACAGGTCTTCTCCCCATAGCTGTGATCTTTTCAATTTACATCAAGGGAAGATGGTCGGGGATGAAAGTGGGGAATCCAAGGCGCGCAGCCCACAGAGGGCAGACATGGGGCCTCATTAAGACCCAGCCCAGTCAGCCCCAAACTGAGTTTTGAAATGCGTCTGGTAAAGAGCATGGGGTCAAAGGTCAGACATAGAACAGATCTCCATTTAACTCTCCAGCTGGAGATGGTAATTAGCAGGTGCAATGATGATCCCTGCCTGACTGTATGGGATGATACTGCTGTAGGGGACCCCAGGCATCTGTGTGAGAGTGTGTGTGTGTGTGTGTGCGCCCATGCATGTACACACACGGACACACGTGGCGCCTGTTGTCACCTACAGTGCAGTGTTAGCATTTTTTTTTTTATGTATTTGACCAAAAAAAAAAAAACACCTCATGCGGTCTGTGTAAGACTACTGTTACTACTGCTGCCCATTCTCAGCTCAACCTGAGAAAATGAGCTTAATTTTTATAACTAAATGTTCTGCATGAGAAGAAGCAATACTTTCTTACATAATCACTACACAGCATGTGAAACCTGGTCATTGCTGTTAATTAAAATCTTTACATCTTCCACTCACAGGTAATAACACAAAACAAAAATAAGGCAGGAGGTTGACATTATATTTATTATTATCAAAACGTAAAAATAGGTAAGAGAAAGAAGAAAAAAAGTTATCCACAAAACTGTGTATATTTAGAAATTCCCTCAAAATGTTCACCAGACCATGAAAAAGCCTCCTAAATAACGACCCTGACACTTGTCTGTTGTAAAAAAAATGAAAAAATAAAAAGTTAGGTTTTCTTCTTACAAAAAAAGAATGTTTTGTTTAAGATTCTGTCCAGGGAAAGAAAGCCATGGGGACGCAATTAAAGAACTACAAAGAAAAAAAATTGTTATGAAAATCTCCCACTTTCTTTTGATGTGCTGCAGTCTGAACTGTACACACACATATACGTACACACACACACACACACACACACACTCGAATCTGAACAAAGACACAAGGAGAACTGGAAAACACTCTCATTCAAGCAAACACAAGTTGTGCACAGTGAGCGTGTAGCTTGCCATCTATGAAATCCATTCCCTCAATTTAAAAGAAATATGTGGTATTTAATGATTGTGTTTATTAACCTCTATTTTTAGTCTGGCGGTAAATTGATAATAATAATAATTGGGATATCACTTAAGTTACTTTACTGCAGTCTCTCATAACAAACACAAAACACCACTAACTCCTAGTCTTTGTTATGATAGAAAATAATATATATATAAAAATAGCAAAGTGATGTGATGAAATAAATATGTATAAACGGACTAAAATACCCAAACTATTAAGGCACGCTGCGAGACATCATTTCTTAGTCATTCAGGATGTGCATCTGCTCTTTAGCACATGCAACACAATAAGTTAGTCAAGCGAAATGAGAAAGAGAGAGAAAGGAAGGGGGAGAAACATTGTGTGTGTGTGTGTGTGTTTTAATAGGGCTATCTCATTGCCATGAGACGCTCCCCGGCGTGGGGTTACTTTGTCAAGCTGACCTCTTATAGCTGCTGAGCGGCTGAGTTTTGCATACATAATTAACTACAGCTAAATGTCATCTCTCACTTCAAAAACTAACGCGGTGGGTGATGCTGCTCTCTCTTTTTGACTCCCCGTCCAGAGTGAACCGCCGGTAGAACGAGCGATGTGAAAATGAAGTGCAGTTTTCGAACTCCGCGTGATTAAACGAGGGGCTGTAACACTGCAGAGAGTGTGTGCACAGTTCAGCGCCATCTAAAACAATCAGAACCTGTAAAAAATAATGTCTCCAATGAGCAGCGCTCAGACATTTGCAGTCGGTAAAGTCGAGACCCAATAGCAACGGCGTGACTCCTTTGGACCTTGCTGTTGCCTGTTGTGGACTGCGAGACTGGTTCAGGTGGAGGAACTGGACTTCAGCACTAGAACTGACATCTAGTTAGTACAGCGTGTGGGGAGGCGGGGGGGGCTTTACCGCGGGCGGCTCCGGTATACTGGGAAGAAACCAGTGAGCTCAAACAACACGTGGCTGTATGTAACATAAAAATGGGAAAACTCGGTGGACATTTCAAAAAATCAGTGAGTAGTAAAAGTTTATTACTGAACTAAATCTGAATTTCATTGATGAACATTCCTGGCCGAAAAATTTGGTGTTGTCCCCGTGTGTGTGTGTGTGTGTGTGTGTGTTTGTTTGTTTGCCTGCCGCACTCTGCCGTAGATGATGTTGTTTTCTGGGAGCATCGGGGAATTCAACACCAAATTAAAGCCGCAATGTTTGATTAAGTGTGCCAGGTGATCTCAGGAGACACAACCTCAACCCCCTCATTCATTTGTAAACCTCCAAATGCAGGCTTGAAATACAGGAAGTAGGAGTGTACGCTTTAAATCTCCCCCTTGATTGGGAATACAAATGATCAAATGTATGAAGGATAGCAATGCATGGGTACACGGTGTCAGCAAAGTAGCGAGAGGCAGAGAGGAGGAGAATCGAAGGAATTAGGCTGTGATGTGATAGAGAGCATCTGAAAATAAAGATGTGAGCCGCATTGTAGCACCTCACCTTGAATATGTGGTACAGAAAGAATAATACATGAAAAAAACAAAATCCCGTCATTGGTTTGAGATCAATTGCCGGGATCAAATAAAAATCGGATTCAGTCACACACTGTTTGTTTTTTAGAATTAACAGACTCCTAATTCGCTATTCTTGGATACTTTTAATGACTAGCGCAGTAAACAGCTCCACCAACCAAAAGCCAATTATAACTTTATCAGCACCATCTCGGCGTGGAAGAGGAACTGTGGATGTGAAACAGAGAAACAAAAATACCTTGATCTTCCAGGAAAAAAAATATGTTTTTTTTCAATATTTCTTTTCAGTGTGCATGTCAACACATCGATTTCACTGACACGAGCCGTCTCAGAGCTTAATATGACTTATTAATGTGTAAAAACTATGCAAACTTTCAGTTCAACTTAAAATCTCAAAATATGCTAAATCCAACTAAAAATACACATTGTAAAATAAATTCAAAGGGGATGCACTTGTATAATAATATCTCACTGTTTGTCTAAAATAACGTTATAACTAAAACAGAAAAGCAGAGACTCAAATAAAGCAACCAAAGAAGTTTGAATGAATTTTGATACAAAGAAATGCAAACATACTGGTTAATATAGGAAAGGCTGAGAGTGATTTTAAATAAAACACATTCTACAGGGGGGGAAAAAAGGCACTGTCAAAAACATACTGCGTGCATTAAAAAAAGACGAATCCGGAACAAAAAGATCCGTTAAAGCTGAACGGATGATCAGTATGACGTGTCCAATTAAAAATAATGTCAATCTTTATTCTCAAAAGACTGTTGCATCCTTTTTTGACCCGTTACCAATTACTCGGTTATTCCGATTTTCCCTTTTCCCCTAAACGGAACCGCTACTGGCATGGTAGCATTTTTAATAGTCAATAAATCTAAAATATTATGTGTGAAGTTGCGGGGAAAGACCATTAAGGGGCGGGCTCTAGTGGAGCCGGTGCAGGGGTCCTGTCTGAAAGAGGGCGGCTAATTCAGGACAACTGTGAACTCTGAACCCGCTAAAAGCCCGGCCACTGGTCAGCCGAGCCACTTAACGCAGTCCACATGTGCTCACAGTCTGCATTGCCATGATTAAAAGGATCTCTAAAGGTTTGCTTACACCTAAATCAAAGGGCTTTGTCTGAGAAAAACTAAAAAACCTTTTCACCTTTTAATCCATTTCATGCAAAGTGATGCTTTTTAAAGTGAGAATAATCGCTACTTCAGTGGTCTCAGAGCTTCACTTTCACACTGAATAAACCCGAGTGTTAAGTAGCCAGAGTTACAGTGAGAATTAGAGAGAAATAAATGAGCGCTTTAATAGCTTCTAAACAACGCACGGGCAGCTCGGCCCAGGAAGAGAGTTGCTCGGCATTAATCAAAATGTCAGGCCTCCACGACAAACTGAACAATGCCTCAAACATCTCCTAGCGTGTAAACACAAACATCAAATGCCATGTGGCGTGTCCTCATCGCTAACGAGCAAACTAACAAGAGACCTGGAATTCCACTCAATTAGTACCTGCTCGCTTCCTTATTAATCTACTGGCCCCGCGGAAAAGATGAGAGGAGACAGGGAGAAAAAATGAATCCGAATAAAAACAACAACAATTTGTTGCAATAAATATATTAATGCCGGGGAGGTTTTCCCGTTTCAGGTGGTGTAATTTGACATGATATGTGGGCTATGTTCTGTCATTAGGAAGGAAAAATGGTGAGTGGGGGATCAAAGCAAAAAAAGGCTCAGAGTCTGCCACTTAATTTATCACACGGCAAAGACAAAGGCTTTTCTCACTGCTTCTGTCGCTTTTCAAAAGCCCTGACTCCTTTTTATGACAAACTCAGTTTGCAATTTAATTCCGGGCTGGAAGTCCCCCGGTGCAGGGAAGCAAGCAGGCAGGAAGTGAGAAGAAGGCACTGCAGCTACCCAGACATGCAGACAGCAGGAGAAGCAACCAGCGGGTGCAAGAAGCGTCCAGGCTGGTGGTAAGTACCGCGAGAGGGAGAGACAAGAAGGCAGACAGGTGTCATGAAACTCGAGCAGCCAGGCGGGCAGGCAGGCGGGCAGGCAGGCAAACACTGTGAAATGTAGGGAAAGAGTGCATCATTGCAGGTTGTAAGGAGGCTTTAATACACATTCTAGCAGTTGTTCTAGCTGGGCCAAATCAGGAGAAGCACACAAGTGTGGGAGTGTGACAGGGTCTGGAGTGCGTTGGGCAGCGGATTGAATTATATATTAAGGGGCAGGACAGGAGTCCGGTAGGCAGCGGAACCTGAGAGTGTGCACGGTTAGGCGTGCGGATAAAAGCGAGTCCATAAGAACGGCTAAACAAATAAATTCCCTAGACAAAGACGGGAAAGAGAACCAAGCGTGTTGTTCTCTGCGTCCGCGTGCGTGTTTTACGAGGGAATGTGCGTAAGTGGCCCACACATCGCGGTGATGCTTCCTGACCGGCGCCGGTGCTCCGTTAATTAAAGCGACGACGCACTGGCAGGTGGCTTCACTGCCCACACGGGTAATTGGCCCTGTTCTTCCCACCGTCTTCCCCGAGTGAAAATCACCCATCTCTGCCTTTTCTTTTCTCTCCTCTGCCTCGTCCCCTCCTCCTTTCTCTCGCTCTCAGAAACGTGCCAGTGGGCAGGCAGAGACGCAAGACTTTGTGAAATAATGATTAGAATGGATGGAGATGAAGGGAAGGGAGTTGCACATTTTCCCACAAGCCTCTGATGGTCGGGGAATGCTGTTTGCCTTCAAGCGTCAAACAACGCAACGGGAGTTTACTTTAGACAGCCACAATCTGAGGAGCCAGTGCTGCAGTCATTAATGATGCGGGGAGGGGACAGAGCGGTACTTTGACAAGTTTCTGCATTCGTGTGCGTTTCTCTGTTTGTGTGTGCACACGGGCGCAGGTCTCGATGTGAAAGAGGGAAAGTGAACCTTCTGTGTGTCATGCGTAATGAGACAATAAAGGTTGAGAGAAACCCGAAGGTGTGCCTGTGTGTGTGTGTGTGTGTGTGTCTCACCACGTCACCGGGCAGGTTGTGCAGGTCATCAAAGGGGCTCTCCAGGGTGTTTGTGTCCACATTCAGAATAACCACGTCCTCCAGCGATCCACTGCGTACTCTCTGAGGGAGGAAACGTCCAGTGTTATCAGCAACAGTGCACAAGCTGCCACAGTACCTGAAACAACTGTAGCCTTCTCACAATGTAGAGAGATTTATAGTTAGTTATATTATTGACAATTGGATTCATTATTTTGCGTTTCTACATAATGGAATTTAAGCATTATTTATCTACAATCAAACATCTTGTAGCAATTTATTGAGCTTACATTTAGTTTATGTATGTTTTTACGTATTGCAAATAAGAAAGAACCTGAGAATACAGTTTGGTCGATCCATCAATTGGTGAAATAAAGTTAACATTTGTGCAGGGTGGCCCAGGTGTGTATTCTGTACCGGAGCCCCAGGAAGGAAAACGCACAGCGGTCACATTTAAAACCACACTGGTTCACAATTAACGATGAAATATAACGTGGAGGGAAAAAATATATTAGGACATCTTTATTGTAACACACACACACACACGCGCGCTAACAAAATAAAGAACGGCACTGGGGGGAGACATTTGGATCGCACCAACATTTTCCACAGCACCAAAACCTCATGCATCGACAACAACACAGTGATGCTGTGCCATGCTGCGTGCATTCTGATGGCGACAAATTCAGCTATTATTTCAGTGTGGCGCAGGATGCAGGCAGGTGTGGGTGGGGGGGGGGGGGGGGGGCAGCATAGTGTGTGAATTTCTAGATTGTCACTTTTGTGACAGCCTGTGCAGTGGAGGCTCACATGCTGATCTGGACTAATTATGTAGTGGCGGAGAGGGGGTCTGTCACGGATGCAGAGTGTGATAAATACTGCCACTGCTGCAACTGTCAGACAAATATCACACACACACACACACACACAAATATATGTGCATTACAACATATGAATTTGCACAATTTACACACGCACACACGAGCACTGACACACAAGTTGAAATGTGAACGTGCTTGCAACATGCATTCACACACAACAGCAACGCTGGTAAAGGTTTGCTGCCCCCCCACACACACACCCCTCTTCCCCTTCCCAGCCAACACACAGGGTTTAACAATGAAGTAGAAAAGCTCTTTGTTCAGACTGTTTTCCTGCTCTTCTCTCTCTGTCTTTTGTACTTCTGATTAGGAATGCACACAAGCAAGACAGCGAGCTAGAAGAGGAAAAAACATTTTTACTTTTTTACTTAATGTGTTGCAGATGACAAAAAATTACCATAAAGAAATATTTTATACTGAAATTAAGGGCACAATTCACCAAACAAGGTGCCGCATTGTATAACTGACCATCATGGTGTGCAGAGAGAAAAAAAGGAATCGACTCCAGACATTTACAGCATGATTCTTAATTATTTGGTTGTTCTTTTTAAGAAAATCCACAGAAATTAATAGTGTATCTGATGCAAAATATAGAAATAAATATATAATTTAATATTGTATATACAGTGCAGAGTTAAAAAAAAAAAATCATCAACTTGCAACAGCGTGGATACAAAAGCACAGTATAATGATGTTTATCCGTATATAACGTACCTCAAGCAGACTAAGATGAACACCCACAAAGTATGGCATGGGGGCACTGTGGATAGAGAGGAAAGCAAAGCTGTGAGCAATACCAATATCAGATGGGTACATGCAGGGAAAATGACTTGATGCTACTCTACAGCAAATTTCACACACCATCTGAAAAGTAAAAACCTAATATGGAAGATATTCTTTGACGAACAGATTGTTCTATCTACAGAAATGTACTAAATATTTTGAAATCTGATGAATATCATGAAGATAAATTGGCATAAATCAAAACGTATTCATAGGAAGATGTATTGATTTTGTTTTTATTCTCATATAATTATAAGACGAATGTTGTCGGGGGTTACCAATCCAAATATTTGACTTGACTAAAATATAATGAATATAATGATATAGTGATTATTAAAACTTGTTATACACTTAAATAATTCATTTTAAAATGTAATAAATCAATAGATCAATAAAACAAACATTATTGAATAAACAAGCCACATCAGAAAGCGACAGTTGTGCACTGGATGCATTGAAACTAACCAAGATTACTTAATTGTAGGATAGAAAGAACAATATATGTATATCCATCTATATATTGTCCAACTGTTGTTCTTCAACTCAATCATATTATATGTAGGCTACAGCCACGGACTTCAAAATAATTTGATCGAGAACCAACATGTGTCTCAAATTGGGAAACAATTAGATTAGGTGTGTGTGTGTGTGTCTGTGTGTGTGTGTCTTGCAAGACACTCACATTTGCATAGTTTATTAATTCAAATAAATAAACAATCAAAGTAACCGGGACAAATTAACAAATACGTTTCTTCTTAATTCTGAGTGATTATTTGGGATTTTTTTGTAATTGACTTGAAAAGTAATATTATTCAGGAATGTTTTCCTGAACAGTGACCTAGTAATGTGAACAAAAGCTCATATTACTAGGTCACTACTACTACTATGACTAGGTCACTCTTTTATAATAAAAAGAAAACAATCTCAACGGTAAAAATCAACTTATTTTTACATGGGTTAGGGTTAAACTTGGAACTCTTTCTTAAAATATCAAATGTTTTTCATTTAACCTTAAAAAAGGTTTTTCATGCTTATTATCCTGTCATTCTAAAGTTTATAGTGATGTTTATCTCCAGACTGAATGTTAGAGAACACTTCCCATTCGCCAAGATGAATAAAATCAGCAAAACAGTCAAACAATAGAAACCATTTCAGGGACGAGGTTTACCGAGGAGGCCATAATCGGATAGCTTTGTGTCAGTGAGTAGTCCTGGCCACAATGATTCAGAAGCCACACGCATGTAATCAACTTAAAGCAACAGCAAAACAAATAGCAGGCCTGTAGGTCTGAACTTTAGCCGCTGTCTTCTCTGTTTCATGAATGTACTGGCTTTCAACATTTACACACACACACACACACACACACACACACACACACACACACAAAGCATCTAATATAATGCCGTTATCTAATCAGTGCACGGAGGCAACCCCCTGTGATTAAATAAGATAATGATGAGTCTTCACAGAGTGTTGAAAATCACATTTTACTGTCAGTGATGAACAGCTTTTTGAAGCTAACGTTCCTCTTATGGTGAAAGAACTGTCGGCACTGATTCAACACAAAAAACAGCTCTTTTTACAAAAGCAGACATTCCCACTCAGCTTTCTTCTTTACATGTGCATATCTGATTCGAGTCGAATGGGTAATAACGAACCCCTGAGAGGCTTAAGACGATGCGAGTTTGGCCCCAGCGCCGGCGTGAAATATGGAGCGCGGGGATCCGGGTCGTTCGTTATGCAGAAGGCCCACGCAGGAGAACACGACAGGAGACAGCCGGGCGTGTCCGCACTCCGACGCCGGGGTTTTAGTAGCGATCCCGGTGCAGGGACAGCACACATGGCGTGATGCGTGATTGGGTGTCTATATTGTCCGGTGTGTGTGTCTCGCAGGTGGTCAGCCTTACCAGCAGTAGTCCAGAAGATGCGGGGGCAGTACAGGGATGAAGATGTGCTGCCAGTACATCGGAAAGAGCAGAGCAGCTGCACCGTGGACGCATGCAGTTAACTACAGAGAGGGAGAGAAACGAGAGGACAAACTCAACACAACTCACCAGGGCGTAACTAAAACTAAACTAAACTAAAAGGAAAAGCAAAGCTGTCTGTTTTACTGGTGATTTCAATTATTTTTCACTGTCAAGAATGATCCCAGAACAGAACAGAATTGCAATACTTAAAAGACAAACAAATCAGAGCAAAACAACAATGTACAATTGCTTTCTTTTGAATACATTTCTTTAACTTATTCAATTAAGATTCTATACAGCTAAAGTCCATCAAAACACTTTGAGAGCTGCCGTTCAATTTCTATCTGAACAATGTCCTGTTATTTAAGAATATAGAGGTCTGATTAAAGTTGCAGCAGTGATGATTCTTTGTGTAGCTGCACGGACATAAAATAAGTTTGATTTCACCGAGCTTAGCTTTTAATCTTGCTCACAGACAAAAGCGCTGTAAAAGAAAAAAACGTGGTGCACTTCAAATGCTATTGTGATGATCCCGACCCGCAGGCTATTGTTGGAGGAAGAGAGGGAAAGACTGAAAGCTGAAGATCAACCAGTTGATAGGAGTCTAGGAGAGACAGATTGATGAGGAGGTGAGAGGGAGAGTACTAGAAACACACAGACAACCGGAGAACCGAGAACCAAAGACCCCCCCCCATATTGATTCATTTGTGGCGGGTCATCACTGCAATAATATTGCTCCTCTTTGCACACGGCATTGAGAAACATTTAATGAAATAATAATTCGAAGCACAGATTTGCACACTGTTTGGCACACAGAAGTGAGAGCAAGCACAAGCCCAGTGTTCTTAATTAACTGCTTTCAATTGAATGTCAATGTGAGGATTGTGCTGCGGCCAGCACAAAACAACAAAAGGAGCCCAAAACAATGCTGACAGCAACCATAACAATTCAACTTACACCAACTAGTAGGACACCAAATTACAGAGAAAAAAAAGCCCTTTTTTAACCAAATAATGAGACGCAATCACGAAGATGGCATTTCTTTTCAAAGAAGCTCTCCGCATTGTCAAACAAACACTACACACAAAATTAAAGTCATTGTCTCCCATTGTCTTGAAACCAGAAGCCCCGTCTTGACATCCCATCTCATGAAACCGCTTTAGTAATGACCTGCAACCCACCCACACGCACACACCGAGACACACAGACACGGCGGGAGAAAGAGGCGTTAGCTCATCCCCAGATTAAAATAACATGATTAAATATGGAAAGAGAACAGAGGTCTGAGGGGCTCCTGCGGGACTTCATTAGGGCAAATTGCCAAAGAATGAAACATGAGTTAGCCAAGAGAGACTGCGGGCTAGGCCAATACCGCCGGGACCCCGGAGCAGCAGCCGCCGTTATACTGCTGCAGCTTCACAGTCAATGTGTGAAGCGGACACACGCTATCACACATACACACACGCACGCACGCACAACTACCAGGAGACCCCCATGCTCAATCGCACATACACAGTGTCACAAGTGACCGGGCAAAACTCGGCAACTGAAACCTCATTGCAGCGAGAGGAAGATAGAGAGTGCCCCACCCTGCGGATGACCCCCCCCCCCCCACCCCCCCACGAATACCAACACCGGACATCTGAAAGGCCTGCAGCAAAACGTGTGTGTGTGTCGGTGTCGGTGTGCCACCCTCCCTGAATGTTTGCTTTAACTGCATTCATTTTTCATATCGGCTGGGAAAAAAAAGCAATGATCTTTTTCTTTATTGTCTCTGTGCTTTCCCCTCGTACACCCGGTCCCACAATAGTTAGGACTTAATCAACATTTAATTGGTGTCTTGCTCTGTGTATCTGCATATGCATATTCTCGCTGCATGCCGCCTTCAAATGAAACAACAATGCCACGCTCCTGTCAGGATTAATTCCCTGGCAAACGGTTTTTTTTTCTCTCTTTCTTTTTTGTTGCTAATTCTGAAAATAAATCAATGCTATGAATATTAATGTCTGAAAGTGAGGCACTTGGTGGAAGAGCTACTAACGCAACCATCACACGCTTCTCCCTTTCCCAAAGTGAGGATGGTAAGGGGCCATTAAATCGTGATGAAGAGAGGTCAGCCATCCGGCTGTGGATATACATACACACGCTGAGCTGAGCGCCAACAGGCGAGCGTATTCCTCCTCTGGGAGTGCGAGACAAGCCCCAGTCATTCACTGGTACCAGGAGGTAATGGCACAGAACACCTCGCTAACCAACTCCAATTATCTCCACCAGGCCTCAAGGTGAGCCCCCCAACTGGCATGATTTACTCTCAGGTTGAAAGGGAAAACAGGAGTCTCTCTCCCTCTCTCGCTCTCTTCTTCTCAGGCTGGGTGGCTGGCTTGGGGGAGTTGGCCGAGAGAAAGGGAGAGAGGGAGGGATGTGGGAGGGGGGGTTACTGATAATAAGATAATGATTTATGAAGTAAAAATCTAGATTTCGGTTTTCTTTTAATTGCTATCTCCAAAGCAATGGAGGTGGCAGTGTGCCCGAGATAAGGCGTTTGGAGGGAACTCAAGAGGAATAGTTCACATATTTACTTCTCTAATTCAGCTTAACACAAAGCCCCGTGTCCTTGTTCAGGTTTAATAACTAACAAGGCAAAAAGTAAAAGCTAAACTGGAAAAAATATAAATCCTACTTTCCTTTTCTTCATTTAGAGAGGGGGGGACTTCACATGAGAGTGGGTCATGAGAGGCTAAGGCTGATAAAATATTTGCCAGGCTGATAAATAATAGATGAGTGGAGCCAAATGGCTTACACGCTCCACAAAAGACCTGGGTGCTTAATATTCCATTCAATGGAGAATCACAGATACAGTCCCCAAGAACAAATACAGGATTAGGTGCTGGGTCCAGTCCTCAGGGACCAGGGCTCTGCCCTGTAATGAGGGGCTGCCTGCCTCTTACACTCTATGTGTGTGTGTGTGCATGGGTGTGTTTCCCCCTTCCTCTGAGAGAAGCCAACCGATTATACAGCGACAGCCTGCTTCAAAAAGCAGTCAAGGTCTTTGGTTCTGCCCGGAGAGCTTTTCTTAGTGCGCTGTAGCCAGAGACAGAAAGCGTCCACACCAACACTGGTTTTCCAAGATCCCTTCAACAGGACCAAACGAAGGACGGACAGAGAGAGAGATGGAGAAGATGACCAGAAAGTGGGATGGGAAGAAAGAGAGAAGTGAAGAGATAAAAAATGTGCATTGCAGCTTTGAAGTAGGAAGCAATAAACCTAAGCGGAGTCAATTGCTGGAGTTTGATGCAACATAGCAATAGTACACAGGTGGAACATTTGAATCTTTGCACACTGTTGATTGCACTTATTATGAAATTAGAATCAACATAATCAGTTTATAGTAACAGGACATCAAACCACTTGTAGAACGTCACAAACAGACACATCGGACCTTATTTTTTGGATGATTTAATAGTACGTTTGTCTGCAGCGTTCACGTCGCTGTTTATCTACAATTTGTTGTAATACTTTCCAGCTGTGAGCAACTCAGCAACTCTGAGCCGCAGCCTGTCAGAGACCTTCCGCCCTCTTTATCCGAGCAACTGGACACGTTGGAGTGAAACAGAGAAAGCGCTACCACGGCGGCCTAAATACACGCCTTTAGCATTTTTCTTTCATATTAAAAGAAAGTGTTGTGAAAATTCTATTGGGCCGAGGACGTAAGAACCCTCCCTTCCCCGGCTTGGATACTCTTAGATGAGGGGATCTTTTGGCACAGGTTAAATTACAGGGAGAGAGAGAGCGCACTGTGAGACAAATAGCTGCTGCTGCAGGCAATGTAATTCAATTTGACAGGAGGAATGGTATCAGCAGAGTCGCTCTTGACCTCTTCACACCAGCCTCAAACACTCATTTCCCCTCCACTAGCCTTTCCTTCCCGCACTGTCCCTACGCACTCCCCAAATTCAATCCCATTCTTCATTTCTTATTCTGTGTTCCTCCTCTCATCCTGCTGCCTTCTGTCCATCGCTGCCGCTGCCTGCTTCCTCCTGTTGGTTCAACACAGTGTTACCCTTCCTCCCCCTCTCCCTCCCTCCCTCCCTCCCCTCCTCTGCACAGACTAAGTCTCCAATTACGCCGGCTTTGCTTCTCCCTCTGTTGACAAACGCCGGTGTCAGGCCCGGCTCAGCGCAGGTGTGCCGCAAACAAGTAGGTGGCACAGGGAGCGGCGGAGAGGGCGCGCGGGATGACACGGGTAACGGCTGACGCGGGGCCTCCCACACATGCACACGCAGTCCCAGACCCAGACTCGCCGAGAAGACGCAGGACATACGGGCAAACACCTGCGCGTGCTGAAGACACACAAACAGATGCATGCAGAGGAGACGGCGAACCACCCACAGCGGGCGCGTGCACGTGCCGGGGCGGCGTGAGTCAGACACGTGGCACTGGCGCCGAGGCGAGTCTGTTGAGAGTGGGATGTGTCGATGTCCCGCGGACGCCGCACAACACAGAGACACCCGGGAAGAGGGAGGCGAAGTCAGCGGGAAAGAGAGGTGTAGCCCGGGTAAGTGAGACAGACGGACAGAAAAAAAAAATAATAACGTCAGTGCGGGAGAATAAGCTATAGATGGGAGGGAAAGTAAAGAGACTGAGGAATGGAAGGAGAGGAGAAGGGGAACAGAGGGGAAGGCAGGAAACAGAGAGACAGCTGGCACTCTGGGGCCCGGTGGATGGATGGCTCCTTGTTAGCATAGGCCTGACAGGCTGATGAGAGGGCTGCTGTCAGCCGGTGCTGGGGCCGGGTCTGTGTGAGTCTGGGCGGAAGGCAGGGCAGAGGCTGGGCTCGGGATGCGGGAGGTGCGGGGGCGGTGGAGGGGCCTCGGCAGATGAAAGACACGGAGGGTGGTGGGGGCGACGGCGGTGGGGGCCCTCCCAACTGACTAGTTAGAGGAAGGGCCGATGCAGCCCTATTATACGGCCCTATGACAAGGCTGCACGCTCGGCTGGCTCCCGCCCCCTGCGCCACCGCCGACCAGCCTTTTAAAAAAAACGTGGTACCATTCACCTCCGGTCACGAAACAGCAATAAGTCAACTGACGCATTGTTGTAAGATCATGATTTATTCCTTTGCTGTTGGCTGCTCGCGAGACGCGCCGGCCATGTACCAGCCGACTGACACAGCGGGTTCACCGGGGGCTTCAACACAGCCAGCACCTAGAGCAGGCGGAATAAATGCAGTATATCGGTGTGTGTGTGTGTGTGTGTGTGTCTCTCTCTCGCTTTCCACTTTCTCTTTGCTTGGCTGAGAGGCTGGACAGGCGGAGGTGGTGAAAAGCAGCTGGATGGTACTAACGATGTTACTAACAATATCTTCTCTCAAAACGTCCTCTATATGTGGCAGGCACAGTATCGCAATATTACCCGTCCATCCGTTGACTGCTAACAATCACTTTAACCAACATTTTGACAGACATTTTGACGTTAATTATATATATTTTTCATCCTAAGACATGGGATCATAAGACAGTGGTGCGGGTAATGAGCAGCGATTTATGCACTTAAGTATGTACACATTTAGATAGCTGGCCTACAAAATCATTGGAGCCATTTCCACCTGAACTAGGAGGTCATTCTACCCAACAGTACCAAAATAACGCATCACAGGAGCCGTAATAACATCAGGCCTTCTGGAAATCCCTGTGGAGATGTGAAATACCTCTGTAATGCAGAGCCTGACATATATCGCTACTAAACCAAAACTCCCCTCCCTGAGGAAGATGGATGGATAGACAGATGAGGGGATGAGGGATTGCAGAGGATAAAAAGGTTTACAGAGGTAAAGGTCTGACGTGGAACCTCTTAAAAAATCCTGTTGTCATAAATTTGTTTTAAGAAAAAGAAAAAGGCCGAGATTAGTCTCAGAGCAGCAGACAACTATAAATCAAGACAAATATGGCCTCCCCCCCCCTCCCCCTCTTCCTGCTTAAAAGAAAAACACGTTCACCCTTGAGTCTGATAATTTACATGGCGTAACCCTGGTGTCACAGCACCGCGTGGCGCCCAGATCCGAGGGGGACACAGGTGATATTCCCTGAGGGCCGGGTCATTTTTACAGCTCTTTCGGAGTACGGCGCCTACGGGAGACCTCGGGTACGGTTCCCTCCAGCGCCCATCAACACGCGCCGGCCCCTCCGGCTGCTCGGGGCCCTGCGGCCTGGCGGAGAGACCACGGCGGGACCACTACGCAGCAGATACACGCAGGACTTGGATGACGTCACTTCCCTCCCCCATCTCGTCTGTCATAAACATTTGGCTCTGCCTCATCAGCCGCATAGATAACGGTGGGGAGGGTGGAGGGAGGGTGGAGGGGGGAGGGCGTTGGAATGAGGAACAGAGGGAGGAAGAGGGGAAGAAAAGACATTTCCTCCCTCATGCAGACAGAGAGAAGTGACTTTAAATTATGTGAGAGAGTTAAGACGTGTAATAACGGATAATTTAGGGCTTCTGGGCCATTAATATGTTGCAGCTTTAAAACAAACAGGCAGATATAATCCAGCTTTAGTGTGGATTTCACAGCTTGTCAGAGCCTTGTGATGGTGCGGCTGTCTGAGCGCGGGACGCCCTTGTGAAGGAGGGGCGGGAGACGGGCGGACAGATCCGTAGTGCAGGCATGTAGGATAAATATTTGCATCGTACTAATTAGGGTTTGATATCTGGATGGATTATTGATGAGGAGAATCATGTTCAATCTAGGGAACGGTAAACTGTAGCATCACACGAGACGAGATGAAAACACAAAGCGTAACATTTTGTGAACTCGGTTGGAACGTTTAGGGAACTTTCCCGTTTCAGCGGTTGCAGCGTTTGCCTTGTGACCTTGTGCCTGTCAGGGCAGCTGAGAGGAAGACTTGGAAGCGGTGGACTCACAGTGCTGAGCTTGCTTGAGGTAATGATGATGCGCCGCTCATGCAGCATGCTGGCGTAGAGCTGGAGCATGTTGTTGACATCCACAGCCACAAAGTACTCTGTCAGGTTCCTCTGGAGGGAGACAGGAACAGAGGGAGATGCAGGTTCATAACAAACTGTTCTTGTTTACAGTGTCAAAGCCACAGGCGGGGAGCGTGCCATGCGGTACTGGCTGTAGAGGACGGGGGCTTCAATCTCTGCATTCTTTTTATTTATTTTTAACGTATGTGAAATACAGATTTTCATGGCGTCGATCAATGTTGCTTGAATTTGGCTGATTTCAGCGTTTAGTAAACATGTGTTCAATTTGAATCCTCTGAGAGCCACGACAAATCCCCGAACCTCCACATTAAAAGTGCGAGCACCGCTGGAGACCAAACAGAAACAAAAAGATGACGCAATCATTTCAAAAGGTGACAAGTGCATTTGATTAAAGTGGATTAGAGGCAGAGATGTTTCCGGGGAGAAAACGCATCTCTCTCTAACTCCTTTCTTTTCTTTTCCCACGAATACTTACGCTCTCTGGGATGGTTGGCAGTCCATTGATATCCGGGGCGATGAAGTAGGAGTGCTGGGGGGAAAAAAAACAAAAAAACACACACAAACATGCAGGAGACAGAAGAGAGAAGGTCACCAGTGAAGCATACCACTCACACGGAGAAGAATGAGGGAAAAAGGGAGGGGGGGGGGGCGGTCGTTCACTTTGTTCTATGATTTATGGCTCGTCTTCAGCTCTGGTCTATATGAATTGCTGAGCTGGTGTCTGAACTGCGGTGATGCCTTCATCAGGCCCCGCGGAACAGAGGAGCCGAGCTCCCCGTAGACGCGGACCGGGGTGACGTCTCCGGTGGAAAACGGGAGTCTTTATTTTAGCATTAAAAAGGCTCGGGGAGCGAAACCGGCGCGCACGACAACAGCATGCGCTCGTGTGCATCCACGCAGGCAGTCACACGCAGGTTGTTTAGAGGATCACAGGGCTGCCTGTCTCACTTTGGGGGAGCAGGGCAGGTTCAGTGTTCAGATAAAAGGGGCCTGAGAGAGGTGGCGTTTGGAGACAGGTAGACAACTGAAACGCGCTCGCTCGCACACTCTCCTGTATGCTTATTACACCTGCGTTTCTAGAGGCCGTCCCTCCGCCATCTGTTGCAGGCATCTGCTTAAATTATAAACGCAAATCATTTAAATACAGCGTCTCGCATTTAAGACGTTAAAATAAATTGAATCTTCTAGGATTCTCAGTGTTCAGTCTTATCACTGTTTATTTATTTATTTGTTATCCACATCGTGGAACATAGAATGTGATGCTCGTACGTCATTCTTCTCTCCATGTTGTTGGCTGTGTGGCCTATGCATGCATTTGCCCAAACGTTGCCCAACAAGGAATTATTTCAAGTGAAGACAACATGACAGTTATGCTTTAAATAACACATGATACAGTTGAGAGTATTCAGACACCAGGAGTTGGTAAAAATCCACAACGCCACCAGAAGTGTCACCAGCAAGAAAGAAGGATGTCTTAGATTATAGAAAAAAGATAAACACAAGGGTGAAAGCCCATCGACGTCAGAAGGTAAAAATATGTGCTAAAAAATCCACAACATTGGATAAATATTAGCAGCACTGAGTTGGTTCGGCTGAGTTCTTTATTCATGTGGTCTTTTGTAATCGTTTTATCAAGAATGATGCCTGTATTAAGTGTATGAGACCAACACTACAAGACTGATGAAGATGAAGCCATGGTAGCACATAACTGTCTGGTGTTGACTCAGTTTAATGTAAAACAAACTAAACTAAACATTAAGTAGGAAAAATGTGAAAACGATCACAAGTAAAATAGTCGTATTTCCTGAGGACGATTGTTATAGTCAAGTGAAGCTTGAAGGAGATGAACACACAAATATTCTCTTGCTTTCGAGTGCTTTTATGGGCATAAGCTAACTATTACGTCGCCCTACTTTATGGCAATTACATTTCTCTAAATGTTAGGACCATATTTTCATGCATTGACTCTTTAAGAGTGGCAAAAAAAAAAAAAATCATTTTTACCGTGGCGGTGAAAAGAAAAAAGAAAAAAAAACATTTGCAGGGAAAACATTTGTTTGCTCTTCCCAGCAGCAGCTGGCTTCAACACACAAGTTCATTTTGAGTTAAAAATATTCATTTTTATTCATTTCAAAACAAAGCCCACCTGTTGTTCTGTAGCAAGACAGAAGCCAAACTACCAGGTTTTTCTGCCCTGATGGACGTCCAAAAGGGAAGAAACAAAGTAACACTTGATGTGCTTATTTTAATGACAGCTACTGTATATTGTGACTTTTGATGCACTAAATCTCATTAAAGGAAGTTAACATTACAGCTATTAGTTTACTGTGCGTTAATGCTCCTATGACACGAAGTATGAACTTGGTCTGAGAGCTTGCACACGGATGCAAGTCAGCATCTACTTTGGGCTTCAGCGACACGACACAAACAGCGGTGATTAGGGGTTAAAGTCCTAAATCAGAACTCCTTCCCGGACTTTTTTTACTTGTTATATTCATATTCATACCACGTGACTTCAAATAGTGGTTGCTTGAAATACCTCCTCACTTGTTTTACCCTAAACCTCGCTTATCTTCCACAGCTCCCACTTTCCAGTGGCCTTGGTGAAATCGATAAAAGTGAGACAATAGCTCGCAACAGTATACGTTCGAATGATGTCATTCCTATCGCACCTTGTTAATGAACTCTCCCGGGTAACTCTTGCTCATATGTTGGTATACAGCGAGCGCACAGATGAGTGCGAATTCTGCTTCCACCTTATTCCCAACCTGCTGTGCAATTTTCTGCTTCACATTGAACTAAATGCACCGGTGCCTTATAATCCATTGGCTGCCAGAAAAGTGGATTGCTCCTTAGATGTCTTCATAAACAATGCTGCATGTGGGAAGAGAAGCCAGTTCATAGACGACTGGAAACAGAATCTTTGAAATGACATAAAAGGGCAAATGCAACTGTACAAATCAAATTGCAATCAAAGATCAGGGACCCGAGACAATACATCTGAGGCGCAAACGCTCCTTAACTGTACATAGTCGACTGTAAATCTCTCTGTCGCTCTTTTCCTGTGCTAAGTAATGTTTCCCTGTTGGTCGACGAATCCTCGGCACTGTGATAATCACAAGCCACGCTCCTAAACTCAACCCGGGCTTTCACTGGCTTGCTTATCTGCATTTTTCCTTTTTCTTTCGAAGACATGTTTGTATAAAAACATTGAAAGTGGGTTAACTGGAAAGGCATCAAGGAGATTTTTTGAGCACAATTGCCTTTGCTTTAAACATAAAGAGGGGAAAAAACTTTTGATATTCAGAGAGAGAATACAGCAGTGTGGATCGGCATTAATCATTTACAAAGTTTGATTGTTTTCCAGCGAAGAAGAAACACACACCAAGGGCCCAGGATAGTTTGTTTTTGTTATATTTAAAAAGAGAGCGAAGCTTATTTGGCCAAATTGGAAAGCCGTTGCTCCCATGCGATTAGTGCAGCAGCGGTTTCATATTTCACAGCAGCCTCCTTTCCCCCTCCGCCCAGCTTCTGCCGTTCACTCATTCCCCTCCACTCACCGGCTCCGCGCTCCGCCGATCTCTCAGTACTTGCCCAGTGGCAATATACAACTGCTCATTCTTGCACAATGAGAGAGGGAGATAAGAGAACAAAACAGGGTTCACACATGAAAGGGGACAACGATCCTTCTTCTCGGGTGCCATGATAAAACGGGAAGGAAAAAAAAAAAAAACATTTTTAAGGGAATAATTCGGCTTCATCAATTAAATATCAAACTAGTGGCTTCCCAAAGAAAAAGGCACGGAGCCGTCACCCCTGTTCTCCGCGGCTTCCTTTCCAAGGAAGCTCGGGGATACGGATGAAAAGGCTTTGCTCACATATACGGCTGATAGGAAAACCTTTGCAAAGAAAAGAAAAGCTTAAATAACAAGGAATATTAATTGACCGTGTTAACCTTCACGTAGATGTATTGATTAGCTTGTGTGAGTCTTGTTATGTTGTAAAGTCATCTGTGAAATTAGACGTGTATCCTTCTGAGACTTACGCCACAGAAAAGAACCCAGGGTTGCTTTTTTTAATTGGTCCAAACAAGAGCGCAGGTCCTCAAGGACAAAGGCTAACACTGAAATCCTCTTCATCCCATTACTGCGTCGAGCCTAAGCAACTCGAGAAATAAAGACATTAGAGGACAAATCATTACATTCTGCTTACGCAGTCCCGTCTTATGGGAGCCAAATCTGTTTTAGCGCGAGTGTTTTATGTCGGCGCTGGAAACACACGAGGAGGGAGGGGGGATCGTGTCAGAGGTAACGCAAACACCGGCCCGCTATGAGGCACGCGGGCCCGTTGAGCCCTTTTTGATAAGCAGGAGTCATGACGAGTTCCGAGAGGACCCATCCAGTTTAAACATGTCCGGCTTCTGGCTTATCACACAGAGACCTGTTAGCGCCACTTCTTGTTTCCAAACAGAGTGTCAGCCGGGGCCCCTCCGTGTCCCCCTGCTCCCACCCAGCGGGTCTCAACCCGCTGCGCCCTCCTGTACGTCGTCCATTTCAACCACCGTTTTCCTGAGCGCTCCCTTTTTCTGTTTGTCTGCTCTACTTTCTTTCACAGTTTTTTTTTTTTTATGCCATCTTTGTCTCCTGCCCTTTGCGTTCGTGTCAATTTCCTTTTTTCGTTTTCTCATCATTCCTCTCGTTGTCGACCACTTCTGTCGTCTTTAGTGGGTCTCACGCTGCTTTCATCTTCTCCAGCCGACGTCCCCCTCTTCCTCTCTGCAGCCTCCTTCCTCCCTCCTAATGCAACGCACTCTTGCAGTAACCTACCCGTCCTCCTTTTTGCTCTTTCTAGCGCTACTCGCAGCAGCCTTGCCTGTGATACGGGGGGAATATGAGATCTATACCTACCACACTCAGGTTGACTGGCGTGAAGGGCTTTGGCACAGGCAGATCATAGAGAGAATTCAGCATGTCATTCAACTCATTTTCCTGGGGGAGGAGAAACACACAGCGAAATAAAAAAATAAGAAAACATGGAACACATCAATTTGATTTACTTGTTTTGTTGGTGTCACGAGTTACGTGTCAATCTGGCGTGCGGGCGCTGGGACAGGCGCTGGTGAGACCAGAGGGCAATCCTGCAGCGAGGCCTGAAGGGCTCCAAAAACTTCCCACTGACGGGTGTTTAACGAGCAGCGTTGAGGTTAAAAGACGGCTGAGTGTCGGGCCGCAGACGCTTATTGCCCGGCAGCCTTGATTTAGGGCCCGAGAGCGGGCAGTCGGTAATTAAGCCGGGGGTCCCCCGCTCCAAAGACGGGGTCTTTGAGACGCCGTCAGACCGAGCTAGCTGGACCGCAGCACCGGCCGCGACATTACTCTTCCAGCAGTTATGAGCTCTGCAAGCAGATGGCGATTTACACTCGGGCCTCTCGCCGGAGGCCGGAAAAGACAACTGCCCCCGAACACAGAGGCCTCGTTGCTTGTTTTCGATCCTCCTTCTACTCTCCCTCTCAGAGAACTTCAGTTTCGGGCTTTGAACAGTTTCTTCCTGGAGGAACACGTGCACGTCTGCGCGAGCCAGAAGGAAACAGAAAGGGAGGCGGCAGGAATGGGGGGGGCGGCGATTTACAGTAAGAGGAGGCGCGGGAGGGAGGGGAGGGGCTCTGTGTTGGGGTGTGTGCGCCAAAAATCGAACAGCCTCCTGTCATGAGAGGCTCAATGCTCACACGCATGGTCAGCAACACGGCCTGGGGAAACAGTTCATTTACCCCTCGCCTTAAACCCTCATCGCTCTTCTGTCCTCCCTCGTCTGTCAACATCTCCCTCTCGCCCGGAACGGACAGCGGGGTAAATAGAAACCAAATCATGCACACTAACACTTCAGTCACCCAGGATTTCTGGATCTCTCCCCCCACACACACACACACACACACACAAACTGGTCTATTCTGCTCGGCTGGCTCTCTGCATGTCAAGGCTCCGTCCCGCCTCTGCATCGCATTAATGTGAGGATGTGTTGAATGTTTACCGAATGTGTTTGTGATAGCCGGCTTCAGCGGGCCTCTCTGTCCTGATCATTGCTCTCTAAGGATCTTGGAAGAAGCAGTGACTACATGACAATTGAAAGCGGTCCCTAAGCTCTCGGCATCGCTCCCTCCCTCCCTCTTCTCACTTCAGTCTCAACATGGGAACATCACCTACACCCTCTGCGCTAGACGCCGCACATCTCCCCAGTTTGTTGAATATTTTACATTTCCCCTCCCTTTGCTAGTACAATGCACGGAATAGTCGGGGGAAAATACTTTTGTGTAGTGCGAGCGTCGTGTGTGTGTGTTTGCGTGCGTGTATGTGTGCGGTTTTGTTTTTTTGTTAACGATTTGTTTTCCAGTAAATCATCAGGAATAAATTCCAGTGTCAGATCAGCGTTTGGTCTGTGAAATGTCAACATTGTTGCCGCTAACAACAGGAGCCAAGTGGAGCCCAAGACGGCGAACAAAACTTGCACACAAAAGGGAACGTGCAGAAGAAGCACTGAATGGAGGAAAATATCTCACCACAGTACAGTTTCAAAGACTTTAAACCGCGCTTGTTTCCCAGTCAAATCAAACCACCGTGTCTTATTCCTCACGCTCTTACCCTGCAACTCACAATTCTCAATACAACCCGAGGAGATGATTACCTGTTGTTTTATCAAGTAGTCTGCCAGAGTATTCAGCAACTTGTAGTAGATTTCGAACCATGGCAGATAACTGAAAGAGTCAGAGGGGCAAATGCATTAATGACAATATTTGAATTCATTTGATCATCAAGTACAATAAACAAACAAGATGTGCTTCACTATGAATGTGGAGAGAAAATGTAGTTTGGGTTATATATTTGCTTTGTCCATCACAATGTTTAGAAATATTTTCACCATCTGTTCGGTAAAAAAAGGTTGATAGGAATCAGTTTTTAATGTATGTCCTTGCTATGTAACTGTGTCATTGTAAGCAACCCATAGATTTCAGATCAAACTCAGGACATTGATAATGGATCGTGTTCCATGCTCCTCCCAGGCACTAAGGAAAAAAACAGTATGCCGTCTAGTCGCTATTAGACATTCTTCGATACCCGGGGCAAAACAATGGATGTTACGTTCTTTAACAAAAACCAAACCGTGGCTTTCCTACGATGTGGAGGGATGCGGAGCTTTACAAGCATGCTGCTCACAGATGCACAAGGTTAACAAAATGCAGCCCTCGTGCCCCCCCTCTCCTTCCTCTGGACCCTCCCTGCATTTCTTCTGCCCTTCGCATTAAAAAAAGAAATCTTCTCCTTATTCAATCAATGTTAAATAAATAAATTCATTAACATGCTCAAAATAATTTATACTGCAATGTTTGTGTTAAAGCTAATCACTGAGCACACCCACCATAAGCTAAAAGCATCTGCAGCGTGGCTTTCTTTACCAGTTGACATATTCTTGGCTAAGTCGACTTGCTTTCTACATGGAAGATGGCCAACGCTTTCTATTAGCATGAAAGGGGGCTCAGTTCCTTTAATGTTATGCAATCAATAATAATGAAATTGTGGTGTCTTGTCAATGTATTGAACTATTTAGTTTAGTTTGGGATTTTAGCATGCAGTTGCAGCATGAATAATGATAAGCATACGATGAAATAAACAGAAACGCAGATTAATGCTTCATTGACTTGCCTGTAAAAAAAAAAAAAAAAATTAGAAGCAACCTGAGCAAATCGATGAAAAGTGGATTCTTATCTGCTTAAGTGAAATACATGTCATTAAGACAATAATTGAATTCAAGTAAGACACCTGACAGCGAGCTTCAATCTGCACTTCCTTGCATATAACAAATGATACATTGGTCAGCGAGAAGCTTTGACTGCGTGTGAGTTTAAGAGCCAGGGAAGTCCTGCTCAGGCAGTTGGCTGGAGACTGAGGACGTTCCAGGCCATGGGTCACCGGCTGCTCTGTAGACTGGAATTAACAGACAACAGGAAAACAATAAAGTGGACCTAATGCAAATTTTCATGCCGCTAAATCCGCGGAGGGGCCAATGACAGGCCGGGTTCCCGGAGAAGTGCAGCCAAGCGCACCAATCAGAGAGGCTGAGTGACCATTAGCCTGAAACAATCAGCCTCTTAGCATGCCAATATTTTGACGTCTGTGTGAAGATGTAACGCAATCAGGTCACATTCGCAGGAGAGCCTCCATGCAAACATGCGTATGTTAATTCACATGCTGACCGGATATCAAGCTGCAGGACCTATTTCTGCCAAGACGACGCAGATATCTGCATACGGGGTCAGTTTACATTGAGCAATTACCCCAAAAGTTCAGCTGATACAATGACCTGAACGGGGGAGGGCAAAGACTTTGTATTATCGGCCTCCTGTATGTGTGTTTAAAAAGCCAGGCTTCTGGACATTAATCCTCCATTTTTCACAGTTGAAGGGGATGTAAATAGGACCCTCGCTGTCAGGGAAGCCGTCAGGCCTCACAGATCTCACAGTCATTACACTCCTTCACCAAGGTGCTGTAAATCCTTTGTTTTGGAGGAAAAGGCATGATCGCTGAGAAAGGCAGCCAAGCACAAATTATCAATATTCTCATAGCATCTCCCCGCAATAGGTAACGTCTTTTCATGCTTTATTTCATGAAAATAACTTGAAGATGAATGGTTGTGTTCTACGTCTCCCTCCCCCACTCTACTCTCGGTGTTGCTGCAAAGTTAAAGTTTGGAAAGCTTAGAGAGATACTCCTACTCATCGCAGTTCATTGCTCAGATCTGTTTGTGCTCTGCAAATCCTCCGATAGAGAGAGAGGCATCCATCACAGGAGTGCTCGGTGTGTGGGGGCCCCACAATCTCTCCTGCCATTCTAAACACATGTCTTCTCAAAGTGCCATGTACTCAAAGAACGAACCAGTTAATCTGCGGTCCACTCACACAGCCCGTCATGCTCTTCATCCACGGCTCAGACTACCTAACCGCGCGGAGATATCGGACAGAGGACGGGGACATAGAGGTGCCTTTTGGGAACTTATCTCGGGAATTATGGATACACGCGCAGAAATAGGTTTTCACAAAGAAGCTGGTTTTCACAAGCATTTGATAGTAGCAGCGGGAGTGAAAGAAACTACCCACAAAATCTTAAAATATTGCAAACGGCATTGTGAACAAACGTTGTCATGCTCAGATGTTTTAAATGTCCACATGAGTAGTTGAGGCCTTTCATTAGGTTTTTATATTGGAGTACTTAGATCTATTATAGTACCTATTGGGTGTTCAACACAGCACTTATTCCTGTTCCTCAGATGAGCCTTAAATCTCAATTAATGCGCAGACATCTGTAATCGTAAGTCATCTTACACTTTGTAGACGTCTGAGTGGAACATTTCATTACACCTTTACTTTCTCGGGGTGAAGGGTTAAGTACAGGGAAGGAAGCGTCCGCCGACGAATCGCTAAGTGACCACAAACTGGAGCAACACGGCCCCTAAAATGTGTCCCTACGCCTCAGTTATTGTTGGTCTACGAATCACGTTACAACATAACAGTTGAAATGTTTTGTGCTGTCGGCCGTTTTGTCGAGGCTACGCCTGAAGGAAGCGTAACCCTCTCGTCCGCGGCCTGAGCGGCGAGACTACAAAGGGCTGTTCACATAAAACTGTCCCACTCATTAAGGCACTTCCTCCTGTAAGCAGAGGTGACAATTTTACAGTCCCAGCACTTCACCGATCACACAGACGCAAACGGTTACTTTTATTCTATATCAATGGGAAATTATAGATGAAATTATAAATAAAATAAAACTAGTGGGACTGGCCCTACCTGATAATTATTATCATAAGAAATGTATCATTTACAAGATGTATCTTTTCACTGTTCTTCTTTTTTTCTTGAGGAAAACTAATCTGCTGTCCTTTCCAACATTGTTATACATGGCAGAACAAAAAAAGACTAATGAATATAAATACATTTACAAATTTAATTTACACAATTGTCAGTGAGACTTCTTAAATGTTAAATTTTAGAATAATGAAACTTAAAAAAATAAAGGCAAATGTAACTGGAGAGCGTCCAACATTTTTTTAAATGAACCTTAAAAACTAATTAAAAAAAATCTTTTCTATACATTGTCCTATTAAAAATGAAATAAGCCATGCAAACTACTCAAAATGCATAATGAATTTTATACATCATATGTCAAATGAATTAGCATGTCTAACTCAGCGAGAGGGACAGGGGAACCTCTGCTAATTGGCAGTGAAGCTTCATGCATAATTATGGGCCAAGCGTCTTTGCTGTCGCACTGTGGCAGTAGCCGAATAACGAGGAGAAAAGAGGGAGGGAGAGAGAGAGAGAGAACGAGAGAGAGGGAGAGAGAGAGAGTAAAGAAAAGAAAAACAAAGGCCATGGAAGCTGGCCAAGGAAGGGTTGGTGGTGCGGGGAGGAGGGAGACTGTTCTTCACAGCAGCTCATCAGGGCAGCGACAAACCCGCGACTGTCCATCAACCGACACACACACACACACACACACACACACGTGCCGAGAGCAGCACTTACAGGAGTGCTGCTTTACACCGGCAGAGAAAAAGAAAAGGCTTTGTGCTCCTTTTCCGGTTTGTTGTTTGTTAAACTGCTTAATACATTCATTAAAAATGTATTTATTTGAATATTTTCCCTTGTTTATCCTAAAGCACGTGAGCCTGTCCACTGAGATTAACACTGGAAAGCTCCTTTTTGGTAATGGTAAGGTAATTACATCTGTGAAAACATAGTGTCAACAGGCAATTACATGGGAATTAAATAATAACCGCCTTTCTTGGAGGGTAATTATGCAAAGAAAATCCTATTTTACTGGGTTTGGTAGCTTAATTTATGTACGCTGTGATAAGATGAATCCACCTATGAAATATCAAAAACTGCTAAAGTTTTGGGTAATTATAGCCACATCACTAACATATTTGTGTGGGCAGATGAGAATATAATTTTTTATTATGGCATAGTGCAGCTCAGTGTGAAGAGTGGGAATGAATGGAAATACTGCGCCTACTTCTAAGATCTGGTAAATTAATTTTTTTATCGGACTTGTGAAATAAATGTAAAAATAAAATTAAAATAGTTCTGAGACTGATCCAAAAGGGGTAAAAAAGTTTTTTTTCCTCAACAAATAAATAAAAGCAGTGGTGTTTAAAAAAAAAACCCTCTTGATTCTGATTTAGAGAGAAAAAAAATGTGGAAGGCTGACTTTTATATGTTTGGATTTGTGATGTAAAGCATAGCTTCATCTACATCCAGCTGTTGCTCTTTTGACATTTGTTTAATTTATGGGAGTTGGATACAAACAAAAATGACAAAATCTTGGATACAGAATAGTAAAGACTGCAGTAAACTGCAGTTCATTAGAACAACATGGTATTAAATCAATTTATGGACCTTGTAGTTTCAAAACTTGAACACAATTTAGCATGAATATTTGCATGGGTCTGTGTGTGCGCGCGTGTGTGTGCATGTGTGTGTGTGTTACCTGAGCAGACATATGCAGACCCGGCAGCCTTGAGTGAGTCGACAGAAACCAAACCTCTGTTTGCTGTCGATGTCCGTCAGCACGAAGGTGAAATTCTGCCCCACCTGATTCTGGGAAACCCTGAGGCCAAAGGGGAAACACGCAACCTCTTAACAATCAACTCGATGCAACGGGGTGTAGTAAATCTGCAAAGTCATACACATTTAAAATTCAAAAGAGAAAAAAAAAAGCAATTGGTCTGGCTGGATGAGAAATAAAGCCACAGACCACATCTTACCATGAGCTAAATCTCTAGTCGAAGTCCAAATCTCATATCACATATTGCCATTATGGCCGGACAAACGTAAAAACCTTTTTTGAAATTGCAGAGAAGCTCCGTACATCCCTGTGCCACTAGATGGCAGCAGCTCAGCTTCAGTAAAATACTGTGCAGCCCCCCCCCCACGCCTCCCCCAACCCCTCCAACCCCCCAACCCCCCCTCCCCCTTACGCTCTCTGTCTTTACAATGTGAATTTGAACATTTCATTTTTTCAGGCTCAGAATATAGGTGCCGCAACTTAAAAAAAAAAACGCTGGTCTGATCAGACCTTTGTGAGGTAGAAGAAAACACACCTCCCTAAACTCTTACACACACACACACACACCGGTTACTGATGACCTCACCGGCATCATCGTTAATGGAACTTGTTGTTACCATCATCATCATCCTCATTATAGCGTCCTCATCATCACACCATTAACATTTGGGGACATTTCGCCAACAGCTGTGTGGTTTCCAGGTGCAGTCGGTGCAGATCGTATGCAGGCAAATATCACATTTTTTTGGGGTGGGATCTCAACGACAAATTCACTCATTACCTTCCGACAGTTAGTAAACCATCCTGTGACTGAAACACAATAGTGTGATGCACAAAGCGCACTTCATCTCATTTCCTTTTTCTAACGCATGTGCTATTAGTGTACGTGTGTGTGCTTTTGTGTGCGTTACGTGAAGGAGGTGAAAGGGCGCTGCCGTGCTACAGCGACGGAGAAGCCGAAAGGGAGAGGAATCGTACCTTTCCACGTCAAAGGGAAAGCAGAACTTTGGTATCGTCTGAAGGACCTCCTGAGGAACCAGAACAGAAAGAGAAACGCACCATTTTAGAGAAACACACATCACTGGGAAAACAAATGATAACTGCCTGCTTCAATAGGAAATCCTCTTGGGCCCCCACGAAGTGGACGCTATCAGTTGGCTGAACAAAATGGGGATTAATGTTAAATGCTGCTGATAGCAATCTGACTAAATCCTGACATCCCAAACGCTAAAGCCCAAATGCACTTAATCCAAATGAATGGGCAACGCACTGAACTTCTCAGAACACAGTGGAAGGGCTCCCTTTTTTTCCAAGGATGGAGAAGGAGCTTCGATCCACAGCCTGAATAATTAGCGGTTAATAAGTTAATCGATTATTGGGTGGCAAGGGGAGATGAAAAGAGAGAGAGACAGAGAGAGAAAGAGGGAGACGACACAACACTGAGGCGATGGTGGCAGATTGTAGGGACAATGGGCTAAGCAGCTCTGAGGGGTTAAGAGGTAGGGGAGGGTTTGGGGGGAGAGGGGGGTTACAAGCCTTCAGGGCTTTACCTCCCAACACCTCCCTTGTGGGCTGGGGGAGCGTGAGGAGGGTGCACGCTCTTCAAGCGAGGTGGGAGGGGAGGGGGGGCACCTTTCCAGCAGCAGCATATGGATTGAGACAGGGAGCAGGAACAGAGCGGAGCACCATATGGGCGGGGAACTCCAGACCAGCAACACAGCCTCCCGAGTGACCGGGTCCCCCCTCTGCCTGCCGCTCTGCCTGCTAACCTGGGCCGGAGTGGGCGCCAGGCATCGGGTTCTTCTTGCCTTCCGCCAGTTCCCCTGACGGTCCTTGGGACTGGGAGGCGGTCCGCTGTGCTCCGGCCTCTCTCTCTCTCTCGCCGCCTCACGGCATCTCTTGGTTTGCCTTCTCCTTTGTGATTGAAGATGTCCGAGGCGAGAGGGGTGCAGCTGCTCCACTGGCGCTCGCTCTGCCCTCCGAAGACCGTCAGTGACCCTAACAGCAGGTCGGCCGTCTTACTGTTGCTAAGACCTCACACGTGGGGTGCCTTCACCGATTCCCAACCCACCCCATACACATCAAAACTTAAAGCTCAGCTCGAGCACAACGGGCCCCGGACAGGCAAGCAACAATGAGATAAGATAGAGGGGAGGGCGAGGGGGGGGTTGTCAATTTTAGTGTATGCGAAGGCCTTTGCCTGCATCAAGGACTTGCATTCAATGCGAGAGGATGGTTAAGCATGTACATTTGTACGCGTTTGTGTGGGTGGGTGGCTTGGTTTGTGTGTGTGTATGTGTGCGCACATATGGAGCGTACGGGAGGGGAGGGTGGGAAGAGGTTGTTTTTACTTATCGGGATCTGTGATCAAATTGAGAACTCAACAAAGACGGAGGGCTCGGTGGCAGAGAAGGTCTCCTTGTCTGCTGTGGGGAACGTGTGTGTGTGTGTGTGTGTGTGTGTGTGTGTGTGTGTGTGTGTGTGACTGTGCCTTGGCGTGTGTGGCTGTAAAACTGTCACACACATCAGAGGTGCCATCGCTGTATGCGTCTGGTACTATTATTAACCACTATGTACACACACACACACACACACACACACACACACACACACACACACACACACACCAATATGTTCCAGAGAGCCCTCCCTGGCTCATTGCATATGGCTCACAAACCAAAACACAGACACACAGACACACAGACACACACACACACACACACACACACACACACACATGCACAAACACGCAGGATTTTCCCTGCAGATAAAAACATTTGACTTGCCAGATTTGAGAGTTGTCACAGCCCCGCCCACATCAGTTGTCTCTGTTTGAGTGACAGTCTTGGGCTGTAGCGACTCTGATCTCATACAGGACTAGTGGGAAGTGATGCGTTTTCATGTGTGTATGAAGTGAGGCACACATGAAATGTGACAGCAGACATGCTCTGTCTCTATATATACCTATTCATATATACCTTCTGAGCACCATATACATATACAGTGTGCCTCAGTTACGCCTTGTCCACGGAGCTTTTTAATATACTGTCTTTAGCTGTTAAACAGTTGTATGATTCTGTGCCTGAAATCGGTGAAGAACTCTTCTTTCTCAACCAATTTATGTAGCGATATATACTTTGCGTTGCAACTTGTCCAATCATCATCAAACAACACAGGAAACTAGAATTACCGCCTCTCAGCTTCCTCCCACCCGTACTGTCAAAGTCTACACCCATTTCTGTCCAGAAATCACTATATAGTTTTATCCTTTAAGACATTTGTGTGAGTCCGGTTGAGCATATTTGGCCCTAGACGTAATTTGCGCGGTCACAGCGACCTTTGACCAAGCAAATTCCTATCAGTTCAACCTTGAGTGAAAGTGGATGTTTGGCCAAATTAGAAGAAGTTTCCTTAAGGCATTCCTGATATAACCACGTCCACAACAATGAAGTGGACGGACTGAAGTACAACCTGAAAACGGACCGTTGTCCATCACAGTTCATCATGGTAAAAGCGAATTTCTTAACATTGTTTTCTGACAGATACTTTGTCAGATATTCTGCAGAGGAACCAATCTCACAATTGGACACAAGAACCTGTAAATGTTTGTAGCATATATGCTTGTCTATCAATGTCTTTACAGGTGAACTTTCAGATTAATAGGTATGATATATTGGCTCAGCTGTAATATATGTACATATGATAACACCCATTATAATGTAGTCGGACGGACATATAATGTGTATCGCTCACAGAGTTAGTATTTTAAAAGAGTGGGTCTCTCGTACTGTGGGTATCCTACAGACTTCACTGTCAAGAGGTTGCCTTTTCGCTCATCCGTCTGTTTTCTTCATACCTGTACTACTGATAACACATCTTTGCATCGGTAGCTCTCTTTCCTCTGTCCATGACTGGGACTTTACCGTGGGGCTATACCCAGCTTCTTAGTACGGTAAGCCCCCCCCTATCCCTACCACACTGAAACTCACACCTATACACACACACACACACACACACACACACACACACACACACACACACACACACACACACACACACACACACACTCCTTGCCATTTTCCCAAGACAAAAGAAAAAGAGGCAGCTAATATATTTGTGAGGGGGCGGGGTGGGGTGGGGGTGTGAGGAGGAATCTGCTGCTATGCCGGGCTCGGCAGACACTGGCGCGTCTGTGTGTGTGCACTGTTTATCGTGAGTGGAGACAGGGGTATCACTCAGCGAGACAGAATATCTGGGTTCCCCCAGCGGACGCTCGTCCTATCGTTGCAGCACACGGCAGCTTTGCGCCGTGCCCCTGCAGGATAGTACGGTGCTGCAGGGAAGAGCAACAAACTCTGCAGCAAGGGGGGGGGGGGGGGAGGATCTTGTTTTTCTGCTCTTAGAAAAATAGGCCTTAACTTCCTCTTTATTCCCTGCACTACCCTGATTATTTTGGAAGTAATTGTGGTGAGGTGAGCTATATTGGGGTGCTGGGGGGGATTTGAAACGTGACGGATCTTTGCATAAACCCCCCCCCCCCCTTGACCACTAAAAAAAAAAAAAAGGGTGGGGGGGGGGGCAGCTTTGAAAATCCCAGCAAGTGGACAGAATGATGTAAACCAGTTAATTATCAGCGGATTAAGTGCTAAACTCAGCCACTGCCATGGTGTTTCATTTTGGGTGTGAATTTCATGGGCGATGTTCATTTTCCCATATGCTCGCCAATATAGAGGAGAGAGGCAAAGGACTGTGGAGGCAAGGAGGGAATGAAGGAGGATTGAGTAAAAGGGCAAATAAAATGCTAAAGATAATAAATTATGAGGCGGCAAAAGATGCAGATGAGCAAGGCAGACATATAGTGAATGTCCTAAAGGAGGAGTGATGGAGGAGGTATTCCGGACACAGCAGCAGAAGGAGGTGGGGGGGGGACTGGAGGAAGGGAGGGAGAGACGAGCGGCCCGGTTCATGCCCCTCTCCCCGTGCAGCGAGGACTCCTCCCTGGGGGGACTCAGACTTTAAGCCCCTGTCCTGCTTTATATTCCCCTGGCTACTGCAGCCAGATCAATCTAGCTAAAGCTACCCAGTGAAACTCAACCTAGTTCAGTGCAGCCGGCCCCCAGAGCCCTCCGCGCAGGGTGTACTTTGAGGAGGAATGGAGGCCGGCGGATTTGTAAATGTACCACTGGTATACCCATTTCAGAAGCAGACTTTAAAAGGACTGTACCAGTGTTCTTGCATGTGTTAACCCATTACCACAATTCACATGCACTTTACGTTACTGTCAGATATTTTCAAAGCAGCCTGTATCATTTTAGAATGTGTGTTTTTACTGTACAATCCATCACATTAAACCTGTTTTTATTCATTTTTCACAGTCAATTCATTATTTCCTGTTAATGGAACTGCTACTGATTTGAAAAGCTGCATTAACAAACATAAATAACATCAAATAATTCAGGCATGATGTTTACTGATGGATTACCTAACTTTAGTGTTTGCAAGATGAGTCGTTTTGAGTCTTTTGTACCATATGGTACCAAAAGCAATTAGAGCAAGAGTTAAAACCATTAAAACAACAGCACCAATGACATGCTGCACATCTGCACGAGGAGGTAACTGCCGAGCACTGGTGGTCAGCTAATGTGTACGAGTTATCGAAGGAGAGTTATTTTGGTCTCTCAAGAGGTTAACAACCCCTCATCAGCCATGTAAATTGGTGCTACGCATCGTCTGTGACATCATTAATGCCACTGCCCTAAATATTATAAGTGTAAGGCCAGAACATTGTACAATTGCTCATGATTTAAACTTGTGACCTTTTGGGGGGAAAACGGGTCCCCCAGTGCTGGTTCTTTGTGGAAGTCTAGGAAAAAAAGATATATTTTCTTCATTCATTCATGACACATTTAGCAATATTTTGGCTAAAAGCCAGTATGCTTTTACCCTTCTGAACTCCTTAACAGCAACGGCTGAGCAAACGCCTTCCTCTGAGGAAAACCACGAGACGCCCTTCAAATATCTACAGAAT